AACAGCTGCGCCACCATTGGGAGTTCTGAGTGTGTTAGTGGGGCTTGTTGACTTGGAGCTTCCCTGTAGGGTTATCAAAGCCGTCTGTGTGTGGCCTGTTGAGATTGCCAGTGTCGGTATCTTTGTGTCTTTCCTCTTAGGATGGTGACGTTCCCTAGTGAAAAGTCTTTTGGATCCTGCATGAGGAGAGTGCTGAGGACCCCGTGTTTAGCGTATAGCGCGGGTTGTTGTTGGGTGGCGTCAAGTCTGTTCCGACTCATAGTGACACCATTTGACAGAGTAGAACTGCCCCATAGGGTTTTGTTGGCTCCAGTCTTTACATAAGTAGATTGCCAGATCTTTCTCCCACAGAGCTGCTGGGTAGGTTCAAATTGTCAACCTTTCGTTACCAGCTGAGTGCTTAACTGTTGTGCCACTAGGGCTCCTGTTTAGTGGATGCTCTTACTTCATTCTCCTCAGTTGTGCCGAAACTCTAGAGAAGAAACCTCCAGATTTCTACTTGGTTGGGAAAGGGGCAGTATTCCAGCTGCGGGACTGAGGGAGGGAATCTAGGGACCTACTTACTTAGCCTCTTTCTTCTCCCTTTGTAATGCAGATCCTGGGCCCTTGAAGTTTCTGCTGTATAAATTGGTTTAACGGAAAGATAGTCAAGTCCGTCTCCACTGATGTGGGATTTGACATTCTCTTTTTTGCACCCACAAAACCGCTGGGCACGTTTTAACTGCTTTGTCCCTCAGTTTCTTCATCTTTATAATTAAAAACCTAAACTGACTGCCGTTGAGTCAGCTCCGACTCATAGCAACCCTGCAGGACAAAGTACAACTACCTCATAGGGTTTCTAAGGCTGTAATCTCTATGGAAGCAGACTGCCGAGTCTTTCTCCCACAGAGCAGCTGGTGAGTTCAAACCACCGACCTTTCGGTTATCAGCTGAGCACTTAACCACTGTGCCACCAGGGCTCCTTAAGTTTGTAATAGCTCTGATAATTGTACCTAACTCAGAGATATTGTGACCATTAAGTTAAGAAAATGAAGTGCTTAATACATTTCTGAGTGCTCAGAAAACTCTCTCTCTTAATAGTGTGTGCCAAAGGCTAGGAGTGCTAGATAATAGGTAATTCATAGGTAAATAAGAAACTTCTTGCCCTCAGGGAGGTCATAGTCTGTTGGAGACTGGAAAATAAGAAAACAGCTGTAAATTAGTCTTGGTAAAGGATTTATGAGTTCGTAGAGGAGAAAGTTCTTTCTTATTCTGCCAGGTTGGTGGAAGGGTGGGTCAAGGCAAGAAGGGCAGAGAAGATGCTAAGCTCAGTATTAAAGGATGAGTAAGAATTTGTCCAGGGGAAGGAAGAGCACTCCAGGCAGAGGGCATAGCAAGTACTGAGGCATTGAGGCTGAGAGAATGGTACATGTGGGTGCCTGTAGGTAGATTGATATACTAGTAACCCAGAAAACCATGAAATAATGACAAGAAATAAAGCTAAAATTGTAGCCTGGGCCTCTTCATGAAGGGTTTCATTCTAAGGTATGAGGTTTGAACTGTGAGTGATGGTGTTGAGCTGTTGAAATGTTTACTTGATGAAGAGAAAATTGATAAGGAGGGGATATTAGAAGGCTGCAGAGGAAGGTAGGTGAGGAGGCAGGGCAACATTAAGAGATGATTAACAATTCAGAGGTTCCTTTGAGGTGCCTTTTGAGATACCTGTCAGACTTCCAGGTGAAGATACTTAGCCTTCCTAAGTCTTTTTCCTCATCTGTGAAACAGAATTTAAATACCTACATGCATGATTGTCTTAAAAGAAATATATAGTGCACTTAGAATCAAGTACACGGATCGCTGTTAAGGAGTAGGTAGGAAGGAGAATTTCTGAAAGAGATTGAAGAGCACAAAGAGGAAAGAGGATCAGCTAGCAGAGAATGGTCAGAAACAACACAAATCCAAAAAACTTGGTCAAAGAGGACTGAAAAGTGTTCGTTGAATTTCAAGTTTAGATTTTGGTGATTTTAGCAAGAATAGGTTCAGTGGAGGTATGCCTCAAAATTTAGACCAGAGATAGTGTGTGTTTATTTTTTATTATGGCTTTTTTAAACATTCACAAAAGTAGAACCCCTGTGTACCCATCACCCAGCTTCAACAGTTACAATTTTGGAGATCCTGTTTCATCCCCCTGCTCCTGCTCCATCCATTTTTTCCTGAACTGCTTAAAAGTAATAACAGATGTCTTGCTGTTCCACCTATAAATACTTTAGTATACATCTCAAGGAGCCCTAGTGGCACAGTGGTTAAGAGCTGGGCTGCTAACCAGAAGGTCAGCAGTTCGAATCTACCAACGGCTCCTTGGAAACCCTATGGCGCAGTTCTACTCTGTCGTATAGGGTCACTGTGGGCCGGAATCAACTCGATGGCAACAGGGTTTATTTTGGATACATCTCAAAAACTATTTAAAAGAAACAATCACCGTAGTATTATCACACCTGACAAAATCGACAGTCGTTGAGTAGAGGAAGTCATCCAATTCCTAAAGAGGTCCGTGATACAGAAAAGGTGAAAAAGAACCATTGCAAGTCTTGCCACTTGTGCAGTTTTAGCCATTGCCCTCATTTCCTTGCAAACCCTTTAATTTCCCTCATTTCTCCCCCTATTCCTTTGATGGGGTAAGCATCTACAGACTAACATTCCTTGGAAATAAAGCTTTTTCCAGCCTAATCAAAAAAAGAAAAAAACTGTATTTTTATCAACATAGGTTTTTATTGTATCTTACTGTCACTGTAAAGCATTTTCTCCTCATATTCCAGAAGGACATAGAAACATGTCTTTTTAATACATAATTTTTTAACTTGAAATAATTGCTCAGCTGCTAACCAAAAGGTCAATGGTTCAAATCCACCAGCCACCCCACGGGAGAAAGATGTGGCAGTCTGCTTCCGTAGAGATTACATACAGCCTTGAAAACCTTATGGGACGGTTTTACTCTGTCCTTTGGGTTTGCTGTGAGCTGGAATCTACTCCACGGCAATGGGTTTGGTTTTTTTTCGGGGGGGAGGGTGGAGCGGGTAGTAGAATCGCAGGAAGTTGCAAAGATAGTGTACAGGCAGCCTATGTATCTTTCTCGCATTTTATGTAACTAGTATAACTAGTACAATATAAAAACCAGGATTCTGGCACTGGTACAATGTGTGTGTATAGTTCTGGCATTTTATCACATGTAGATTTGTGTAACCACCACAAGCGTCCCCTTGTGCTACCTCTTTATAGTCACACCCATCCCTCCTTCCTCCTGCCATTCCTAACCCTTGGCAACCACTAATTTGTTCTCTGTGTCTATGATTTTGTCATTTCACAAATGTTACATAAATGGACTCAGACAGTATGTGATCTTCTGAGGTTGGCTTTCTCTTCACTTGGCATAACCCCCTGGAATTCACCCAGATTGTTTCACATACCAGTAGTTCCTTCCATATATATTTTAAAAGTAAAAATAAATGCCCTGTTAACTCCCTATATTAAAACTTTGTCTACACAAAACTGTCCAACTTTAAGTTTAAAAGGGCCTGTGAATATGTATGTATGTATTTTACATTGTATAATTACCATTAAAACATATAACTAGGTTTCTTCAAGTAAATTATGTGCTTGAATTAAGAATACTTGTTAATCTTAAACTCAAGCTTCAAAATAGTACAAGCCAAATAGAATCACAAGAAATTACAAAGATAGTACACAGAGATCCTGTGTTCATTGGTTGTCCCGATTTGTAGATGGTTTCTCATTTAAACAGGTAAAATTTGGGTCAGCCATGCTTTTTGCTTTTACTTTGTAATAATTTCAAATGTATAGAAAACTAAGAGTATTAAGATAACTCCTGTATAACCTTTACCCAGATTCACCATCTTTTAACATTTTGCCACATTATTTATTCCTTCTCCATCTTGTAATTTGTCTGTATATACATACATATATATGTATAGATACATACACTCACATATACACACACACAACTCGATGTAGATGACATAAGTCATGCCCCTTTACTCTTTAGTACATCAATTTGTAATTCCAAAGTACAAGAATATTTTCTTACACAGCTACCCAAAACCCACTGCTGTCAAGTCGATTGTGACTCATAGCGACCCTGTAGGGCGGAGTAGAACTGCCCTATAGGGTTTCGATGGATTCGAACTGCCTACCTTTTGGTTAGCAGCTGAACACTTAACCACTGTGCCACCAGGGCTTCTTAACAGTGCAGTTACCAAATTCAGAAAATTTAACGTTGATGAAATTTTTAATCTAATATAGTCAGTATTCCAATTTTATCAGTAATGTCATTTTTAGCATTTTTCCCTCTACAGAATCCAGTTCAGGGATGGATGTTAGTTGACATTTTTCTTTACGATTTTCTTTAACCTGGAAGAGTTCTTCAGCCTTTGTTTCTTATGACATTGACGCTTCTGAGGAATGCAGACCAGTTATTTTATAGAATTTTCCTCATGATGGTTCCCTGTGGTTAGTTTCAAGTTACGCCTCCTCTGCTAGAAGACAACGTGAGTGATTCTGTCCTTCTCAGGGAGTTACAGCTAAAGGCACACAATGCCTGTCTCATTAGTGGTGTCAGTGTTGATCCCTTGGTCAAGGTGTTGTTTGATTTCTCACTTATATAGTTAGTATTTTTCTGTTACATGTAATGAGCATTCCACGGCGAACATTTTGAGACTATGCAAATATCCTACTCCTTAACAATCTCAAACCCCTAGATTTACGAGTTATTCTTACCCAAATCAGTCTTTATTTTGATGGTTTGAAATGGGTGAGGGTCAGCCTTCCCAATTACTGTGTCCTGAAAATTTAGCTCAGTTTTTGAAACATTTATTTATTTATTTATTCAAAGACTTTGATCTGTACATAATATGTACATAAAGTAATTCCTAGTGCATTGTAACCTAAAATGTTTTTTAAACTTCTGAGTTTTATTTCGTTTTTAAATCCTCTGCTGCCCTCTGCAGGTGTGTGGATATAAACCTTTGGAGCAAGGTAAGTTCTGCTAGCGTTGCAAATCATAAAGTGATGTATAAAAAGCCATTAAGAACAAAAGTTATAAGATCTTTGCACCTTTATGATGTGCTATTAAAAGTTAATGAATTTAAAACCTTGAAACTGGTAGTTTTAAACTCTCCTGGAACATAAAATTTATTTTTGAAGTAGTCCTTGACTTTTGTCCTAAATTCTTCATAAGGTTTTCAGCCATTCCAGAAGACATCTATTAACATCATTGCAGTGACATTTGCCATACCTATTTAATAATTTTTCAAATATATGTGTGTGTGTGTACACATATGCATCTATATATAGGAACCATATGCAGACAAACTTTAAACTGCTGTTTTTTAAAAATAGCAACTGATTTTATGCAGGAAGCACACTATCCTTATGCTGAATTCTAAGAACAATTTGCATCTTAATAAAATACACATTATCAGCTGAGATTCCAAATTTATATATTTCATAAAATCCAAATTTTATTCAATTCTATTTTTAGTATTGCTTGTATTGCCATCCAAACTATTATGGTCAGTTCTAATATATGGTTGGGATATAGTTTTTTGATTACAGAGCTTTTCATTGGTTTATTCATTAAATGTGGCTTTTTTGAAAATTTGGGATTGAATGTGGCTGTCTTATATCTAACGTATGGCTATAACTTCTGGTATCTTCTACATGTGTCTGGGTTAGTTACAGAATAGTTTGTAGGCTTAAAAGGTTCTCGTTTTGACCTTGATTACACTTTGAATTGCCATTAAATGCAACATAATTTGCATGGTGGAGTGAATAGGATATGGTCGGTTTTACCAAATTTTCCGTATTAGCAAATAAATAATAGAAGTAGCTGTAATTGTGAGTTGTTAGCACGCATACTACATGCCAGGCACTGTTTTAAAAGCTTATTTGCTCAGTCATAGTATATACAAAAAATAATTTAGAATTTCTAACCCATATCACTTTGAAAAGCAACTATATGTTATCATTCTTATCTTCAGCCTGAGGATATGTAGTCAGATACTGTGTATGAAGGTTACTTAGGTTCATTTTTTTTTTTTTCTTTTTCTTCCTTCAGTGTGGTTATTTTATTCATTTGGAATATACTAAAGTTTGTTTATATTTCATTTTAAGGTTTTTCCTCATCCTAGTGAATACAGTTTGTCTATCCATCTATTTATTTTTGAATATGCAAAACATTAAAGTGGTTCCAAAAGTAATATTTTTGATAATAAAATGCACATTGGGAAATTTTTTTTAATTAAAATTTTTCCAGTAGAATAAATGTTTAAAAGTAGGCGATGTGTACATCTTTTAGTGACTGTGGATTTAATTGACGAGAATCCATGAGAACAAACACATTAGAATTTTTTACTCCTTTTGGATTAGTGCCATTAAAGTAAGTGGAAAAAATGTCATTGAATAACTATAAAATAAGTTATTTAGTGCTCCAGGATATTTTATCATCTTCTTATTTCTGTACAACCTCGTTTAAAAGGAGAAAACTGGTCCAGTTTCAGCAAGACCAAAAACAGTATGATGAGAAATAATTTTGGTTGATAATTCCTATAAGCTATTTCCTACTTACAACTGTTCATTTAAAATGACATAAACAAATCACATTAGAGACTGACATTTCATAAAACATTGCAGTTTTTCTTCAATATGAGTTTGTTTTGTTTTTAAAAGATTAACGCTTTATTTAAAATACAAAACTATTTTCCTGGCAAGTGGGGTGGTGTTGAATTACTGTGATGTCGAATAATACTTACCGGGGAAAGGCTTTATTATTTCAAGAATTCAATTTCAGGTTGTATTTGTTCTTGTTTGTTTCTCTTGCTGCAATGTACAAATTTTCTGTCTTACCAGATAACAGAACTGTTGTACAATGATGGACGTTATTGCCAGGAGCCTCTAGGACCAACGGGTAGTGTTTCAATTTCGATGATTGTAACTTATCCATAAATCCATTCTTCTGGGTAATGATGGGCTAGAGGAATACAGCAGTAAACACTTTCTTTTTGAAAGTGAAAGTTGAAGGTTATAAACCTTTATATTGATAACAACATTTTGAGATGTATGAGGTATTTTATTGTAATTATTTTTTTTAAGGCTGGGTTGAAATACTTTTTCTTTTCAGCTGTTGAGGGAATGCTTCTTAAAGCATCTATGGAAACAGGGTTTAAAATCAGTAATTATTGGTATGTATGTGATTTTAATGTTTTGCAGGGTATAGTTAATTTTAAATACACAAAGCAGTGAAGAGGTCTTGGGGCTTTTTTCCTACTTAAATAAATTTTATTAGCCAAAATACGTTATTTTGACATTGGATGGTTTTCCTTTTCCATATAATGAAGCCTCGAATATATGACGTTTTACAAGAAAGTACCCATCTTGAAAGTTCACATTTTCTCTCCTAGGTATTAACACATGGCCCTATACGTTTTATGCTCGAATGCATAGGAAAATTACTGTTGTTACAAAACTTCTTTGTTAATCTCAATTTTTCATTGGCTAATAGGCAGCTCTCCACAGGATTGTTCTATCTACTTATTAAAATTATTTAACTTTCTATACTTAACATTTAACAATCCTTTCTAATTTTATGTGTTTCCCTAAATATTATTCACACAAAAAAATTAGTATAGAAATGTGTACAAGACATAATTTGTTCTCATTACTTGTGATTTGGACAGGAAAGGGGTAAGGCCTTGGGCAGGACCACTCTGTCACAGAATGGTGGAAAAAAATAAATTGAAGTAAGATTCAGTACTGAAAAGCTGTCACTCGGTCTGAAAATAATTAATATTCCTTTCACTCACCAGTTAGATATGTGCTCCCAAACCACATAATCTCTATGCCTCAGTGATCATTGTTGCCATTTCAGAGCTTCTCATCAGGGTGACATCTCACACCAAAATGATTTCTTATAAATTAATCTTGATAACATGACAGTCTCAGTAATTTTAGTGGAATGCTTTCTCTTGTTTTTTTCCGCAGAAGCTGTTGGCTATTTTCTTTATAACTTGATTGACAGCATGAGTGACTCAGAGGTACAGGCCAAGGAGGAACATTTGAGACAATACTTCCATCAGCTGAAGAAGATGGTACTATTTCATTTTTTGCTATCGAATGCCTTTTCTGCCTGACATGTATCTATTAGATTTGAAATTGCTGCTTTTAAGTACAACCAGACCACTTCTCAATGACATGGAAGAGTTGGAAACTTAAATTATGTCTGAGATAATGTCTGTTAGACAAATTTCAATTTGGTTATCTAAAATTCACTTTTCCCCCCTCCCTTCCCTTTATACAGAATATAACAATTTCTCAAAATATCTACAGAGGCCTTCGTAATCTACTGGATATCTATCATGTTCCTGAATTGATTAAGGTGTGTTTGAAATAATAATCAACTTTGTTAAATGCTTCATTTGTATATACAAACATGTTACAATTTTATTGAAATATGGTGCCTTTGGCCAAAAAAAAGTTACTTAAATGATAACCATTAAAACAAGGCTTTTCATTGATTGTTGGTAAGTACTATTTATATATGGGACAATATATTTAAAACATTAATTACAGTGGTTTATAAAGCATGAACTGAATTTCTGGAAAATTTTGGAAATAAAAAATAGCAGTGAAATGAGTTTAGACTTTCAGAATTCGTTTTTGGTTTTTCTTATATTTTCCCATGTGTATTCTAATTCTGTGCTAATATAAATTCCAATTTCAGGATGTTAATATGTTGGTTGAAAGAGAGAAGATAGACTCTCGAAAAGTAAGTAGGTTTTTGAATAGATTCTACATGCTGTCAGAGCCAGATTTAATGAGAATTCTAGGCTGCCTCCTTACAAAACTGGTGGTTCCAAATATTTTTATTATCTTGTATACCTCTGAGGAGTTGGTAAATGTTATTCTCCATCTGAGAAAAATCAACGTATGTAAGAAATTCACGTAAAATTTCAGGAGATCGTAAACCCCTGGAGTCCATCAACAAATCTCCAGATGAGTATCCCTGCTAGCATTTATGACATTTAAGAAAGTAGCAAGGAAGGTCAGTTTAAAGGGAAGAGTGACAAGGGCACATTTTCTATTTTTTAGTAAACTTCTCGCCCCCCCCCCCCCATTTCTGTAGACTTTGCAACTTACATCATCTGATTTGGAGTCTACACTTGAAAAACTGAAAGCTGAAAATCAACCTATAAGAGATGTCCTAAAGCAACTCATATTATTGCTGTGTTCAGAAGAGGTAACATTTGTTTTAGTATTTTAAATAGGCTATTAAAGTAAAAAAAAAAAAAAAAAAAAACTTTATAGATAACAATAAGTAAAGCCAATACAATATTTATGATTTTTAAAATTAATTATTATAAGTCATGCCTGTGAAGAATGCAATTAAATGAAAGGTTAACTAATTTCATCTACACCTTGAATGGCATGTTTTCGGGTTGCTGTAGTTTGTTTACAATAATCTGCAAAGTGAATGATAGTAACAGCCGTGATAGGTTTATCATACATGCCAAATGTCCTTTCAAGCCATGGCTCCGGTCTCTTATATCTAGATTGTCAAGCAACTGATACATGGCAGTAGTCATTTGCAAGTCAAATATTACTAGGTTGTTAATGCAGGGATTGAAATTCCATTTTCCTGCTGGAAAAAAGCTCTTTCTGAGATAAAGGGTCTTTTGCCTTCTTTCAGCAGGCGTCCGTCCAGCTGTACTTTGTGTTCATTGTAGTGTGTGTCTGCAATTTGTGGGAGATCACTAGACTTTGTTTTTCAGTTTCTAGTTCAATATGATTTGGTCATATGCCTGCGGTTTAAGGGAAAACATATCATAGCTGATTTTAGATTACAACATGCTACTGTTAAATTCTAAAATATTTCTTCGCATTATGTGGCTTTTAGACTGCAAGGAACTTTGCAATGATATATATTTCTGTGTATGGAAATTAGATTGTGAGTAGGGTCTGGCTTGGTAAATATTTAGTCTGGAAGTCGTTTTTTAAAAAAAACAGTACACAAAGCTAAAACATCAAATTTGGTATAAATAATGGCCTATTTTGCATTGCAGATAACAAAAGCTTAAACTCTACGCTTATATCTGACTTGCTTGCTTTTTAAAAGTGAATAAAAATACTGAGGAGGAAGATCAGTTGAGAACATGAAACCATTTATTTTTAAAGTACTGTTAACTTTTTATAAACTCTGAACATTAAAATGAGAAGTTTGATATTTTTACCTTTATATTCCTGTCTTCCTTCTTTTTTGCTTCTATTCTTCGTTTTAGAATATGCAAAAAGCCCTTGAAATGAAAACAAAATATGAGTCGGACATGGTTGTCGGTGGCTATGCAGCTTTAATAAGTTTGTGCTGTCGACATGATAATGCAGAGGATGCATTGAGCCTGAAACAAGAATTGTGAGTACCCTGGCACTGAATCAAGTCTTCAAGATTTATGCTGATATACAGTCCTTGTTGGCTCAAGTAGATTGAATATTACTTTCTTAAATAATTTTTAGGAATTCCTTTGTTCTCAGTGTTTTTGAAGTTTCATAAAGTGAGGCTCTTGATGAATTATGGCTTGTTTTCAGCAAGATGTCTTTGTTGAAGTATGATAAGACATTTCAGTTTTTAAAGCCAAGTGTGTATCACAGCAGTGGAGATGGTGACTGTTTCATAAGGCTTGTTAAACATTTTCCTTTCTACACTGTAGTGTAAACAAAATCCTGTCCATTTCCTGGGTGTCTTTAGTTGCCTATCCTGATAGGTTTGTTAAATAAAAATACACCTTTTTGAGATTTCAATGTTCATGATAAAATTAGAATCACCTAAATTATCACGAAGCCAAAGAGGTTCTTCTTAGTATTGTTTGCAAACTGATGATACAGTATGTACGTAGTGTTTGTAGAGTTTTACTTTTGTCAGTTTGAATATAACTACATATGCATTTGTGTATGACTTAAATAAATCCTAACTGAAGTGTAGGGGCCGGTGTTAAATGCGAACTTCTGATGGGTTCATGAAAAGTGATAAGATGGATATTGGAATCCTTTTTGCAGTTAATCAACTTTTAACATTATATAAATTTGGCTTTAATTTTTAGTGACCATTTAGATTCATCTGCTGTCCTTGACACCAGAAAATACGTAGACCTCGTAAGAGTATTGGGAAAGCATGGCAAGCTCCAAGGTAAGCCTGGGCATATAAAGGAAATATGTGATGCCAGTATCTTGCCACTGGAATAACGTGAATTGATATTAATGGTATATCATGTCCTGCAAAGTGCTTGAACACTTTGCATACAAATTTGCATGTGAATCCAACCAGAGCTGCATGGACAGTGTAGGCCATTAGTTTTAATGGATTGGCAAGCTTGTCATTTACATTTGCACAGCTCAGTGCTCTTTGCATTTATGCAGCTAGTTTTTATTAGCATTGCTGTTTGGATTGAGTTTGAAGATCATGACTTAGGGCACAGTTTGCTTAGGTGCCTGGACTAATGGCTTTGTTTTTGCTTAAGAAGTTCTGAAGGCTGAATATAAAACCTATAAACATAACCTTTTCTGTAAGAATCTGAATGTTGCAGTAGCCCTTGTATTAAGTTTTAATAACATTAACAAAGTAAATACTTTAGTAAGTTTTTATTTAGAAATTCGTGGAAAAAGCATCGCTGCTTACATAGCTGATTTGCATAGTCTGATTTTCTTGTTATGATAATGCCAAGCCTCTTAATTAATTACACTTGATGATAAGTTCTTAACTGTTTGTATGTTTCTTAACTTTTTGATTGGACTTTATTTTCAAACTTCCTTTTTATCCTTCTCTTCCTTTTATTCCTAGGTAAGCCCATTTTAATTTTATTATAGTGAAAAAGGCATGGAGAAAATATTTTATTTGAATATTGAATAATTTTCTTAGGAAGCCTCTCTAACACAGAAAACTCTTTATAAGGATTAGCCTGCTTATTTTAAATCACTTTTTTGTAAAACGGTCACAACATTTTGTCTGTGCAATAATTAAGAACAACGTTATAAAAATGCACTTACTCCATATCCTAAAATGTTTGTTTCTGCCTTCCTAATGAAGCTTAATGAACCTAATGTATTAACATGCAGTCTTTTGGAAAGCTTTCATTGGCTCTGCTTGGCTAATTAGTATCGACATAGCAAACAGGCCCTATCGGTATCAGACCATTAGTCTGGCTGTATATACAGTGTAAACACATCTTTATTATCTGGCCTCCTGACAAGCCATCTGCTGAAGAAACAATGGTGTGATTTAGCAGATGTTAGCACTGAACGATAAAAGCATCCATTTAGGAGGATCTTACAGCTATAGGGCAGCCCGTACAGGGTTACGTGGCGCAGAGTGGGCACACAGTCCCTATGTATAATTTGTAGTCAAAGTTGCAGGGAAATGATAAAACCATGCTATTGTGGATTTATAATTGTAGTCTCGTTTAGAAATGCAAGTAGTAATTAACTTGAAATCGGCATTATACACTAGAATTTACATTCCTGCTGGGCTTGAAATGCTGTTTTAATAGCAGTTTGTTTTCCCTACATGAAATTACCTAAGGGTCTTTTGTGTTACTTCATTGTAGATGCTGTTAACATTCTAAAGGAGATGAAAGAGAAGGATGTTGTTATCAAAGATGCAACAGTCCTGTCCTTTTTCCACATCCTCAATGGTGCAGCTTTAAGAGGTGAAGTTGAAACAGTAAAACAGCTGCACGAAGCCATCGTGACTCTAGGGTTAGCGAAACCATCCACTACCATAAGTTCCCCACTGGTCACTCTGTATCTGGAAAAGTAAGTTAATGGAATTTTGAGTTTTAAACGTTACCATTAAAAGGATGAGTCTAATGATCTTGTGATTATACTCTGTAAACACACTGTGGTGACATGGAAGCCTTTGGAGGTTATTTGCCACAGAAGGAAGAGCATTTATGTGTTCTAGGTGACCTTTGGAGCCCTCGTGGCACAGTGGTTAAAAGTTCGGCTGCTAACCAAAAGTTTGACAGTCGAATCCACCAGCCGCTCCTTGGAAACCCTATGAGGCAGTTCCACTCTGTCCTACAGGGCCACTATGAGTTGGAATCAACTCGACAACAATGGGTCTGGTTTGGTGACCTTTAAGATCACTGGAGTCCTGTGGTCCTGTGGCTTACTTCCCAACAGAATGAACTATGATGATTTTTTGCAGGGCGTGTGATGATATTATTACATGAAACTGAGTCTAGTTTTTCCCAGCTTTGAGCCTTATAAGTGCTAATGATTAATAAATATAAGAAAGAAGGCCCTCTTTGGCTTTTGGTTATATATCATGACTGTTTTGGTAATAAAGTAGAAGCATCTCTTCAGTGCTCCTTTTCTGTATATGGTATTATATTTTAATTGCATGTATCAGTACAGTTATTCTAGATTTGATAAATGTTTTAGAAGATGTCTCTGCATTATAGGAAAAAAATGAATTTTGTTGAGACAGGGCAAGATTTACTGAGCCTGAAAATTTTTCCATTCCAAATGCTCAAGTAGGTGCCTCGTTGAAGGTATTATTTGCAGTGTAAATCAGATCAATCTACCCTAATGAGTAAAACGTTTTAGCACAATAATAAAGCATACTTTGTTATCTTCTTTTCCTTTTGGGTTTGTTTTTGTTTGGTGTGTGTGTGTAGTTTCCGAGATCCTACCTCTTAGTCATCTTTTCCATGGCTTAATGCAGCTTTGTAATCTACTTGTTTTGTGAATGGGATTTTCTAGTTTTAGTATGGATGTTTCCCTACCAGTGCCAGGAGAAAAATAACAGCTATATCTTGACGGTTGTCTTATTCGTCCCAAATTTCTGTTAGGTTTTCTTTATTTTTAGTGGGTATAATTAATTGAATACGATTTAGAATTGAGTAAAAAATATAGCAAAAGAAACATCTCTTTTACTACCTCTGTGGTAGGGAATGTGTGTATAAATACACACACACACACATATACATACACGTTTATGGAATAATTCCTTTACAATTCAATCATAAAACAGTTATCAAGTTAGATGATTGGCCAAATCTTAACTTCCACAATCTCGGCATTACATCCTTTTAAAGAAATAGTGATTCAAACAATTACTGTGTTATTGAGTGCTCATATTCACAGCCAACTTTATATAGAAATCCTATAATTAATATGCTTCCTACTAGAATTTTTTTTGATTGTTTAAAAGACCCATCTCTGCAAATTGCATGTGGAGCTCTGTATAGGGATTTGAAAGAAATGGGCCCAGTGCCCAGAAGAATTAGGCCCTCCTCCACTACTGGGCAAAAATAAAATAATTAGCAATGAAAACCGGGCCTTGGTAAAAAGATACCTTACAACTAGAAATACTTTGATGACAGAGGAGACATAAAAGTTTTCCTAAAGAGGTCTGCAGATGGGGCTCATGAGGAGCGCTTACCCAAGTGAAAATGGGAACAGCATGGAGTTGAGTTGCTCCAGGGTAGTGTAGTTGGCTGCTGTGTGCTTCCCACTGGATTACACAGTACATTCAGGTATTTGTACATCTCAGTAAAATGTGGCTGTCCTTAATTGAACTAAAGAAATCTGAATTATTAACTTTTCCTTGATGGTCTCTTACTACTTCAGATACATATAGAAATTATTTTTATTTGCCTAGGCTTTTTTTTTTTTTTTTTTTTCGCTGTCTTTGCTTTTCAGAGGCATTCCCCCATGGCAAATTCTTTCAGTTTCATTTATGATAATAAAAAGACTTTGTTGACTGTTCAAAGCCATGAGAATAATAAAAAGCAGATAAAGTTTCATATTTACAAAATTGCAGAAAATGGTGGTGGCACTCCTAGTCTGGGAAATGTTGGAGGAAAAATGGAGTTTGAAACTTTTTTTCCATTATATTTTTCCCAAATGAATGAAGATGTCTAATGAATTCAGAATCATGACAGGTATTCTAGTTACTAGGATTAATTACCCTGCCAGAAAGTCCACATGTATTTGATTTGGTTAAATATGTTTAATCTTTGGTCATACTGTGTAAGTTGACCTCAGCAGGTATGAGCTCATCTGGGAAATGAGCCTTATTTATTCAAACTTTAGATAAAATTATGAAAAACATTTCTGAACATTATACAAAATCTTTTTGGGGATGTCATTGCAAAAGTCTCTAAAGAGGATCTCACATGTATATTGATGTATTACTGTAATTCTAAAACAAATTGGTGAGATTGAGTTACTTAGAAAGGTAATCTTGACGATTCAGTAGATTTTAATTTTGAACTGATTTTTCCTACATTGGATCAAGGACAGGAGAAATTAATACTCTGTCAGTTTGTGTTACTTGGATAATGTGAAAAATCTTTGTGGGTATGCAAACTATGCATTTTTTTAGTCCTTTGTCAAGGGAAATCCAAAACATTAACAGGTTTGCAAAATAATAAAGAACGTGGTAAACTAATCTGCTTCTGTATGTTTTGATAATACCTGATTTCATTGAACAGAAGAGAAATATCAGTTGAACAAAATAATTTTCATGTTTCATTTACATTAGATCGTTCGCTAAGTCCCATGTCTAAATGTAGCCCAAATGAATGTTATTTTAACTATTTTCATTTGTAACTATCTCATTTTAGAATTTATTTCTTTTATTGAAATCATGCCTGATTCAGGGAGATGACATGGATTCTCAATATTAAGGAAGAAAGAAATGCTTTAAAATAGGTTAAAAGAGTTTTATGTTACAGTAAAGGAAGTGAAATTAATAAAATCTGGGCCATTAGATTTAAAAGCATAAAAACTTATGTGATCCAGTTCCAGGTTTACTTGTTTTATGGCTAATCCATTTTGGTTTCATTGCATATGAAAAATATCTGAAGCTATTGAGCTGGATTATATTAGTGCAGATGATCAAAGCAGCTTTAATTTGTGCTTGTCATTAAGAATTTTGCTGTGCCGGTTTGTGCTGTAATCTGTATATGCACATATGCATTTCGTTTAAATGCACCATGGACTGTGTATTTACAGGCAGTCGCTGGATTACAAACATCCAACATACGGACACCTTGTACTTAAGAACGGACTCCATAAAGCCTATTATATTACAAATTTGAGATAAATACAACAGTTTGTGATAACGAACGCACACACTACTTTGTAATGAAAACATTGTGCGGTTTGGAAGTGTTTTGTATGCTTAGAAAGGTAAAATATATACTATATACTGAGGCAAACATTTGACTAACTGATGCTAAATAAGAACCATATGTACCTGTTCAGCTTACTACAAATTCAACTTAAAGACAGATTTAGGAACTGATCTCGTTCGTAACCCAGGGACTGCCTGTATAATCCTCCCATAACTCTATATTAATCTTGAGTTCTTCATAAAGATCACAGTTTCTACAAGATGAATCTATCACAGTATAAGTTTTAAAATTCACTGTTAACACTTCCATGTGTTACATAAATGAGAAATATCAGACTTTAAAATGTTGGTTATTCTGTTCTCACTCACACACACCCCTCTTCAGTTTTAGCATCTTCATTTGTACTAGATACTTTTATTATTTGTGGGAATGCTTGCCTTCTAGAGTAAAGCTCTTTATGTACCGAAAGGAAATGAAGGAGGTTTGGCTCTTTTACTCCATTATTGCAATTAAAAATTTAGCATCATCAGTGCCAAAGGATGAAAGTGGTTCATTTGCCCTAGGGGGACAGGACAGTGATAAGATGATTTTTCGTCAAGGATCATTGGGTCGTAATTAAGTTACATTCATGGCTATTGCTTTTTGAAGGATGATTGGTAAATGACAGGCTTCATGTGCTTAGTACGGACAGTGTTCAGTAGGGTTTTTTCTCCCTCTGTCAGAAAATCCTGTTGAGTCTGATAATGTAAATGTGGCATTTTATTCTGAACAAAAGAGCAGGGAAATGAGCTATCTTGTCTAATCATTCAGTTGTTTAACACCGACTTCCAGTTTAGACTCAATTGGCTGGAAAGCACTTGACATGTGAAGTTAGTGCTGTTCCGAGCACATGTTTGAGTAAATTTTAAAGTAAGTGACAGCTAAATTGTACCTAGGGAAATTACAAAGCCTTCAACACAGTTAATTTTTTTGGGAGGATTAGTTGTAATTGCAACACCAGTCTCCTTGAAGATTCCTCATTTATAGATGATGAACAGAAAAAACATTTAGCTCTTTCAAGGGCTGGTTTTCTTAGCAGTAATTTTTGTGAAGATGACGGTTGCTCCTGAATTGATTTCTCCCTCTACTGAACATCTGCGTAAGATTTGTAGAATAGTTTGTTTTTAGGGTGTTGAGGTTTTAGTTTGTTGTTCTACACCTCTCCTTGTTTTAAACTTTTTTTCTTCCCAAATCCCCTTTTTTCTCTAGTGATTTCAGATTTGAAAGCTTTTCAGTCAGTAAGCCCTTTAGGTAAATTGCCACTTCACTAACACGTTGTGCATAATGTTGAAGCACTTTCTTCCGATTAAAATTTAGTATTTGTCATCTTTTTTGTTGTTTAAGTATACTCTCTGGATTGGAAAGTTACTGTAAGTAAAGAGATTTAAGTTTAAAACTGCTGATAGGTGAATAGATATTTGTCACTGGTCATTCTCCTTGTAACAGTTCAAGATTGTATGGAGCACATTGGTGATTTTTACAGTTATGCCTATTGAGGAATTTGTTTGAGTTAGGAGTGCTTTGTTTCCCGGTACCTTTATGTAGATATTTTCATGATGAGGGGATGCATCATATGAATGTATGTCCAGTTAGCTTACATCTTAACCTAGGATTTGTGTTTCTGTCATTGACATTATAGCATACTTAATTACATAATAAGGACTAAAACAAGAGGTAGCGTTAGATTTGCCAGATGAGCTCCAAGCTTGCCTTTCTGGATGTTCCTCCATGTAATAATGAAAAATTACAGTTTGTAGTAGTTTTATATATGATGATACTCCCTTAAAATGTGAACTGTAGATTCTTGATTTTTTTATGTGCGCTAAGTGATACCTTTCAGTTAATAAATGGAATTCTTTTGTAAGTGTTCACACTACTTACTGGGCTCAGCCTATTATATATATATGTATCCTTAGAATTATAGGATCATATTTATACTATTTTGCCTTTATTTCCTAGGTTCATAGAATTTTGGTAGAGCTTATATTAATTTGCATCAATCAAAATATTACTTTTTAAAATAAATGCTTAATTTGTATTAGTATATATAGCTTTAGTCATGCAGGTTATATATTCCATTGAAATTTTTTTTGGAGTCTAGTCTTTGAAAATATCACAGTGGTATTTTAAGACATAGTAGTATGTTACAGAGTTTATTTTCTTTTAGTGTTATTTGAAGTTTGAATGCACAGTGACTGAATTTTTATCAGGAATGGACTTTTTAAAATCTGTGACTCACTTGTGTATAAAGCTTTAGTTAGCTTTAGATGCATGGAAGCTATGTGTGTATACTGAAATAAGCATGCATTCAAAGTTTGGAATCCAGAATTAATGTTAAAACAAGATTTCTTTGAAGAATTGTTGTTATTTTAGAGTAGGCTTTTTAATCAGTTTTAATGTTTTGAAGTGTACGAAGAAGATCACAGGATCACTTCAGGTCACAGAAGCTAGAAATAAATTGATTGGTAACATGGTGTCTTATGTTTCAGGAATAAAGTAGTTCCCACCTTTCTCCTTTTGATATTTTGCTGTTCTTACTGATTTCATCCTGCCTAATTCTAAAAGGGGAACAAACAGTGAAAGTACCACTTTCATTGATGGTTTTTCTCTGATGGTGCCAAACATATTTGAGTAGATGAACCTGACAGCACAAATTCATAGAATCTTACAGTATTAGAACTGGAAAGGAACCCAAAGGTCTTTGAGTTCAGCCATTGTGACAATCTGCTTCTAATCACCACTTCTAGAAAGAAATGTGTTACATTGCTCCTTCTAAGCTGTATGCAGTACTTATCAATTGGAATTGAAATCCAGAAGTCATGAGGATATGACTATCCGCATTAGCAGTGTTCATTTTAGATAATACTTTCTTCATATTTTTCTTTTCTGTCACCCAAATCTTCAAGCTTTAATAATAAAGATTAATGAAGACATCAAATTATGTGAGAAATGTAAGTTTTTATCTCTTTTTAAAGTGATCAGCTTTTTAAAGTGATCAACCACGAGTCAGAATGTAGATACTAGGGACTGAAAAAACTGACTGGTCATTTAGTTCATTTCTTCCTTCACTATACTTTGTACGAAGTGTTTTCATTATAGATTTCTAATTCATTATGTTGGCAACCTAAGAGGAGTAACATTTGTTCTTAGAATTACTAACAAATATATGAATTATTTCCATTTTGCTATTCCTGTCTTTTCTGTTGTTGTTCTGAGCACATATCATCTTCAGAAGCATATATTTGGAGACCAAGACTATTAACATGTCTCTTTGATTGACAGAACAATTATTCTCTTCATTTATTGATAGCCTTGACCTAATGTAGGGGAAATACAATTGAGACAATACTATTCTAGTTTGGGAATTGATCTGAAAAAAGCAAATCTTGCCATTTAAAAAAAAAAACCTAGTGTGTGTTAGTTTTACCCTTAAAAATGTTTTAGTAGTTTTCCATTAAATGGAATTGTAGAAAGGTAATAACTGAACTTACGTCGGAAGCTCAGGAAAATATTGATTATATAAAGCTTTGTATCATATGTGGTAGCTACTGTAGCATTTCTCTTGTATGACAGTAATCTAGCCTGCAACATCTACTTGCGGTTTTGAAATTAACCTGTAATTTAGTCTTCACCCCAAACGACAAAAATTCAAATGACTCTGTGGGGTGCCGGAAGATGTACTGTAAACAGGGCTGACTAAGGGGCAAAGGTAGAGATCCATCAGGATAGGCTCATTTTCACTGTGTCAGTATTATTGCAATAAAATTAACACTTCGTTTTCATTGTATTTTACTTTTTAGTACAGCTTAAAATCTTAATCTAGATAAAATAGTAGTTCAGTCTAGGGCAACGTAACATTTGTATAATGGACAAAAATGTTAGGGCTTTGGTGGAAAATAGGGCGTTTCTTCCTTTTGAAAACTGTTGCATGTTTGAAAGAAATTTGTTTTCTCTACAAAGGTCTCTGATTGTTGCTGATTGTGTTTTGGTCCTTGCCTCTAACCAGGCCTCATTTTTATGTGCTTCATACTCTTTTGCAAACTCTTTAGTTTCTTACTCCAAGAAGCACCACTTTCTTAGGTTAAACAAACAACGGTGCTTTTAATAGAGCTTAATGTCTTATTAGATGTGCTGAACTGAAAATGGGGAGTCTGGGGTCCTGCTTCCAGTGCCTGCTCTGTATACTTAGGAGCCTTAGGCAAATCAGCCAGTCTCTAGATGCCTCAGTTTCCTCACCTATTTAAAAATAAAGGGGACTGGCCTGTGGCATTGGATCACATAATCCCTGTTACTCTCCCAAGGCCCTGCGTTTCATAGCAGTATTTCTCATACTTGACATTTTCCTTTTAACGGAAAAAAAAAAGGTACTATTCAAGGACCCATAAGAATGTATTTGCATACTTTTTAAAGAAACTCTGACTTAATTTTTAAAATCATTTTAACTAATCACTACATAAGTGAAGCCTTGTCTTTATAACTGGAAAGAATTTTTAAAATTTATTTTTAAATAAACAAATTTTTAAGGTCTCTTAGAATTCACTGGCCCACAAAAATATCCTAGTTTTAGCAACAGTAAGTTCCTGATATATATAAATCCTGAGGTTACTATCTTCTTATCTCAGAAAGCTGACAGTATCCAAAAATATGATGACAAAGGTGAAAAGTGCTCGAAAATTCCTTGATAGCTATTAATATAAGTTTAATAAAGTTTCTGAAATCTGAAATTGTTGAGGGCTATGAAGGTGCATAAGTAGCTGGAAAAGATATTTGACAATAGTTCTTGCTTTTAGAAATAGTGCGGTCTTATTGCAGCTTATTACATAAAATCAGATTTCACTTAAAATAAATTCAGAGTATGCCTTCATCTATTTAGACTTTTAAAAAGCACCATGAAGCAAGCTAAGTAATAAAATAGGAAGCAGGGAAAACAGGGAACTGCTAATAATGTCTGTATTCTGAACATTGTTTATGTATGAGGATTGTTTCTCTTACTTTTTTCTATTTTGGCTTTGTGGTTTTCTGCCTTAAATAATGCTCAGTCATGTCCATTTTAATCTCTCCAAACCACTACTGAGAGTCTAAACGGAATTAGATTTGTTTTATTCATTATTCACTGTTGATGTTTCTAAGGGATGACTTACCTACTGCTCTTGGAGCCTCCATTGACTGCTATGAAAAGTATAAAATACTACCAAGGATTCATGATGTCTTATGCAAGCTGATAGAGAAAGGCGAGACTGATCTAATTCAGAAAGGTTAGTCACCTCCTAATATCTTATTGTAGTTGGGTTTTTCCCCTCTTGCTTATTTAATCTTAGTGCATTGCTGTGAAGACAAACACATCCAGAGAAACTTGGTCATAACTCTGAATTGAAAAGGAAAAAAAATCAGATGGATTTTCAATATTATAATTGTTCATTTTGAAATAACTTCATTTTGAAAAGTTGCCTCTCTGTTATTTTTGTGCTGTACTTCTTGGTGATCGCCCTTTATGAGGGTTGTTTTACCCTTAGCCCCACCAGTTCTCTCTGAAGGCCCTTAATGCCATACATGTATCCTGTTAGCCAAGGAAGATAACAGAAAATTGGTTGATACAGCTGTAATTTTTAAGTTACTCTAAATATTTGATTTTAAGTTGTATGTTGGTCCAGAACTTCATGTTCTATTGTGTTTCTATGTATTTTTTTCTTCTGATATGTTTTCTTCTTTCTTCTCTAGCGATGGACTTTGTGAGCCAAGAACAAGGTGAAATGACGATGCTGTATGATCTGTTCTTTGCCTTCCTGCAAACAGGAAATTACAAAGAGGCCAAGAAGATCATTGAGGTGCGGTTTTAAGTAGCGTATTCTGATAGTACAGCTATTTAGACTCTTAATTGGAATACATTTAAAATTTTTAACCTTTAATTACACTTGTTCTGATTCATGTTAATAGAATTCAATCCCAGTGATAGGGGGAAAAAAAGAACTCGGCCAGCTTCTTTATTGTATATAATTACAGTTCAGAAAAGGCAGTCTGGTTGTATATTGAATTTGTTTCCTCACTTTGTTAAATTCACTGTTATATATCAAAATGATATTTGCATATTAAATCTTGGATTGTGGAACAATTAAATTAAACTGGCATTCCTGGGTGTAAAGTTGCTAATCCTCTTTGCCAAGGAATTCTTTGTTCTTAAAAGCAGTGGAATTTAATTTGCTGCAGACCAGGCTCAGATTTATTTGTAATGCTTGTCTACAAGTTAATCAGCCAAACAGGTGCTGTCTGCAACTGTTTGGCATTTAATTTAAAATTTCTTCTTCTTCTTCTTCTTCTTTTTTTTTTAAACTATGGTAAGCAGCTTATGGGAAGTGGTAGGTGACAAACCTGGCCTGTTTAGGATTAGTGTATTTTATCTAAGCTTGATTGAAATTTGCTTACTGAAATTGATGAGTCAAAGGGCAACTACAATTCTGTGTCCACTAAGAAAACAAAATATTCAACAGAATATGTACCTGTTGCCTTAGGAAAAATGATTTCGTGTGATTAAAATTGTTAACTTACAAATACATCAATAATCATGTTTCTCTCAGATCGTACTTTGTCCTTACTCCATTCCTTTTCCCAAAAGCCCCTGTGAGGGGATGGGAGGCAAAGGTGTATTTGGCCTCCATATTTGCATACTGATGACTGCTTATTGGGAAATTTAAAACATAGGCATAAAACCCAGAGAGTTATTGTTGTTTCTTCTGATATTTTTCAAAGAAAAGTCTAGTATGGGAAAGGAGGACTGTGAAATTAATTCAGAACTTCCTTCTCTTTCTGTCTTATGACTCAATCTACCCACTTGTCAGAGGGTGGTGGAATATGCTATCTCAGATTGATGCTTCTGTAGCTCAGGCAGTTTGTTTGTGTTTTCTGGAAAATGGTATAAACTCTTGTGCTGAGCATGCACATTGCTGTTGACAATGAGGGGAGCCATCTCCTTGTTGAGTTTTGTTCTGTATGCATGTTATCTGTCAGTATTAGGAGGCACTCATCAGAGTAAAATGAAGCTCAGGTTTTCAGATAATAGTGGCGAGGGAGTCTACAGGAGGAATTCATGTGCCTCCCTCTCTCTTTACGTAATAAGCAGGGTGATAATAAGCAGGGCAGTAATAAGCAGGGCGGGCGTAGTAGGAAGGGCCAAAGGCATCAGAGTCACTTCTCCTTTTACCGTCTGCTTGCTTGTGTGATAATGGATGAGTCATTAAACCTTTCTTAGCTTCCATTTCTCTATAAAGAGGAATGTAATATCTTTCTTTAAGGTTCAGTCATATAATATGTCTAAAGCATCTTGCATGTTTCCTGGATTACAATAGGTGATCGATAGATAAAATTCTCTTTGCCCCTTAAAGGTGGGGATTGTACTGTTGTCTTTAACTTCCCCACATAATTCACAGTATGATGCTTAGCAAGAGAGAAGGCTGCCTCTTAAATTACTTGAGAGCTTTGCCAGTGTACGTTGAGCGTAGGCTTTTAGGATTGGCTGTCTGCTGATGCCGTAGGGTTTTCGTAGCAGATGTGTGCAATATTGTGGAAAAGGTCAAAAATAGCTTTTACAGAACCCCTATAGTAGCCTGGGATAGAATAGCAAGGTGTGAAGTGCTATGAGAATATACTGACTCACATTTTCAGTTGTGGTTTTTTAGGTTAATGGGAAGTGAATTAACGATGGGTTCTTTAGGTGGGAACCATTAAAATTAAGACCTGGGAGTTCTCTCTCACAGTTTTCTAAGGATTATTGAAAATATAAAAAGTAAGGAGAATCAATAAACCAGGAAAGAGTACTGAGCAACATTTAATCATTCCCCAAAAAGCAATAGTTGCTTATCAATGGATAGACTCACTACAGTTGAATTTCCAAAACTAAATGTACAGTAGAGCTTTCTATTTGATGTACTGTGGGAGATAACCAGACAAACCAGTCATAAAGATACGTTAAATGACTAAAGATTGAGGCAAGATTCAATGTATGCTCCAGTTTGTTTTACAGATGAGAAGCTGTACATATATTTTGTGTCATCTGTAATACATTTAACATATTTTATATTTTATTTCTACATACGAATTATTCCTGGGAGGTAGAATTATAGCTGGTATTTTTCTTTATGCTTTTCTGTATTTTGTGAGTTTTCTGTAATGAGCGTATATTCTTATAATCAGAAAAAGTGTTATTTTCTTCCAAAAGAAAGAGAAAAAATGAATCATACTAAGATCAAATGCTTAAGGAGCTACTGTGAAGCTCCTTGAACATGAGACTAATATGTGGAGATAACTGCTATCTAAGACTAGAGGTGTTAACTGCTGTTTAAAAAGGTATAAAGAGTACTGAGCATTCAAGAGTGAAACTTATTCCCAGGGTAGGAAATTAGGTGACTTTCTGGAGGAAATGAGATATGAGGTGGGGTTTGATGGATATAGTAGCATTTTAACATTCAGGAATTTGATGGGGTTGGGAAGTACATTAGAGGTAGAGGGAATACTGTAACAAGAGAAGGAAAATCTGTAAGCAGCTCATTTGTCCTGGCATGTAGGATTTGTGGGAAGTATTTTGAAAGGGTAGATTGTTTCCAGATCTTAGAGACCCTTCAGTATCAGAATAAGGACGTTGGGGTTCATTCAGAAGACAGTGGACTCTGAGCAGTGTTAAAATGAATTTATATTAGCAGAAGGATGTGGTATAGATTAAAGGGGGTTTGAGGCAGTGAGATTTAATAAGGATCTGAATGACAATCATGGTTGTAGGGATTTTTCAAGATACTTTTCTTGGTCATCTCAAATGATAGTTAATAATTATAGTGACCTTAGTTAGCAGAAGGCAAGGTGGGTTAGGAGTCTCTGGGCGGCTCACTGAACTACTAACCTAAAGGTTGGTGGTTCTTACCCACTCAGCAGTACCACGGAAGAAAGGACTGGAGATCAGCTTCCATACAAGTTACAGCCAAGAAAACCCTATGGAGCAGTTCTGCTCTGTAACACATGGGGTCTCCATGAGTCTGAAATTAACTCGACGAACTCGACAGCAATGGATTTGTTTTGTCTTTTGGTTTTTGGTGGTTTTTTTTGGGGGGGTGGGGAGGGGTTCAGACAGCTAACACACTTCACGCTTGAGTGCTAACTGAAAGGTTAGAGGCCTAAGTCTACCCAGAGATGTCTCGGAAGAAAGGCCTGGCAATCTGCTTCCCAAAAATCAGCCATTGAAAACCCTATGGAACACAGTTGTACTCTGACACGCATGAGGTCTTCATGAGTTAGGGTTAGGGTTAGGGTTAGGGTTAGGGTTAGCAGCTGGTACTGGTACTAGGGTGAATTAACAGAGATGAACTAAGCTCAGACTTAGGTCTGATGTAGCATCTCCCACCGTGAGTCCTTAAAGTTGACATTGGCATATTTCTTCATCTGAAACTTCCTTAATGAAACCTCTTAACTAAGGTGATTGATAGCATTTGAGTAACTTCCCACTTACCATCCCTCCTTCCTCCCTTCCTTTCTCCCTCCCTTCCGTCCTCCCTTTAATTACTGATCATAACTCTTACAGTCTAGTCAGAGATACAGACCTTAAAATATGAATCTATAAAATGTCATAATTGCTTTTAAAAAGGGCCTATTTCAGTCTAGGTCTTTCTCAGGAAGTAACGTGTGAGGTGAGAACTAAAGGGTGAATCAGGAGCCAGTCACATGAGTGGAGACAAGAGCAGTCTGGGCAGAGTGAAGTTCCTGTGCAAGAGCAGGAAAGTCCTGTTTCTGAAGACTCTGTCAGATAACGCTAATAAGACCACGTTTTCAAACTCCTGGTGGAAGACATTCTCTCCAGTGTTTGAAAACACCCGTTTTGTCTCTTCTGCAGTCTTAACCTCTGTGGGCTAACCCTTCCTAGTTCCTTCCAGTGTTCTTCTTATGACACAGTGTCACATGAGATGTGCCATTGGAGAAGTGTTCACAAATTCTTACTTTTACAAACTTAATGTAAGAATATCAAGTAAATACAGTTTGTGAAATATATTGACTTACCAGTAATGATGGTCAATCTGATTTTTTTCCCTGTGTATAGTCTCAAGTAAAACTTGAGTGTTTTTTAATGTATGCCAAGTATAAAGACTCATTATTAGTTATTAAAATCTTTGTATGTAATTGAAATGAATCATAACTTAATACCTTCTTCATCCTGCATCACTGCCTCTCCACTTCTCCACGTGTAATCGAGGCCGCATCATTCCATTGTATAAATGGCTAAAATTTACTTGCTCATTTCTCTTATGAGAAAAAAATTTACTATAAGTAATAATCGTAATTCATAGCTTTACCTACAGATGTATTTGGTCTTTAGATTGTTTTACTTAGGGTCATTTCTCAGAAATGGGTTAAATGTTATGCCTGTTTTTAAGGCCCCTGATACATAGACAAAAACTTAGTCTTTATAGATGAGGAAACCTCATTTATGGTTCAGAGTAGAGAGTTTGGACTAAAACCCAGACCTCCTGAGTTCTAGTCCAGCACTCCTTTTGCTACAAGTTATGATAAAATGAGATGCTATTTCTCTGTAAGCAAAAAGTTGACTGTATTCTTTTAGTCAAGTACACTTTAACATACTTCAGTCATCTCTCAGGAAGAGTGTCGCAGATTATTTAAATAAAGTAACAAAACACCTTTTGGATAATTCATTCCATGTTTCGAGACCAGTTATTATATCCAGAGAGAGATGATAACATGCAAGTGTCAGAAGTTAAATAATAGTGTGAAACGTTCAGTAACCATATTAAATGTTTCTATAAAGAAATACCTGATTTAATTTTATCTGTAGCCTTATGCTCTCTGGCACAAACACAAAGATAAGTAAAACCTTGTTCCCTGAAGTTCAGACCTAGATTAGCAGCTTCACAGTAACACTTTTATACTTCTCAGATGGATTTCGTGTACATCTTCATGTGAGGCTCACAAAACAACTCTGAGAAGTAACTAGGGCAAATAAACTGAAGTTCAGAGGTTGGTTGTGGAGCTTGTCAGTTAATAGTAATCATAGGATTTGAAGTCAGGTCCTGATTTCACATTTTCTGTTGGTTCCCCTGCACCCCTCCTGCCTCCATGATCTCCTGACCCCTCAATATCCGAACTATCAAAACCACTCACCCTTGCTTCAAAACAATTCTTTCTTGACTTTCCCTGAGGCTACTGTCTAACCAGTCATCAGAGCTTAAATCTCCAAATCAGGTTTATATCATCTCTTCATATCTGCTGTTGCCCTTCCATCTCATCCAGTCACCACACTGCATCCAGAGTAAACTTGCTGTCTCCTCACCTGGGGGAAGAAACAAACAAACCCTTCATTGTATGGCTTTTGTTTTAAGACCAAAAGTTTGGATTACAGTGATCTCCCAATCTTTGCTCCTCTTCCTTTTATTCTTTACTAGATCGAATTCAGGGTTTTATCGCGATTTGCCTTCCTTAGTAAGCCAGGATGGGTCTTATATATACAGAATGGATTTTAGAGGTGGGCGTTTTTGTTTGTTTTTTGACCCCCTCCAGATTTCAAGAGATGTCACTTCTCATGCAGGTTCATACCCCCTTTTCTCATGAATTATTTTACTCAGCTCCTGTAACAGTTAAGTAGATCATGTTTAGTTTATGACAGACTGTTAGACTTGCTTAGCCGTGTTTTTCTTCTTATTAGACATAGTCTTTAAGTCTACCTCTTAGGACTATAGAGAAGAGGCCAGAGTACCATGAAACCCTTTTTCTTCCTTCCCTTGTTGTCCTAGCTATGGGGAGAAATAGTTAGGTTGGGTTTTTGTTATTGTTATTGTTTGTACCCTCTCTTATTTTTCCTCCTAAAGGACAGGAGGCCAGGGGTGGTTTGTTTTGTTTTCCTATTCTTCATTTCAAGCTGTGGTGGCAAGAAAAATCAAAACAGGTAAAAAAGTTTCTGTATCTCTTTGGGTCAAATTTAAGATGATCTTACTTGACATAGAGTTTGAAATGCAGTAGAAGAATCTTGATTTCTTTTTACTTTATAATGTAATAATTATTTGAGATATATATATTTTTTACTAGAACACTAGTAAAATATATATATATATATGTTTACTAGTATACCAGTAAATGCCACCAAGTTTATTACATCACAGTAATGAAAATTATTTTTTATTTTGAATTACTTTTTATTTTCCTGCACAAGTGAGTCTAGTACTAAACTGCAGTGGCAGAAAGTGTTTTGAAGCACAGTAACCCAGGAGAAAACAAACCTGACGGTTTTTATTGTAATAATGACTATACTCACTGTCCATTAAATAGATTGCATGTAGCAAAAGCAGAAAGAAACTAGGAGTGAGTTCATTGTTTTAATTAAGCGTTAGCTCATTTTTGATAAGTTATATCCCATTGAGGTTTTTTTTTTTTTTTTTTTTTTTGCTATAATCTTTTTTTCCTTCTAAATTTTATTTATTTTGTTGTCGTCGTTGTTGAGAATAGACACAGCAAAACATACACCAATTCAGCAATTTCAATTAGAATGTTATTCTCCATGTCTTTATTACATTTTCTTTATATTTCTGCTTTCAACTTGCAGTGTTTAAAATTCAATAAGATGTTAAGAGATAAGCCAGAAATGTAGACTATTACAGAAGCCTAGGAGATTTAGTTAATCTGACCTAGATGTTCTTTTGATGATTGAGATTCGTATGTGAAAATCATTCTCAATTTCAAAATGAAACATAGGAATATCTGCTGTATAAGTCAGCTCTCCTGCCAGTGATGGGCAGATTAATCAGCCCCCAACAGGAGGAGTTTGTCTTCAAAGTTGTGCTATTTATTATTATTGGCATTTGGATCAGCAATATTGAAAGGTGCAAGTGAATGTCGCCCTTGCATTTTGCCATGTTCTAAAGAGGATTATCCACGGTTTTTCCAACAGCTTTTTGTATACATTGATGTTGATTTCATTTTCAATCTAATGCATGTGAAACAAAGCAGATAATGTGAGAAAGTTCCTTAGTAGAAATTTGTGTTCAAATGTTAATTTTAATGATAATTTGAGAACATATTCCAATGATTAATTTATTCAACTTTTATTTCATGTATCCCAAAATGTGGAAACTTTAGACAGTCAAAATGAGGACTCTCATAAAATTTCTGCTACTGTACCACTTTTGCTGTTGTTCTACCAGAGAGGCAAGATACTAGCTTCTTCTTCGGTTCTTAATTTAAGATTGTACATTTGTCCCTTGGTATCTGCAGGGGATTGGTTCCAGCACACACCACCCCCACCAGAGATACCAAAATCCGAGGATGTTGAAGTCCCTTATATAAAATGGCACAGTATTTGCATATAACCTCCGCACATCCTCCCATATGCTTTAAATCATCTGTAGATTACTTATAATATCTAGTACAGTATAAATGCTATGTAAATAGTTGTTTCATCACAATTGAAGACTTGCTCTGGAAGCTCTTGAGCTCTTCTGGGAACGCTGATGCTGCCTTGGCATCAGCCGGTGCAATTCGCCCGTGATCTCGAAGTTCTTGAGGCTATAGTCCTTTACAGAGCTAGCCTGCCATCTCTTACTCCATGCTAAATTCCTTCCTCTCGCTCTCCTCAGCCTCCTCACAATAGTGTTCATAGAGGCGAAGTAGATTCAGCATAGTGCTCAGCGTGATGGAATTTCAGGTTTTGCTTTTTGGAACTTTCTTCTTTTTTTCCCAAATATTTTTGATCCACGGTTGGTTGAATCAGCAGATGCAGAATGCAAGGATATGGAGAGCTGACTGTACAAATGTTAACTTACATAATAATAATGGGAACTTATAAATAAGAGATCATATTCAAGGGATACCTGGTTTCGTCTACGGGGCTGAGTGGAGAAAGCAGTATAGACACCTCCTCAAGATGTAGCCACCCGGGCTAGTGAGCATGTAGTTTCCTTCTCATAATGTGATTGAAGTGAAGCCCTCTTACAGATGATGAAAATACTGTGGTTAGAGTGGCAGATCCTTGGAATTATGTTGAAATGGTTTCTCTTTTATTCCAGTATCCAAAATTATAAAAGAATTACTTTGAAGCCAGTGTTATTGCCTGAACCTTAGCAATTCCTAATTGGGGATACAACATACATCTTAATTATTGAAATAAACTAAGACTATGAACTAATTTTAAGTACTTGGCTTGTTTTACTCGTTAGACATTTAGTTTTAGGTACTAGGCAAGTATTTGTGATAGTCCTTAGAGTACTTTCATCACTAAATTTTACAAAGCATGTTTCCTTTAAAAATAGAAGCCAATGGTTTATTGTTGTGACAATTGAATTATTAATGATTTTTTATAATGAACTAATAACTTTCATTTCCTGAATCTATTGAAATCTGTGAAGTAAGTATATGTGTGTGTGTTTACTTTTACATATTGTGGAGTTATTTAGAGATTTATTTTTCAGCTGAAGAAAGCTTAACTGTTTTTATTAATGATTTATAGAATGAACACTGACCTGCAAAGCAGTAGTTTGAAATAACCTGAATCTTCTCCTGGATGCAGGTTAAATACAGGTTGTGTCTACGCTCTGTTCTAATCCTAATTAAAGGTCTTTGATAACTGTGGGGCTAAGTTATAGGTTTCTTTTAGTGTATACGTTTGGGAAGGAAGCAGAGAGTTCATTAGAAGGAGAACTGTCTTTGAGGAAAGTTAACATTTCACTAAAAGCCTCATTGTGTGTGCTATATGATTATTGTATTTTACAGACTCCAGGCATTAGAGCTCGCCCTGCAAGACTTCAGTGGTTTTGTGATAGATGTATTGCAAGTAATCAGGTTTGTGTTTAATTTCTGACGTCTTACATCTTATTTGAGTGTTGGGGGGATTTGGAGGGATATAGCAGTATGGAAACAGTGTTGTCTTGGTGGTTTTCCAAACAGACAATAGTTTAGTTCTTGTTCCTGAGGTGCAGTAGAATCCCTGAAAATTTTAACTTGAACCCTGAAGATTTTAACTTGCTTTATCCTAGTTTGGGCAGGCTGACCTTGTTTCCTTAGCAGTGTAAACCAACCTCAGTCCTTAGTGACTGGAGGAGTTGGCTTGGTGAAGCCCAGTGGACTTTCCTGTCTCCAGTGCGGGTCTCCATCCACGTCGTGCCAAGAGAAAGCCACAGGGAAGGGAGTATCACGTTTGGATGGAGGAGTATTTTCCTTAATGGAGGATGTGCTCATTGAGTTCTCGCCACTCTGTCCTCCTTCCCAAATATCTTTGCATTCTCCACAGCCCACCTTTGTGGAGGGTCCCTCAACTGGATAGTTAGTTGGTCATATGGTGTTCTTGACTCCAAAGGGCCCTTTAGCCCTCTGACTTTTGGAAGTGAAGCTGGTCTGCCCTTTGGGTAAAGATTATTCAACTGAGATTTGTCAGCTATAAAATATGTTCTTTACATAATCTAAATCCATCTGTTAATCTTATTTTTAAGGTTGAAACCCTGGAAAAATTAGTGGAGCTGACACAGAAGCTGTTTGAATGTGATAGAGACCAGCTGTACTACAGTCTGTTAAAACTATATAGTAAGTGATCTGAGTATTCCTCATGTTTTTATTTTGAGGCATTTATTTATTCTGTTGAAGGCAGTAGCAAGAAAGAAGTGTCAGGCTTTCAAGAAGCTTCTGGAATTATCAAATGCTAAGTCTTCAACAGAAGCTTAGGGAGGCCAGATTGAACTTTGTCACAAAATGTTATATTGTATGACTAGACATTGTACAATCTTTATAATTTCTGACATTTTTCTGCAGTGATGAGAAGCTAAGAAAATCTTTATCAGAGCCAAAGAATTTAAAACAACTTTTTGGAGACACTATTCTTTTTCTTCTTTTTAGTTAAGTCTGCACATAGATTTATTAATCACTTCTGTAAGCAACTATCACTACTTTCATGTGTTTAGATCTTTTTCCAGAAAAGTGCACATCTGTATACAAATGCATTGCTAAACACTTCCTTTTTTTTAAAAAATGTGATCATATTATAATAGTTTTAACTCAGTGATATATTACAATCTTTTTTCTGCATTTTATCTCCTATAAATGACTAATTAATACATTGAATGTATGTACTAGAATTCAATCAATCAATGTCTTTTTTGCTGGGCATTGAATAGCTTTCAGTTTTTCATTTATAAAGCAACATTAAATCATTAATCTTTGTTCAAACACTTGTTTCCTTAGGCTGAATTCCTAGTGTTTGTATTAAGGGCTAAAAGTGGTTCACATTTCTAAAACTTTTGCTCTCTATTATCAAACAATGTTTTGATATAACTTTATACCAGTTTATACACTTGGGGCCTTTATAACTACAGTCTCTGTTGGGGAGTTCAGGAGAGGGGAAGGACTGTTAAAACAGGCAGTGACCATTACCTTTTTCCTCTGTAGATATTTGATCTAGATTTATTGCTCTCTTTTTCTCATGGCACATCTTCCTTCAACATAGACAGCAGTGAACAAGTTCACTCATTTGTCCTTTTGAACTTGTATTTCTTATAAGCTTTATTTTGTGTCTTGGTGGTGTAGGTATAAGACATACCTGCTTTAAAATATACATGCCACTTGTTAGTTGCATTAAAGCGCACACTTGATAATGTTATTCTTAAAACTTTGGCTTTCTTAAAAACTTCGAATGATGATTAAAGTCTAGCACACGTTGCCGAGGTTGGTACTGAATGTGTAGAATTAAAAGCCTTTTACTTTAGGCATGTGGTTCTTAAGTGGTTCCTTACAAGCAGCACTGTATGTGAGTGCTAACCCTCTTCCCCTTTTTTCTTCATTTTAAAGAACTGTTTCATGCTTAAGTATTATATTTTTTAATTGGTGATAGAAATATACACAACAAAACATAACAGCAATTCAGTGACATTGATTACATTCTCCAAGTTGTGCAGCCATTCTCGCTATCTTTTTCCAAATTATCCCACCACCATTAACACGTATGCAGCGCACCCTGCGCAAAAACTCCTTCTTTCCCCTCTTAAACATTAATTTTATGCAAACACCAAAAGAAGTTATCTATATTTATGATTCTAAATGAGTCTTAGCATTTAAAGTAGTCCCCATAGAAGATTATATAAACTTTCATTCAAAAAAAAAAAAAATCTGTGAAGCCCTTACTCTGCGAGCCATTATGGTAGGTGCCACGGATATAAAGGTAGTACTCTAGTGATAGGACACATAACTGAGAATTACAATAACAGTGTGTAAGAATAAGAATCTGCAAGATGAAGGTGATAGTCCAGGAAGGGTGAGAGGTGACCAACCTCACAAACTTCTTTTTCCTATGCAAATGAAGTTTTATTATTGTTTTAAAAAAAAGACAGAGAAGAACAAGTTTTAGGCTCATCTTAAAATTTCCCTTAGGGTAAGTAGTCTCTGAGGTTTAATACCATTTTTCCCTCCTTAATCCCGTCTGTCTGCTCTGTTGGCCCCCAAAAAAAAAAAAAGACACTTGCCGTCGAGTCAGTCCCAACTGGTAGCAACCCCATATGTGTCAGAGTAAAAGTGTCCTCCATAGGATTTTCATTGGCTGATTTTTTGGAAGCAGATTGCCAATCAGCTGATTAACAAATGCCCAAGACACGTCTGGGTGGAAATGAACCTTTAATCTTTCCGTTAGCAGCCGACCACGTTACTGTTTGTACCACTTAGGGACTCTGTTGGGCACCTCCCTCCAATTTCTTCTTGCTCTGTATTTGGGCCAGAAGTCTGAGGAGCTCTGCAGGCTGTGTGCATGGCCTCTTGTGAGGCTGGAAGCCAGTGGAATTCTTTTGGGGAAGTATACTTTCTAACACCATTTGTATACTTCCCATCTTCTGTAGCTCTATAAATAGATAACCTGGTTCTAATAGCCCCAGTCTTTTCCCTTCTGAAGAAAAAGAAAGCTATCCCCTTCTTCTGCCTCCTGTCTACATTTTACCCTCCGATTTTGACCACTATTAAATATTGTTACATAATTTATAAAATGCTAAAAAAAAAAAAACTCACTGCTGTCAAGTTGATTCCAACTCACAGCAACCCTATAGGACAGAGTAGAACTGCCCCGTAGGGTTTCCAAGGAGCGGGTTGGTGGATTCTAACCACTGACATTTTGGTTAGCAGCCAAGCTCTTAACCACCTTGCCACCAGGACTCCAATAAAACACTGCAGATTCCATTTATTTTAAAAGAAACGTGGTATATAATGATGTGTGAAATGTGGTCCTGTTACACTGGAAAATCCATATTTTGGATTGTGGATTTTTGAAAAAAATATTTGGCCTACCTGAATTTTTTATGACGTGTTCTTTTTCATAATGTAATTTTAGCTCTTGGAAGGGTTGACTTAATTATTTTTAGGTATTTGTTGAAGAGCAGCTTCTCTTTGTTATTTCTATTTTAAAATACACTTACTTTTATTGTGAATTACAGCATACTACAGAAATGTACACAAAACAAAGATTCGTAGATCAGTGATCTATCAAACCCAACACCCGTATAACTACGACACAGAATAAGAAATAGAACAAGTCTTTTTGTAGCTTTAAATAGTAACTGTACTAAAAGTGCTTTCATTTTCCACAGATTCCATATAGTTTAATGTCCATCCGTGATCTGTTAAAAGAATTTGCAGAATTCAAGCTTCAGTTCTATCCTTTCCAATACATTTTGACTTTTCACTGTGCCAGACTTGCAAAATTAACTCTTAGGACCTACAACACACATTTTACATGATGAAATAACTCCTTCACCTGCATAAGGAATATCCTATTATTTCTAAGTGACAAAATGGCCTTCTTACCAAACATTTTCTTATTTTTTTAAAGACTTGAATTTCTTCTTTACATAAACAAAGTATAGACAGTTTACTCTTTTTTACACATAAAGTACTATACCTAAAAATAAAGTTGCCTCACATTTACAATTTTGCAATAAAAATTCTTCAAATCAATTTTTAAAAAAACATTTAAAACCTCATCATTTCTTCTACCTCAAAAGTTATTCATGTGTCATTTTCTTACAGTATTATTGCTGTTAACATTTCTTTTTATACTGTGTGGGCTTTTTCCCTCTATTATTACACAAGGAAAACAGGAATATATTCTAATTACGAAAGATTCAGTTGATAACAATTTTTTAAAAATGTTGCCGTCAAAATCAACTCCGACTCATGGCAACCCCATATGTGTCAGAGTAGAATCGGACTCCATAGGGTTCTTAATAGCTGATTTTTCAGAAGGAGATTGCCAGGCCTTTTTTTCGAGGTGCCTCTGGCTGGACTCAAACCTCCAGCCTTTCAGCTAGCAGCTAAATGTATTAACTGTACCACCCAGCGACTCTAATACAATAGTATACAGAGCTAAATGTGAAAATGTTATTCTCTTCACTCTTACCCCAACCTCCCCACCTGAGAGGTAACTTGGTCCATAGTTATCAGCTGGCCATCCTTCCAATCCTCTGTCTCTACATTTAGATCCATATATTTTTACATATTTGCTATTATTTTGATTGCTTTACCCAGGGATGGGATTATATTCTACATGATGTTCTAACGCTTCCCTTTTTTACTTAATAATATGAAATCAAAGGAAAAGAAAAGATAAATGCATGGTTTTTCTCCCTTTCATTACCAAGTTTTAAAATAACGAGCTGGTGTCCTTGTAATCTCTGAAGCTGATCAGTGATTTTTTTTTTTTTTAAATGTATGAATTAATGGAATTTTATATGTTTGTGTTTCAGTTTGTTACAGTCGTTATTCTTTTTGGTGCTTAAATTGTCCCATCTTTTTCCTGCGGGATCCTCTTCATGTTGGCTCCTATGTCATTTGACACCACTCCATTAGTCCTTGTTAGTTCCTTGTTTTCAGGCATAAGAAGACAACGCAGGCTCACATTGCATAATTCCTACCCTAGACCCAGGATCCTCATTTTAGAAAGGAAAGATATTTAGAGACCACGATCAGCTGATTAACAAATGGGGGGTTTGGAGATCACCTCCTCATGTCAGTAATATGTTAAAACTATCGACTTTATAATTAAAGTTCTGAGCTAGAACTCTTCATCTCTTACCTTAGTACCATGGAATCCCGTGTGAGCATCAAGTGCCAGCTGTTACACCTGGTCATAGAGCCTTAAAATGTGGCTTCACAGCTGTGCTCTATCCTTGTAAAATTCACTAACAATGTCAAAATCTTTACTCTTAATAGCATTTAAGAGTTCTTAGAGATCATTTAGTACAGTCCTCTCATTCGTTAAATGGGGACCGTGAGTTCTAGGATGGCGATGTGGTGATAGAGGCAGAACTTCCGTTTCCTAGTCACTGTCTAGGTCGGTGGCTGTTTGAGTCTTCCAGTAACAGGTATGATGATTGTTCTCTGACTAGAAAGAATTTTAAGCCCCGAAGGCTTCTTAGGGAAAGCATGGCCTTTCTGCACCTTCGTGAGATTTTATACATAGCTGCAGATTTTGACATCCTGACTGGTTTGATTGCTTCAAATTTTTGTTAAATGTCTTATGATCCAGGTACATTTCCGAAAATTTTTTTCCCCTTAAAAATTTCACGTAGGTGTATGATGAGTTGTTTCTTGCTATATTACATTAATTCTCATCTGCATTTTGAAATAAGTTGCTAGTCCATTTTAACAGGTGCACCTTTGTAATGTCTTTGTCCTCCCAAAGCAGAAGCTTGTTATGCAGTTTGCATCTTTTCTAAAAGAAGAAAATTATCTTCCTAGATATTTTGCTGTCTGAAAGCATAGAGTTGCAGATCATCCACTCACCTTTTCTTCAGTGTTTGGAAAAGTTCAGTGAGCTTAAAAATTAATCTCTCGAAAAGTAGCTCAGCAGTACTGTTATCATCTCTTGGGAACCTCCCGTAACTGTATTTCCTACAGTCCACAAGTATTCTTTGGCAGTATAGAATAGCTCCATTTTTCTCTTTCTACAGAATCGAGATTCTTAGGCGTAGATTTTTTTTTTTAAATGTAATCAAATTGGTTTTATACCTTTACCAACTTGAAAAAGTTACTTCTGAACTTTACCCTTCTTATGTGAAAACATTTTAATGAATGAAAAATTTAGCTTATGACACTTTTGTTTTGAAAATTGATTGTATGTCTAAGGGTTTTTTGTGAGTTGGACTGATTCTGTTATCAAAGTATGTATAAAAGCACTCTGAACTTTAGGCTAATTTCTGTTATTTGTGCCTCCTTTCAGTATATTCTGTGTGAAAGTTTACGGTGCAGTCTGTGTATGACATGGGGACAGTTTTCTACTCATTATTTACCTTTTTTGTTATTGCTTTATTACAGATTTCTGATGGAGTGTGTGTGTTTTCTTTTTTGTCCTTTGAGTTCTGTAATTCTGGGAGTCATTAGTTTTCAGTTTTAGGAGGAAAAATTCTAGGAAGATCACATTTGTTTTAGTGTTTTGGTAATTTTCCTCTAAAATGCCTAGGAACAGATTTATTCGTGTTTTCTGGAATGCTTATGCTGTAAAGTAGACTTCCTTCTTAGAGCTGGACCCTACACAGTAAAGATATTCTTTATGTGTGCATTTAAAAATAGAAAACATTTAAAGCAATAGTTCTTAATAGTTATGTTGAACTTAGTGTCATGTTACATTTTTCATATCTTTTAATTTTTATCTAAGCAAAGATTAATTTATTAAATTAAATAACTTGATCTTTTCTCCTACTCATTGGTTTGAATGCTTAAAAGCAAAGTCTTGATTCTTTCTTTCTTGCTATTTGTGAAAATTGGTTTAGTATTTAGAAGGAGCTAAACTTTTCAATGTGAACAAATCTGCCTATTTCCTTTTCAACAAACCTTCTGTCCCCCTTTAACACTTACTTAGTCTGATAGTATTATTCTGTTGAGACAGGAAATCTAAGGAGGTACACACTGTTGTAGAAATTCAAGTCAACAGAAGAGATGCAGACAATCGTCTCTACTCGGCTAGGAGGGTTTATAGATTTGTCGCTTTTGAGGAAGATTATACATTGTACACTTTCAATCAGTTTAGACCCTCAACTGTGTCGTCTACAATATACATGTTTCCATTGTTTTTGCAAAGACTAAAAAGCATCGTTGGATTAACTGTCACCTGTTTCTAATTTTGATTTCAGCAACGGGCAATGTCTCAGTTACTTGATTATAGTTTCTGCTACATGATCAACATGATTTTCAAAGTGTTTAACAGATAAAATGTGGTATTGTTATTGTTTTTTTCTAATAGGTAAATTTAAAAGATACAGGAAAGTATATAGAAAAAAAGCCACCTTCTCACCTGTGGTCCACAGTCACCTGTGCCTTTCCCTGGAGGCAGCATTTGGAATAATGCTTCCTTCATCATCAGATAGGAGAAAGCTCTAAATATCCTCATGACTTCTGTTTAGTATATCCATTAATGCCTACCTAATCACATTTTACAGAACTTAATGGTGACTGGCAAAGAGCTGATGTTGTCTGGAATAAAATACAGGAAGAAAATATTATTCCTCGTGATAAGACATTAAGGTTATTAGCGGAAATCCTTAGAAACAACAATCAGGAGGTTCCATTTGATGTGCCTGAGGTAATTTTTTTTTTCTCAAAGTATAACAGATTTTGTTTTCAGTATACTAATTTAGAATATAGATTAGCCTGGTTTTATATGAAAAGATCACTGTATTTACCATTTGGTGTTTAACTGAATAATTTTGTTTTTAAGTTGTGGTATGAGGATACAGCACATCCCCTGAAATCTTCATCACCCTCACCTGTAGAAACTCATTTCGAGAAAGATCTATTGAAAGCCTGCCAAAGGAAGAAAAGTAAAGGTAAACATGTACACTGGAGCCTTTCTAATAGCAAAGTAGATCTAAGCCCAACAAATTAGAAGTGCTCTGGGCTATTGATGGAGCTTAAATTTTATATATTAATTGTTTCTTGCATACTTTAAATTAGCAAAGACATTTTGGGTTGGTAAAATTTAGATGTTGACTAAGTGGTAGGTGATATTAAGGAATTGCTCTGGTTTTTATTAGATATGGTAATAGTGTTATTATTTATAGGAAAATGTCCTAAAATTTTAAAATGAAGTATTGAAGGATGAAAACAAAATCATGATTTCTGTAATTTATTTGAAAATACTTAAGCCACAAAGATAAAGCACGTCTGGAAAAACGTTGCAGTAATTGTTAAGTATAGGCAATGAGCATATAGCGGTCATGATACAATTTTTTATACTTTTCTACACATTCAGAATTTTTCATAATAAAACTAATAGGCATACATTTTATCAAAAACTAATTTGAAAATAGCATTAACCAAAAATTATTTTGGCACATACTATAACTTATTCAAAAGTGAAACATGATGAAGACATTAACCACGGTACTAGTATGTGTGTTAAAGTGATCATGCCAATATCTTAAGGTTGGAGGCAGGACATGAGCCATGCTTCTTGCTCTCCTTCCCTTTCTCTTGTGGTAGATCTTCTTAAAGACATCCCTCCCTCTCTTTTGACCACTTTAAAATTTTTATGACCATCTTTAACCCTCTGGTGTAACTTCCTTATTGAATTCTAGATATTTTTATTTAGACTTTCTTGTATCCTTCCCAAATCACATCTTACTCTTATTCCCTTATTTTTGTTCATTTGTCTCCATAGAGTGCTACTGTGATCTTTAATTCCTTCAGCTTTTGTGTGGATTTCAAGCATACTTTATGGTGATTTAACCATTAAGGCAATAAATGTAGCAAATATTTTTTATTTTAGTGTTGACAGTTTTGAACTCTAAATCAAGGGATAAGAATCCATTTAGAAACTTAAGAACCTCTTAATTTCCTGATTTAACTAGAAATTTTGTCAGACTGATACGAAGTGTATCAAGTAAGAAGAAGCTAAGTTCTTAAGCTTTGCCAATCACTCAGGGTCACTTTTTTTTTTTAAATTCTGAATCATCTTCCTTTGTTGCATATTCATTCAGTCCAGCCTTGACTCTTCACCATATATCTGTTTTAGTTCCATTTCTGTCCCCTTTCAGTTTAACCTTATCTAATGCCTTGTGTAGCCATGATCACAGGAAGCTTCTAAAGGAATTTCCCTCAAAGTGTACCACAACTGTATGCCTGTGTTTGATAAATCATGGCTTCCCTCTTGTCAACCACACCATTTTCCAAAATGAGGTCCTTGGCTCCAAGATCCTTGGTAGGTTAATAGATCTTATTTGAAAAAAGTGTCCTGGGGTCAATTATTTGTGAAATGCTGTTGATCTGGGTATAATTCATTTCTCAGAGTTCTAATATGCAAATCTGCATCGTGAATCTCCAACAGAGGACATAGCGTTTTGCATTTACAAGTCATCATCACAAAACCTTTTTTTCCTCTCTGGATCAATCTTATAAAACATTTACAGGACAAATCCAAGCTTTCTTGCCTGACAGTCAGGGACATTCCAATGTCTAGCTTCAAATTTCAAAACCAAATCTACACTCCTGCCCACTTTCGTGTCAGGTAATGAGAAAATATCTGACACCTGAGTTGTTTCATGTGAATTTTAGTGATGATTGTCAAATTTTACTAGGGTATTAATGTGGAATTTCTTTAGAATCCTTTATATTAGATTAATTGACTTGCATTTCAATGCTCTTGGGAATAGGACTAAGGACTTCAGATGCTGCTGAGTAATTGGGGCACAGCCACAAGGACAGCCTATACAAAGAACTTCTAGATTATAGATTTCCCTAAACTTTCTCTGAGAAATTAAATCCCCAGTAATTTATTTAGAAATATTTTAAGGATTATTGAGTGTAACTTAGTAGCTAAAATAGTAGTTCTAACCGTTGTGTATAGTATCTGCATTTCAAAACATGATTGCTAATTTCCTTAGCACAGATGCATGCAGTTCTTCATCTCATGAGTTTTGAGAGTTGATAGCTTGATTGGAAGTCATTTTCTTTCCCCAAGTATTGTAACTGTCATCTTGTTTAAAACTAAATATAAAATTGATTATCTTTGTCAATTTTACTTAAATATTCTGGTGAAATTTTTATATGACAAAGATGAATATAAGGTTAATGTACACAGTTTTTGTTTAAAGCTTCTGAAACCCTTCATATGCTTCATATTTTGCCCTTTTTTGCTGTTGTTTCTTATTGAAACATTTAACTGGTTAACTAAATATTATGTTTATATATTTAAACATATATTTATATGTTTATTATAAATGTAAAGATAGATCCCTGTTCTGGTTTTAATAAACAATTTATATTTAATTGATTTCTTCCTGTTAATTTTTCAGTTTTTAGTTACTTTTGTATATATTTCAGGATTTGAATGCTTAGCAAAATATGATTGCTTTGAAAATTAAATACTTGCATTAACACTTTATCAATTCTCTGATAGCTTAGTCTACTTAACGGGGTATTTTCACACCAGAGATAAACCAGTGGTGAAGGGATTTGGTACATTACAGTGGTAACTTTTTTTTTAAACTAATGGGGAATAATAAAGACTGCCCCTCCAATTTGATGTGAAGACCACAGTTTTAGAAAACAGCCAGTAAGTTTTTCTGCATTTAGTTTGTTGATCTTAAATATTGAAAACACATTTACTGTATATCCTTATTCACCAAACTAGAGAACTAGTTATTCATTCTTGTTAGGAAGTAGACAATAATTGCATTACATCTGACCTTTTTTGCCCCTTTACAAAGCAAATGTATGAATTGTGTACTGAATGACACATTCTATTACAGTCTAACAAGTAAATAAAACATTGTTTTTGAATTTGTAATGGATTGATACTGGTATTCAAGTATAGATATGACTTTAAATTTTCTCCCATTACAGAAAAGTAAAGTACACTGAATAGACTAGGTGTTTGATGGAGCAATCAATAAATAATAGTTGAATTCCTTCTCAAATATTTGTTTCCCTTTTCTATCAGTCCATTGTTTGCCAGTGTCCTGGAACATAGAGTTATTCGCAAACAAAAATCTGATACAAGGTACTTGGTAATTTAATGACCAACAGAAATTATTCTCTGGAGGAACTTATTTAAAATTTGATTAACTTGTGCCACTTTTCACGTTCCCAGACTGTTCTCCTAAGTTAAGAGGCAAATATAAATGTCTCTTTTTCCTCAAATTTAACTTGACGGGATAAATTTTTGAGATTGCTACTTCAGTTTGAGGAGCTAATGGAGACTCCCCTGTCCCGGTAACTTAACAGTCCAAGAATAACAATTACTGCTTGTTCAGAAGCCTCTTAATTAGCTTCGAATGTTCTTCTAAACATTCATGTCATGTTCACTCCTAGTCGTGTGTTGTCTCCTTACGTTGAGTTGCGTGTTCGCAGAAGGTCGTACGTGATCGTTCAGTTATGCCCCCTCTTTATTGTGATTTGTTTATACACGCAAGAGAGTGGATTGTGGTTTCAGCTGGATATTTATAGCCAGGCAATTTTATTTCAGAAAAGTAAATGACTGAAAAGTGTAGTTACTTCTCTTTTGGTAACATCTTTTCATTCACTGACAGTTATTGTGAACGAGTGAAATAAAACTGTTAATCAGTCAAACAAATGTTGCTTAGTTTACTTGTTAGATATCTGTATATTTGAAAATTGTATGTTTTTGTATAAGTCCTGTCGTAGCCAAATAATTTGATCTCCTAATTTTAGAATTATAGGCTATATTCACTTTCATGCTATTGTGCTGAAATGTTAACCATTGTAACCACCCACTTATAGATTAAAGATTGCTTTAAAATGAATCTTTTGCTCCCCTCAGTCTAAATTATGCCTCTGGCTTACTTGGACTTTAACACACATTTTGCAATTTATGTTGAAACTGGTATCATCTTTTGGCAAACGAATTTAGAAGAGCTGTTTCTTGTTTTTATTGGCACGAGAATAGTTTATCAACCTAAGAAAGCTAGTGTGAAAAATAATTTTAAAAGGAAAACTTTTCAGGTACTATCCATCCATTTGAATTAAGTAGTTGTTTCTTAGAAAGTCTGTTAAAAATTAGGAGAATGACAACGTCTACTTGCTCAGCCCATGTGTGTGACTTTGTAGATTGGTAAGAGTGGGTGGGTATTAAAAACCCCCAGAAATATATGGGTTTGGGGCTTTGTTTTGTTTTTCTTTCCCTGTTTGCCATTTCAGAATATCTCATTTTTTTGTTGCTTTTTTCTTGTAGATGCATATAATATTTTCCTGAAAGCACAAAACCAAAATATCGAGTTTAACAGTGAAACTTACAGCACTCTTACACGATTACTGTTGTCAATGGATAGTTTTACACAAGCAATGCAAGTGAAAAATGTGTAAGTATTGTATTTATAGTCCATTTATTATACCTCTCACTTTAAAAAAATGTTGGCAACTGTTAAGATTTTTCTAATGATGTGTTACTATAGTGGCTTGATTATTCTCACCTACCCCTAAAAATCATGTGAAATGTTAGCCAGTTTTACAGGATTTTTTTTTTTTTTTTTTTACCTATAAAAAATATAACCTTTCCTGATCCCACACAGTACTATACATTTTTTTAATTTTGTATGCCTTAGCATCTCATTTAATATGCCTATACACAGAAAGTGTGGAGCGCTGGTTAAGAGCTTGGCCGCTAACCAAAAGTCGGTAGTTTGAATCCACCAGCTGCTCCTTGGAAACCCTATGAGGCAGTTGTCTGTTCTGTGGGTCGCTATGAGTCTGAATCCAGTCAACCACAACAGGTTTGGTTTTTTTTTAATACACAGAAAGTAACTTTGTATCATGCTGTTTCTTGTTATGCAACAAGTGCTGTGTACCTTTTGTGGTGGTGATAACAGTCTGATATAATGAAGACACTGAGGGCTTTGAACTTAGTCTGGGGGCTTTGAACTTAAATCTCACTTGTAAGTTCCATGACCTTAGGAAAATTACCTCCCATCTCTGAGTCTCAATTTTTCTCCTATGTGATGAGCAGATGATAATATTATTTATATGAAAGGTTTCTTCTCGGTGCTGTAGGGTATAGAGTGAGGTAGAGACAACATAGGTGTTTAGCACATTTTAGATGCTGTTTACCTTTCTTCTGCTGTTGTTATTTTTTGTTTTCAGATTTATTCATTGATTGATCTGTTTGGTGGTGGTGGTGGTTTTGTCTTTCTGGCTAGTTCCCAGATTAAAATACTTTTCTAATCAGAACAAGAATAAAGGTCTGTTACCTGGTGTGCTGGTTAGTCTTACTCTGTTTGTTGTTTTATCCTCAAAGAGCTATCTTGAAAGCTGGAGTTACTAATCAGAAAGGGGTCTAGAAAAGGAGAACCAAGGTCACTTGCCTTGGAATATAGACATGTCTTGTTGGTAGCTCAGTAGCTTTATTTTCAAGAGGAAAAGACTAACCTTTTCCTAGTGTATTGTGAGTTCCAAAAGAATCTTTTTTGGCTAATTGTGGGCCTTCAGAATTTTTAAGCCATGGCACTTTTGGAATATTCAGAATCCTGAATAGAAAGTGGATGCTTGCCATTCTTCCAAGTCGCTGGAAAACCTCGTATTATACTAAAGTTGTGCATCATAGGGTATATTTTCTGTTTGTTTCAGTCAGTAATAACATGTTACTGCTCTTATGTTACCCTGCTTTGAATAAGCAGCTCCCTGTTGAAAAATTTATTGTGTGTGACTGTTTGTGTGGGTCTTGAATCATACTTTGTATGTCTTTATGTTGGGACAGTCACGCTAAGACTTTTAAGTTCAGGTTTTTAATGCACTGTGTCTCATTAGTATGTTTTTATTACTGTTAGTTGCTGTCAAGTTGACTCTGACTCATGGCAACCCCATGTTCTACAAAACAAAATGTTGCCCAGCCCTGCACCATTTTCACAGTTGTGGGTATGCTTGAGTCTATTGTTGCAGCCACTGTGTATTTTGAGAGCCTTCCAACTAGGGGACTCATCTTCCAGCACTAGTATTCTGTTGTGATCCGTAAGGTATTGTTTGACTGATTTTCGACTGTAGATCACCAGGCCTTTCTTCCTGCTGGTATTTGAAAGACTGATGGCATAGCTTCTAGCATCATAGCAACACATAAGCTACCACAGTACAACAGACAGGTGGTGGATTTGTGTGTTTACTCAATTATTAATTAAAGTATACTCTCAATTAGTGATTTGGGAAATGACATTGAACAGAATCCTGTCATCTGTAACTACTGAGGTCAAGGGTGTGGAGTTGTTTCTCCAGTTACTTTTCTCAGAAAATTATCTAACACTTCCCATAGTTTAGGTATTCTGAGGCAGTGGTGATTTGGGAAGAAGGAGAGGTAGAAAAAAGAGAGGAGCATTTTGTGTTTAAAATTGTATCTGATTAAGAGAAACAAAGAGGGAACACTTAAAAATAACTTTAAATCCTAAGGTTGGTCACAAAGTCCTCTGAAATACTCCTCAAAAGTACAGATTATAATTTTTCATTTTAACTGGGCTTGTTCTAGTACAGTGATCCTCACCCTGTGGTAGCATAAAGATTCCCCACTACCTACCTCAGTGGTTCTCATGCAGCTGATCTAGTGTGAGGTCCAGGAATATGCATTTTGAAAAATGTTTGCACATGCCTCAAACATTTTAATCACATTCTATTAATAGTGAATTGTACTAATGTATCTCATGTAAGTATATTATAAAACATGCTCAAGAAACAGAAACCTTTCATAGGATGAGATTTTAAAATACTAGAAGTTTCTCATGCCTCACACCATACACAAAAGCTAACTCAAAATGGATCAAAGACCTAAATATAAAGCCTGAAATGGTAAAGATTATGGTAGGAAAAATAGGGACAATGCGAATCCGTTGCCGTCGAGTAAGTTCCAGCTCATAGCAATGCTGTAGGACAGGGTAGAATGGCCTTGTAGGGTTACCAAGGCTGTAATCTTTACGGAAGCAGACTGCCACTTTTTTTCCCATGGAGCGGCTGATGGGTTCAAATTACCCACCTTTCAGTTAGCAGCCGAGGCTTTAACCAGTGCACCAACAGGTCTCCCTTGGGACAATGCTAGGGGTCCTAATACATGGCATAAATAGAATACAAACCCATAACTAACAATGCACAAACACTAGAAGATAAACTAGACAACTGAGACCTCCTAAAAATTAAGCGCTTACGCTCATCAAAAGACTTCACCAAAAGAATGAAAAGAGAACCTACAGACTTGGAAACAACTTTTGGCTACGACATATCTGCAAGGATCTAAACTTTAAAGTCTGTAAAATACTTCAACACCTCAACAACAAAAAGACAATCCAGTTAAAAAATGGACCAAAGAAGACATTCAGGTGGCTAACAGACACATGAGGAAATTAGTCATTAGAGAAATGCAGATCAAAACTGCAGTGGAATACCATCTCACCCCGACACAACTGGTACGAATCAAAAAAACACAAAATAACAAATTTTGGAGAGGTTGTCGGGAGATTGGAATTCTTATGCATAGCTAGTGGGAATGTAAAATGGTATAACCACTGTGAAAATCAATTTGGCACTTTCTTAAAAAGCTAGAAATAAAAGTACCATAAGATCCATCAATTCGACTCCTAGGAATATATCCTAGAGAAATGAGCCGTCACGTGAGTAGACATATGCACACTCATGTTAATTGCAGCATTCATTATTCACAATAGCAAAAAGATGGAACCAACCTAAGTGCCCATCAACAGATGAATGAATAAACAAATTATGGTCCATACACACAATAGAAGCCCTGATGGCTCAGTGGTTAAGAGCTATTGCTGCTAACCAAGAGGTCGAGAGTTCAAATCCACTAGCCACTTCTTGGAAACCCTATAGGGCAGTTCTACTCTGTCCTATAGGGTCGCTGTAAGTCTAAATCGACTCGTTGGCAATGGGTTTTACACACAATGGAATATCATGTAATGATAAAGGACAGTGATGAATCTGAGAAACATCTTACAGCATAGATGAATCTGGAGGATATTATGCTGAGTAAGTCAATCACAGAAGGACAAATATTGTATGAGGCAACTGTTATGAAAACCCAAGAAAAAGTTTACACACAGAAAAAAACCATCTTTGATGGTTACAAGGGAGAGGAGGGGTGGAGAGGGGAAATCACTAACTAGATGGTAGATAAGGGGTAGCTTTGGAGAAGTGAAAGACAACACACAATATAGGGGAAGTCAGCACCACTTGACTAAGGCAAAGTCATAGAAGCTTCCTAGACACATCCAAACACCTTAAGGGACTGAGTTATTGGGGCTGAGGGCTGGGGACCATGGTCTCAGGGAACATAGGTCAATTGGCATAACATAGTTCATAAAGAAAATGTTCTACATCCTACTTTGGTGAGTAGCCTCTGGGGTCTTAGAAGCTTGCGAGTGGCCATCTAAGATACATCTATTGGTCACATCCCATCCGGAGTAAAGGAGAATGAAGAAAAACAAAGACAGAAGGAAAATATGAGCCCAAAGGACTAAAAGGACCACATGAACCACAGCCTCCACCAGCCTGAGCCCAGAAGAACTAGATGATGCCTGGCTACCACTACCAACTACTCTGACAGAGATCACAGTAGAGGGTCCCAGAAAGAGTGGGAGAAAAATGTTGAACAAAATTCAGATTCAGAAAAAAAGATCAGACTTACTCGTCTGACAGAGACTGGAGAACCCCTGAGACTATGGCCCCGGACACCCTGACTCAGAACAGAAGTCACTCCTGAAGCCTACCTTTCAGCCAAAGATTAGAAAGACAAACAAGAACACAAGTATATGAGATCAAATGGACAACAGCTGCAGAAAGGAAAGATGAGAAGGCAGGAAGGGACAGGAAAACTGGACTAATGGACGTGGGGAAAGTAGAAAAGGGGAGCTTGCTGACACATTGTGGGAATTGCAACCAGTGTCACAAAACAATTTGTATATAGATTTTTGAATGATGAAAAATAAAATAGCAAAGCTTTAAACACTTTCTTACCCCAGGGTGTTCTTGGATTTTGCACCTCTCCTTGAAAGCCATGTATCTAGACTGATGCTTTTCAAACTATAGCTGCAACCAATTATGGGGTCATGGAATCTATTTAGTGGGACAGGACCAGCTTTTTTTTTTTTTTTTTAAATAGAAAATATCAGAGCATTTCTTGTGTAAAGGTGTTATTTTGTGAAACTTTTATTTCAGTCATACGTGTATGTATGTATCTGTATACTAGGACGTAATCTAAAATATAGTTTCCTAACTGTAGTCTTACTGTGGATCTTGATCAAACAAGTTTGAAGCTGCTGACTCAGAAGATGGTGATAAGCACAGCCCATTTTTCCCCCTTATGGCACAACCCATAATATGTAGGTTTTCCTTCTTTCTCTCCTTCTTTCTTTAGATCTTAATGAAGCTCATCTGTACTCTTGAGGGCACTTTTATCGTAGCTTTGTTGTCCCACCAGGATTATTCTGTCACTGACCTTGGGCAGGACCAAGAGAATCCTAGTTCCAAAGCCTTAAAATGCCCAGAGGCACCTAATCTGGGAATTGGATGCACGTCCTTTCCCTTAAACCAATAAAATGTTAGATCTAGCTATGTAGAATTGTATCTTGGGTTAAACCTACATTGTGTACTTTTGAAGATAACCGTGGACTGGGAATTCAGAAGCGGAAGTTCTAGTTGGAATTCTTCAAGTAATTAACTGTTATCAGAGGAAAGTCAGGAAGCATCTCTGGATTGATTTCCAAGTTTGTTGCCAACATTAGACTAGGTCATCTCTTTCCAGCTCCATATCAATGGTCAGAGTAGAAAAGCACTGTTGCTTTGATAGGCAGCTGTATTGTAATGTGGTGTGTCAGAACAAGCCACTGTGGCAAGTGACAGTGCATGCTAGGATGACTCTCAGTCCATAAATAGCAGTCACTTGTACATAGTGTCACTTGGTCAGACTTAACGAGCAGTGGTTTTCCTTATGAACTGAAATGCAGTCTTTGTTTATGTCTCTAATGTGTTGCAGATTCACTTGACCCCTAATGAGATTTCTTCAGTTTTATTAACAAGGTCGCTTACCTTTCCATGAAATTGTGAAAGTAGCAGTAACCACAGCCTTTAGAATTTTAAAAGAAACTAACTTTATTTGATTTTTAGTTAGAATTATAACATTTTCTCATGTTTCAAAATAAAAATTTACCTATAGTGAATTCTTTCAAGGGAGAGCACTTGCTTATTCAAAGAGCAGCAGAGAATATAGTTATTATTTTAAATCTCTGATAACACTAAACTGTATTCTTAGGGAATTTGAGAATCATGTGACACTAGCTCCTCTTTATCTTTGAAAGTAGCTCTTCATTTTGTCTAGTCCTTACCAGCTTCCTAGTTCATTCTGCTTAGAAATAATGCTGTCACTGATAGTTCTTACTGGATTGACCAGTTTTTGTTATCCAGAGGAATGTGAATTACAGTCACCGACTAATGGTTTATGGGTGTGTTATATAAGCACAATCCATAGAACAGTCACTGCTCTGAAATGTCTAATGTGACACTTCTCCTGTAATACTGTCTTCTTTCGTTAAAATAGGTTAATTTTTGCCATTGATCGTTAAGAGATTGATAACCTCTTTTTTCCCGGTAATTTTTTTTTTTTTTGCGCTTGTAAAAATGAAAAAATGTCTAAAATTCTCAAGTGTATAGTAGCCCCATGTGACTGGTGGCTACCTTGTTGAACAGCACAGACAGAATAAGAAGTTTGATTTTGCAGTGCTGGACTAGAATTTTCCAAAAGGAAAAGTCAAAATTATGGATCAAAAAGAAATTGTATTATACATACACATGAATGAGTTCAGTGCAAAGATGTCTGCTGGTAACTTTTTGTTGTTTTTCTCCTTTTGCCAGTTTGGAATATATTTTGAATTATTATTAGTCAGCTTGTACATATGTAGTGTGTGTGTGTGTTCAGATCTGAGGAGTTCTTTTCTGCCTGTATTTATCTTCTCTTTCATATTTGTAATGAATAAGCAGCTTTTTGAGATATGAAGAGATACTTGAAAGAAAATTGTTTTGTTTTTTGAGGTTCCAAAAAGTTTATAGTTCACGCTTGATATCAGTTAAAAGAGAAGTTTTGTTAACTAATGATTTTAATGATTTTTAGGTAATATTTTTAAGTGCATATGGTATAATACATGTAATAATATTGGCATGGGAGACAAGCCTTTAATAGTATTACAGTTTATTTAATCATGCTGAAGATTGAGAAAGTAAATCCTTTGTTTTATGCAGTTTATAGTCTCATGCATAAGTTGTTGACTTAAGAGCTTTGACAGATGGGACAGAGGAAGAAGTCAAACTGAGCAATGGGTGCTTTGGCGGGATTAAGAGGATTGGTAGGAGAGTAAGGAAATCCCGCGCCCAGGGACCACAGAGGTGAGCCTCAGAGCTGAAAGTGATGAGAGGATAGGGTCATCGTCCTCGTGTCTTTGGTGGATTTTCTTGGGATTGATGAGAATAATTCAGCAGTGACCCTGCTTTTCTCACAATCTGCTCAGCTCCTGTGTTCATGTTGGCAGGCCGTGCGCTTATTGGCAGTCAGGTCATCACTGAGCTTGATAAGGCAAATGGCAGCAATTGCTTCAGCTCCTTTTGACCTGGAGAGATTTCCTAATGGGGAAATGAACCCTGGGGCATTGAGGGTGCTGAAATTTCATCAGAGGAGGTGTGCAAACAGTGTAGCAAACAAATCATCTCCAGCTAGGTTTCTTTCTTTCTTTTTTTTAACTCTCGAAGGTTTTAGTGATAACTAAAACGATGTTTTGCTCTTGAATTTTAAAAAGTTGGGTTTTTTGTTTCAAATTTAAGACTGACTGGGACGAGATAATTGTGTGAAATTTTTAATTTTAACGTAGCAACGGTTGTAGTTCTCCAGTATGTTCAGCTTTAAAAACTACATGTATGTGGATGACAGAAATTTGAAATTAATCAACCAGATGATACGGTGTTAGTTCATAACATGCTTTAGTTTATATTTTAAATATACAGCGCTGAAAATAAATGTTCATTTTTGTTGTTGAAAGAATAGTTTTACATTTTATAATTATGGTGAATGTAGAAAAAAGAGGAAAAAGTATCCAGCTTAGGATACAGCAGAACAATGCAGGGCATGTGGGTATTTTAGTCATCGAATATGTCAGCATTCAAGAATCTGAACCGATTGTTTAAAAAAAATCTTGTACTTTGTTTCTTTTGTTGCTCATTTCCAACTTTGTCATCTGTCAGAATGCAAAAAAAAATTATCCTTCTATAACCATTGACAGGATAACACAAAAGCTGTCTCCAGGTCGATATTTTGCAGCAATATTTTTAACATACGAACAGTAGTTTTTATAATTTCACCTTGGTGCTCAACCGTTTATTATCGTATCAGAAGCATGTCAGTAATTCCTTTCTAAATGTCTGCTTCTTTTAGCGCTGAGACCCACATCAAGGGCTTCACACTGAACGATGCTGCCAACAGCCTCCTCATCATAACGCAAGTTAGGCGGGATTATTTGAAAGGTATGTCACAATGCTTGACCTTTACGTCACATTAATGCCTCTGCAGATTTTTCTTGTAACGCCCTTCGAATACTTGGATAAAGGAGTCCATTTAGCAAATTACCTGCTTATCAAGAGCCTTTTGTGGTAGCTGAGAGACGTAAATTACTGTACATGCATTTATAATACAGCTTGAATATGAATGTACTTGTCATTTGACCACTTAGTCCAGTTTCCATTCCATTTCACACAAGATGGGTTTTCTTAAGATAAATCACAGCTCTTCAGACATGCAAAATTTGTGTTGCAGAACGAGAGAAATACAGGCTTTCAAGTGCGTTAAAATTCACAGCACAAGTCATTTTGCTCTGGAAATTAACATACTTTAGAGCCTCTGAAAGGATTCCCAGCAGTTGTTTCTTGCATATTGTGTTGGTTGCGTGTGAGATAGCAAATGAGTTAAATTGACTGTTAAATATGTGGGATTGTGCACGAAATGATTACAATATTGATTTTTAAAACTTAATCTAATACTTTTTTAATAGTTCATAATACCAACCGCAATAAAAATACGATGTTTGTTTGGGGTTAGAGTTTTTAAGTTAAAATTAAGAGAGTAACACCAGAAAGATGTGGAAATGACTTTGGGGAGGATTGGGCTGGGAGCTGTTTCTTTGGTAGAGGCTGTTTATGGGTTTGCAGTGGGATATGTTTGCATCTGGAAGTCTTCTGAGTGAGTTCCCAAGAGAAAAAATCGTGACTCGCTGAAATTTAGAGAAGTATCATTTCACACTGTTTTACATTTGAATTTTAGTCAACACAATAACACCAGTTTTGCCAATACAGTAAAACCTACTTAGGAGATCTATAAGGAAAGTTAAAGACACGCTTTAACTGTTAAATATGTTACCAGGTTTCATCCCCAGTACATAGTAGGGGTGTTTTTCCTTACTTGCAGGTTCAAAAATAACCTCACATCCCTGAAGAAGCGTTGCCATCTGATTGTGCAGCGTTCGTGTGGCACAGTCACACTGGTCTTTGGCCATCTTCCTAATTTGATTAGGACTGAATATTTAAGTGGTGGTTTCTCCCTTTGCAAAATTACCACCTCAGTATTCCACCAGCAGGGCCAGCCCATCTAGACAGTGTTTTTGGACAGTCTTTAGTCATAAGCGAGTGGTAGAGGGCTTATTATTAAAACTTTTAAAGCTTTCATTTTATTTCCAGGAGTAGAAAAGACTTTTTGTCAAGTCAATATTTTATGTAGAAATGATAAGCAGATTAAAAGCGTTGAAAAAGTAAATTTGCTCTCCATATAAGTAAGCTAATTTTAGTAAATAGCTCATGTTTCTGTAGCCATAGAAATAAGAGCAAAACATTTTTTTAATTTCAAAGGGTTAATTTTTTGACTGAATCTGAACTGGATTTGTTTAACTTGGTTGCCGTCCTTGGCTTGTATGTTAGCTGCCCGGGACAACCACAAGAAAGTACATGATGCAGTTTTACGTCTTCCCTTCTCAGCTGGTCAGCCCAACCAGCGGCTCCCTGAGAGCAGGAGCCACGAGCCCACTGCCTCCTCCACACGCGCACACGCCCACGTCTCAGCACAGTGTCGGTCGGCCAGGATAGGAATGTTCCCGTCTCCTTATTTTGCTCCATGGCTCACTAGAGCTCTTAGTTTTTAAAATTCCCTGCTATTCTTCTGCTCTTCTCTTTCAGGTTTCTTTTTCTCAACCTCAGCTAAAATGGGAAGAAAAAATTAAGCCAGTTAAATCTTAGTCTTATTTTATAAACTAAACTATTCTTGAATATTAATAGCTGATACATAGCCCCTTTGCAATATTATCAAGGTCAGTGGGGAGTGAGTAAATGTGGGCCTTAGGTGACGATGGGAAAAGGAGTCGGGAGAACGGATGAGATAGGTGCCACTTTTGGTGTCCCTTAAACTGTGCAGAAGGTACATCCTATATGAGAGTATGCCCCTTGCTGCATTTGGATAGACTATTCCCCAGCCCCCTCTCCACATACATGCACCCATAGATGCCAGCTGTGGGGTGGTTAGACTCTCGGGTTGATGTCTAGCGCTATGATCTGGGGCAAATTATTAAACTTTCTGCGCCTCAGTTTTCTCATCTGTGTCACCAGACTTGCCTCAGGGTAGTTGTGAGTGTAGCTGCTTAGAACTGTGCTTGGCATGTACTAAATGCTGAACAAATGCAGTGAACGCTCAGTAAATGTTAGTTACCATGATTATCATCATTTTCTTTATTTTTGTTATTATTTTGATCCATTTGTGGGAAGAGCCTGTGTAAGGATATTCAGAAGTCTATTATCTGTGCATGGCCACCAATGATGAAGATTTTAACAAGCTTCTTTTCTATAGATTATATTATTAAAATAATGGCAATAACATTTTTTATCTCCTGTATGTAGATGTGTATTTATAAAATATTATTGACTGTGCATTTGAGAATCACTGGTTTATAGATTGGGAATAATTATGAATCAAATATTTATTCCATAATAAACACTTGAGTTAATTATGTCTTTTACTGACTGTTTTTAACAGACTGTTTAATTACTACCCTTTCCTCATTCTTCTGCGTGAGATAGGCTGTTCTTATTTGGAGAGCTGCTTTGAGAGTCTTGGTTTTGTCGAGGTTACGTTGCTTTAGTGTTAAAAAGCTGATGGTGGTAGTGGGGGTCGCTGTGTTAAGCATTGTATTTCCCCCCAGTCTACCACTTGATTTAATATAACGATTTTGCTGTACTTGCACCAGTCAATCAGGATATTTCATATTAATCCAGAGTCAGGTACATCTAAGTATGATACTTTAAAAAAACAAACAAAACTTCCTTGACTGTATCGCAGAATCAGAGGAGCTTTATTTTCTTTGTAGAATGAATGCAAGAAAGTATCCACAAGGTATTTTTTTTTTTTTTTTATGTAAAATGAGTTTGTGAAAGTTGACTACTCCAGTTTGGCTGCTCCTGTATGATCGATCCTGTTTGGACTAGGAAGATACATTGTTTTCAAGAAAGAATCTTGAAGATATTAGAAGTTTTTGATAATCATGTCATCGTTGAACATAATAAAATCTGGGAAAGTGTAAATGTGTGTGGAAGTTACGTATTTTTGGAAACTCTTAATTTTCTTATTCTTCCATAGTTATTTTTCTCTGTATTTGTCAACTTCCTTGAAATTAATCACTGAATGTTATCCCTGACTGGACCCGGCATTCTTTCGGTAACATTTGTACCTGTGATTTAATGAAGACATTTCTCTGGTCTCTCAGCATCTTACAGATAATCAAATAAAACATTTATTTATTCAACAGATTCCTCGTAAAATATTAATATTTTCTGTAATCTAGAATAATAGCTTTTTATATGTAGCCATTTGATGTCCATATTTAAAAGCTAGTTTTCAGAAACGCATTAGAGTCGGTTCAGGTGGTATAAGCAAACCCTGTCTCTGTGTTTTAGAGGCTTTAGCGGTGCTCAGAACGGCCTTGGATCTGGAGCAGTTGCCTTCGAGGATAGCAGTGACCCGCCTCATTCAGGCGTTTGCCCTGAAGGGCGACGTAGAAAGCGTACAGACAATTCAGAAGATGGTGAAAGGTCTCGAGAATTCAATTGGACTTTCAAATATGGTTTTTATCAATAACATTGCCTTGGCACAAATAAAGAAGTGAGTATATTTGAGTTTTCTTTTCCTCCATTGGATATTGGAAGGAACATTATCTCAGACAACTTTTAAGACTTTTTTAGGCTGTTAGAAGCCCTGTCACCTGCATAGGAAATACTGATGCCAATTGCTTGCTGATTATGCCCTAATTAATAGGGAATATGTATATGTTACAAAATTTGTTTTAGCCTTAAATTAAATCTTAGAATAAACAGTGTTTATCAAGTTCATATAACGTGCTTCGCAGTTGCTAACTTTTCTCATTTGTACGTAAATTACATACTTCAGGCCGCTGCTTATCGAAACACTTTGTTACAAAAATGAGAAATGAGCTCCTTTGTCAGCTATACTTGAGAGTGACCCTCCCCTGGAACATAGTGAAACAGAGGGCCCAGCAAGTTTGTTAACCATTATGCGGGTCCATACTTCCCCGCTTCCTACCCCCAGCCCCTCCTGTCAGCCAGCACATAACCCACTAAAGGGGGAGGTATTTGCAGGGGATTCTTTTGCCACCATCTCTGGATTCCTTGTTGAGAACCACTACGGGAAGTTAATAAGGACTTGATTTTTATTCACCTCAGTAGCACAGTACTTTAAGTTAAAGATTCAAGGGGGTAGTTATAGAATCGACATTGTTCATATCTTTAGAAAATCACGTCCTTTAGTAGTTAATCTTACATATGTTTAATGTTACTTGATAGTAAAGTATAAATGTTTGTTTTTGGAGGGTTTTTTTTCTTTTGTTCTTGTTTCTCTGGGCGGAAGGTCAGGGTTTTTTATTTTGTTTTGCTTTGCTTTTATGTTTTAAAACTGTTTCCCCAAACAAAACTTTAAATTTTCTTGTTAGTAAAGAAAATGTAATTGTATTAAGTTGGAAGATTGAAGAAATTATGCAAGTTAGATGTGGATGAATTTGAAAATGTTACCATTTAAACAGTTTCTACATAATACGGGGTATATATTTTTATTCACTGTTAAATAATTCTCTAAAACCCACAGGAGAAGTTTTATTATAACTGGGTGTTCACTGTTAGAGAATTCTTGTATCTTATGTACTAATATCAATATAAAATCGATTCTTTAACTTTGGAGTGTCATATCATCCTATAAACCATCAATTAAAGATTACATTAACCAAAAGGATAGTCATAAAGATAATTTTATCATATCTTGTTAAATAAGACAGGGTAGTTGATTTTTTTTCCCCAATGCAAAATGTGAAAGATACTTTTTTTTCTGAGAATTTTAGTATAAACTGAGGGTTTTCAAATGTTATGTCATACCTGAAAAAAAGAAATTGATGGGACTAGGGGTTAGAGACAAATAACACTTTTTGAAGACATCGTCAGCCTTTTTAAGAATCCTGAGATGATACAGATTATTTTTACTTCATGCAGTAGTGACCATTTGTGGATTATAAAGCCATAGCTGTGGCATTTACATGGGTTTTCATGTTACATCCAGAGAGCTGGAAAATCAAGTTAAATATTTAAGATACAGTATTTTTGAATCTTCATTAATTCTTCTGTATATAGTTGTTCGATCTTGTCTCTTTCTAGAATAGTGCTTTAAAGTAAGCAACTACTTCAACTACTACTTCAGCCACCTAGCGATTGCTTTGCTCCCTAAATGTGATTGGGTTCTGGTTGCATAGTGTTTTTTATCCAGTTACCCATAAATATGTTTCCTTTTTTCCTAATGTATTTGCATGAGTGAATCTAAAAGTAATTTATCATACTAAAACTGTAATAACAAAGGCAAATATTTCTTAATAATTTATTTTACTTTCTTTGACAGCAATAACATAGATGTTGCAGTAGAAAACATTGAAAGCATGCTCACTTCGGGGGATCCAGCCGTGGAGCCCCAGTACTTTGGCCTGGCGTACTTATTCAGAAAAGTAATAGAGGAGCGATTGGAGCCAGCACTTGAAAAGAGTAAGTTAGTTGTTCTTGCTAAAGAACACAGAAGCACAGTTTCTCTCTTGTGAGACTGCCACCACATTTCTTTGGTGGATGAGTTGTCCACTGTTTTAACGAGAGATTTTTCTTATCTGTCGTTTTTCTAGTAAGCATCATGACAGAGAGATTGGCCAATCAGTTTGCAGTTTACAAACCTGTCACTGATCTTTTCCTTCAGCTTGTGGATTCAGGCAAGGTGGATGATGCCAGAGCTCTCCTCCAGGTATGACCCACCAGCCTTGGTACAGTGGGGCTTGCAGCTTGTGAGAGGAGACTGGGAAATGACTAGACATGGGTGTGTAATAGAATCCCAGAAACAAGTGTGGTGCCACTAGCACGTTTACATCCGTTGTGAATCAAGGTTGCATGACAAGGACTGGAATGGTAGGTTGTGGATTGCTGGTTTTAAAGATGCCAGATCAGACTACAGAGGTCCTTAGATTTAGGGGGTGAGGGCGTGCTTTGCTGAAATGATTTAAAGACAAATGTTTCTGTGCAGATAGGTAACGCAAAACAACAATTCCTTTGATTTCTGACTTTAATTTCTCTAATGCTCTTAAATACAGTGCATCGCCATGGCAACACAGTTTGCAAACAAAAAGTAGGAAATGTTTGCTTTTCAAGTACAGGTTCTCACTTGAATACTCAAACATTCTCAGTGCCTTATTCAAGGTTTATTAAGAGTTGAATCTGCTTTCTATTCACTTGTGTGTCACCAGCACATTAAATGACAAATGCAAGTCTCTGTGGCCAGCACTCAGTTAAATTAGCAATCTTCAGGGGAGGAGACAACCGCATTCATGCCATTTTAACAGCACTAAATATAAAGCTGCGCCAAGTGCCGCCAGAACGATGGGTGATCGGCGCTGCCACTGGCAGTGTACACAAACAGGCACACTGGGGAGCCCCTTCCCAGCAGGTGGCAGTCAAACAGTCACCGTGATCTCGCAAGCGGCTGTGTTTGTGTAGACTCCCTGTGTCTAATTGAGGCCTGGGACCAATTTCTGATAGTAAATAGTATAATATTCACTTACATTTTTACCGGCTGCGAAATAACCTTAAGTAGTAGATTGGGAAGGCAAAACTGCACCCGTTTGCTGGAGCTATAGTTTGGATTCTTAAAGTTCGTCTAATTTGACAAGTAGAATCCAAACCATTTGCAAAAGAATCTCTGAGAATTTTCTTGGTGTTAGCAGTTTTGTGAAAAGTGTAAATTGTTCCTGCTTCTAAGGCTTTTTTTACTTTTGTTCCTGGATGGAGAGAAATTCCAGTTAATCGGGGATTTTCTGGTTTGGTTTGGTTTGGTTTGTTTCTTTATTTTGCCCTCCTTTTTTTAAAAAAAAGGAAAAAACAATTTATGATAGGGATTTCAAAAATCTCTTCATTGTTTTGTCTTGCTGCCTTTAGTGTTAGAAGATAAGCCATATACTCTTATGCTTTACCTTCATTTGTATGTATCTGTTAGTCGTATAGTTCATGTATGTATAATTCATGTGTATGTGCCTATTAGTAGCATAAGATGTAGATATATAATTATACATGTGATAGTATTCATTCAGTTTTAATCCATTATGTTGATAGAAAGTGGCCCTTGGCACTTCATCAGCCAGCTTGTTCTGAACCCTGGTTTTCTGGACCCTTCTTAGAGCACCGACTGACAGGAGCCTAGGGTGGGAGGTAGCAGGGATGTTCCCGCCGTCCTCAGCGCTGCCTTTGCCCATCCTTTACCTGCTCGTCAAACAGTAAAACATTTTTCTTGCTGTAGTGAAGAATACTTTATTCACAGATGTCAAAAACATCAGTTTATAATGTGCGTCTTCTCTGTGTCCCCAAAAGTTCTTTTTATACTATTCATTTTAGTATTGACAGTGTTTTACAGCTTTGAAAGAGCAATATGCTTTTAGAAACTTATGAGAATGACATCTCTGATGAGTATAAACTAAAATATTGTCTTGCCATATTTGATTTTACTGTGGCATCTAAGATTGGATAGACACTTGATTCATCTGGTCTGTCATATAAACTTTTTTTTTAGTTTAACTTCTGTCTCTTTCTCCAGCACTGGCTGTCTGTTGCAGTGAAAGCCTTTTATAAAATAGAGAGATTGAAATCAGTCCTTTTGTATGCATAAGTGTAGGTAATTATACTTTAAAGGGAACTTGCTTTGTGTATTTTAATTTTTATAAAGAAACGAGCAGTTATCTCCCTGACACCTTATTAAATGTATAATTAACCTTATGATCCCTAGCTCACTTGTGAATGCTTGGCAGTATAATTGGAGAGAAATAGTGTTTCTTTTTTTCCTCTTTTCTTTGCAGTCCTAAACCTTATTCTGTGGTTGCTGAAGCATTAGTTTAATTTTTCCCTTTTCTTTTTAAACAAACTTTATACTTGAAGTGCCAAGGACAGCATTCACAAAAGCTTGGCATAGCTTGTACTTGTTTTCTTTTCTTCCTTGCTTTAAAAAAATGGTCGACTATTAGGCCTTCCTGTTGGTAATGATACGCTACTGTCTTATTGTGAACTTTCTTAATTGGAAATATTCACCTTGGTCTGCTTGTTTATCAGAAACCTTCACTTGCTGAATAACGTTTTCGTTTTTAGAGATGCGGTGCCATCGCAGAGCAAACCCCGATTTTGTTGATCTTCTGTGTTAGGAGTTCGCGGACACCAGGAAAGGTACTGTGCTTTACCTGCTAACAAGTCAGTGGTGCTGCAGGCCGTTGGGTTGAACGTGCGAGCGTGCTGGTTCCGGCCGTATCTAGGGGCGTAACACTAAAGGGCCTGAACACGTTGCTTGTCCACGCTTGTTCACATTGTTAGGATGTTGGTAGAGTGGCTGAAATGCAAAGCAGGTTGGTGCAGTGAACTCTGCATCCATGTGGCTGTGCAGTGGGAGCCCTGAGGAAGGGCCCTTGGAACAGAAGAGAAGACTTGTGCTGTTAGGTCACTGGCACGTGTCACAGTGCAGACGCAGGACCAAGGGCCACTTAAACTGCCGCGTGTCCTCTATCCAGTGACTGCTTTTGACCCTCAGGCAGTTGAGTTTGGTGCAACAAATTAATGCGCTCCATTTGCACACTTACCTTATTTACACTAAAGTGTGTGTGTAGTAACATAGCCATGTCCTGTTTTTGATGTTTTTAAAAAAAACGAAGAAAAGCATACTTCAAAAACATTTTTTTTTTAGACCTCGTTTTACCTGTTGAGCACCAGCAAGCACATTCTTATTTGGGCACATTACAGAGTTTCCTGCTGAGTGTCAGTTGTAATGTTTGTTTATTTTGAAACATTTAGGTGCTTCCAGTCTGGGCATGCAAGTTTTCCTTAATTTCCACACACTGCCCCCTCCCCCCTACACACACACTTTTTTTTTTTTTTTTAAATTTACCTATTTCACCATTTATCTCTGACTTGTATATTTACGGCAACCAACCTTTAGAAAATATTTTTTCATTTTTTCCTATCAAAGAGACATTTTCAAAATTGTGTGATGTAAAAGTGTAAGAAAACCAAAAAGCACCTATCAGTCCACATCTGGAGCTGTGGTGAGGTCCTCCTGCCCTTCTCAGGAAGGGTCTGGAAATGTGCAGTAACTTAATATGCCTGCTTACAGCATTCCTCCCAGGAGACTTTGAAATGCACAGGTTCCTGGAGAAATGCAAGTCCAGACAGAGATTGACTGAATAAACCTACCAAAAGCCAGTTAGGATTTTAAAAGATGCCCGTTACAGTATCCAGCTGTCTGGCAGTAGAACAGTGAAGCCAGATTTAGTTTCTCTTGGTGAGAACAGGGCACAAACGTATATAAAATTTATCATTGATTTATCCAGGGACATTGGAGCATGTCTGGAATGTTCTGTGGCTATTCAGTAGGGCGCTGCAGTTCTATAATCACAACAGGGAAAGGAACCATAGCCATGTCTATATGGCATTGAAAGCAACCAAGCAGAAGTACCAGTGAGAGCCTGGAAGTGTTCTGTTTCTCTACCAGACAGGGAAGACTTCAGAATGTTTACTGAATTTTTCACGTTTCGTCTGAAAATCTTGGTGCCTAAAGATACAAATACTATCTTTTCTACCCTTTTTGATGTGGGCACCAATTGACATAAAAGAAACCATCTTTATAATAGTTTTGAAAAATCTTCATAGAACATAAATGTAATTACATTAACTTTTGAAGAATACTAACGTATTTTGGCTGTAAATTATTGACTCAACGTCAAATGCTAAGATACAGAGAAGGAAAAATAGTCCATTAAATTGAGTAGACAGTTCGTTTGGAATTATTGTCAAAAAGATTTTCTGATACAATGTCACTGTATTGGTGTTTTATTTCACTGTTCGAGTCTGTGGTAATGTTAACCTGTGTTTAATTTCCTAGGCGCCAACTATGAAATCTTTGATGGAACTGATTCCTGAATTAATTGAAAAGGAAGAAGCATATGCTTCCATCATGAAAAGCTATGGTAATAAGTTTAATCTGACTATATTATTTAAGTGATTTAAATATTTGTGGTATGATCAACTAAGTCTTAGTCTACAGCTTAAAGGCAGTAATCCTAAATATCAGATAATTATGATATAAATAATTTACTTAGCTTTAGAATGTTTTAAAACTATACTTAAGGAAAACATGAAATTATTCCCATAATTTTAAAATAAAGTATCACTGAGGATCTTCAAAGGGGCCCATGTGTGTCTGAGTAGGATTCCAGGCTCCTGGAAAGACCTGGAAGTTCACTTGGGTTTACGTATTGAGAACCAATCCAGTCCCCCTCCAAGGCCCTGAAACCTGAAATGTAACATGAAGTAGGTAAATATTTGAGACTGTCATTCGACTCACCTTCCTGCTCCTCAGTGCCCGCCCTGCCTGCCTAAGTGCGCCGCACGGTTTTACCATAATTCCTAGTTGAAATTAATAATTCCAGTCTTTTAAAGCACCAGTCTGTTCCCTGATTGCCGGGCAATCACATGTGAAAGAAAACCAATCTAATGTTTCCTCAGTAATCAAGATGAATGGTAGCATTTCTCAGGCATGGGCTTTACCCATCTGCTGCCAGCTGTTTTGCTCACATGAGGCGCTGGGGAAAATAAAGAATTGCTTTGTTGATTTTATTGTTGGCAGGACAGCATCCTCAGCAATCAGAATTAGTAAATTAGTTCTTCATTTTTCTACCCTTGTAAGGGGCACGTTATGTATTTCAAAATAGAGCTGTACTCATAAACCTTCTTAAAGCTCCATTTTGGAAATTGGCAGATATTAAGTAATAGATAAAGAACATAAAATAGTGTCACATAGCACAAAACTATATATGTCACTACTGAATTGTATGATCCCACTTGTGAATTGCAGGGAGCAGGGAGATCAGAAAGTAGTGAAGAGGACGATTCCAGAATTTCCTGAACAGCTTCCTAGGGGATGGTAGAACTTGAGTGGGCCCTTGACAGGTAGTGGAGACAGGATTTGGACCCTAGCAGAATAAAGGTCTTAAGCAGAGGAAATTAACTTCACCCAAACTTCGAATATCTCTTCTCACTCCAACAAGAACTGGGAGTCAGTCCCCCTTGTTCCCTTTGGGATTGATCTCTAAACTCACGTTCCTCCTAAAGAGTTGAGTTACCAACAGCGATTGTTAGCAGAGCTCTTAGAATCTTGACAATAAATGTTAAAACAAAATTCCTGCAAATTGGCCACCTTGAGAAGATTTTGTTCTTGAATAATGGAGAGCCCACTAAACTTAGCACCTCAGCTACTTCATCATTCATTTAAGTGAAATATTAGTGTAACTTGTTATTAATGTTGCCTTACAGATTTTCTGCCATTGTAGCTAGCTATATTACTCACACTTGTTTATTTTACAACAGGAGACTGTATCGAAAGTCTGTAGTCTTTTTGGTGTTGAGATCTTAATATTGAGTGTGTAGATTTCCACATAATTTGCATGCCCACACCACAACAATCCCTGGATTAGCTTGATTTCAAGGTGTGGTTTTAAGCAGAAGGGGGCGTTGAATGGTGTGTCCTCACTCTGTGATCGAGGCTTCAGTCTGAAGTCAGTTTAACCTCCTGGGTCTCCAAAATAACGTGCTAATCTGTATACACACGAGATCATCAATATTATTCTAAGACCTTTAAACACGGCGTATTTACCATTCTCCTCCTCCTCCACGGTGGATGATGCTGCACGAGGGGTGTCGGGAAGGGGTGAGGGGAGCAGGTGGGTTCAGAATGTGGCTTCTGGCAGAAGATAGGTAAGCATTCATTTGCTTTGGGGTAAAGGGATCCATGAGTCCCTGAAGGACTATGTTTTGGTGAAAAGAGGTTGTCTTTATCTATGATTAATCTTTTTCTTCAGCTCTGGACAACGATGTTGCCTCTGCTAAAGCGCTGTATGAACGTTTGACTGCAAAGAATATAAAATTGCACGATCTGTTTCTAAAGCGTTACGCAGTTTTGCTGAAGAGTGCCGGAGAGCCTGTCCCTTTCACTGAACCCCCGGTGAGTATTTCCTACTTAAGGGGAAAAAATACCTCCACAAATTTGTGCGTGCTTCATAATCGCATATAAAACATAGGTTGAATACTTAATTACACGAGGATTAGATCTCTGTGAAGCACGCCGTGGAGGCTTCAGGGGCTGCAGGTCGGCCTTGGGTTTGGCTGTGGGAGAACATCGCCCTCTGGGGCGTTAGGTTTAAAATACAAGGTTCATAAAAGACCTTCACCTGTAGGTATGAATTAATCAAGTGTCCTTGGGGTTGTTCTCCCATCATTTCAACTTTAAATAGAATCTGATAGCCTGTGTTTCCATAGCTAGGCAGATATGTCACTATCAATTGCTCGTTTTGTTTTAAATATTAATTTGTTTTTATTTCTTCATCAAAGAAATTTTGTTTAATAAAAGAAATCACATACAGAATTTCTTTTGATTGTAACTGTACTGAAATTGCTACACTGTGTTTATTTCAAATACCTCAGCCTTCCTCCCATCTGTGAATTCCTGACGCGCACATGCGCACATGCAGCAGGGGCGCCTGGCGCTGGTTTTGACACGGCTGGAAGGAGGGCTGCAGCTGGGGGAGTGGGCTCTGCCCGGGGCGGCAGTCTCAGCTGGGGGAGTGGGCTCTGCCAGGGGCCGGCAGTCTCAGCTGGGGGAGTGGGCTCTGCCAGGGGCCAGCAGTCTCAGCTGCCAGTTTGCAGCGTCTTAGGATTTTACGTTTTGCACCATCACTTCTTGCTGGTAACTTTACCTGTAACTCTCCTCCCTTTTCTCTCCTTAACAGGAAAGCTTTGAATTTTATGTAAAGCAGCTGAAGGAGTCAAAGGAAAGCCCTTTGTGAAATGTGCAGGCACTACTTTGTTTTATGTGTATTTGTGATTCTGTGTCTAAAATGTTATTTTTTTAAGTGTTTTTGAGAGGAAAAATAAATAAATGAAAAATTAATTTGCTTATTTACTTTTATTGATTTGTAATATATGATATGCTTGGCATCTTATTGACAATAACTGTGTACACTTAATCACTAGGCATTTTTGTTTCTGGCTATGACATAAATCTATAGCATTTTCTCTGAGGTTCCTGATGTATGGAGCCATAATTTTTCAGGATTCTCCCATTTGACACCTGAGTTCCTCTGGTCTGTTTCACTGATTATTTTAACAAAAATATTGTTCCTTTATTATAGACCTGCGTGTGAATGTTGTTTATCTGAAAAGTTTTGGACCGGATAACGTGAGGGTCAGTGAGGTTTCTAATGAAGGCTAAGCAGTCTATGACGTAACACTTCCTTACATGGATATAGCTCTGCACAATTTCACGTTTCAAAAAAGGTTAGAGCTAAAAGGCATCTTAAAACCCAAAAAAACCTGTTGCTGTGGAGTCGATTCCGACACACAGTGACCCTATAGGACAGAGTAGAACTGCTGCTGCATAGGGTTTCTTTCCAAGGAGTACCTGGTGGATTCGAACTGCTGACCTTTTGGTTAGCAGCTGTAGCACTTAACCACCATGCCACCAGTGTTTCCAAAAAGGCATCTTGGGAGTCCTCAAATCCAGCCCTCTTCATTTCGCAGTGAAAAGCACTTGGCTCCCGGGGTCAGGGTGCTGTTAGCAAAGCTCGGCGGCCCCTTAGCCCTCCTTCTGCCACCACAGGGGCGTCCATGGCCTCTGTGTCATAGACGCCTCTGAAACTGGGTCTCGGTCATGACTGTCACCGTGACATAGAGCAGGGGTGTCAGGTCTTTGTTGGCACAAGCTACACTCTACCCCAGGCTTGTTATTTATGTTCATTCCCTGTGAGTGTATGATTTCGTATATGAAGAGGGGGAAATCTTGGTTTGTATTCAGTTTTAATGAATAAAAGTCATTGACAAAAGTCATCCCCATATTGGCTCTCATACCTGTTAATATCTACATTGTAAGTAGTTACTTAAAAAAAAAAAAAATTACCTGCCAGTTTTTAAGATAGGTAGTGAAGACAATTTACCACCACATAAGTGTCTTAAAATATGTAATATCGACCTACTGGGGGATTAGGTCGTTAATTATCAAAACAAAGTTGAAAATGTTTCATTTGAGAATTAGCCCCATTTTGAGTATTCCTTTTCCATTAGAAGGCAGTGACTACCTACTTTTTTTTATTTCAGTGACTTTGTTCCACCATTTCTATGTAGGGTGAGACCTTGCCTTCAGGGAGTAAGTGGGTATTTTGCTGTTTTGGCTGTTAACTTTGTGGCCAGCCCCTCTGCACCCAGTGCCTGCAGATGACGTGGGAGGGAGAGTTCATACAGGGAAGCCAAGAAGTAAATGTCATTGTAGCATCAGCCGTGGTTCCACTTCTGTTTTTTATAGTTAGACCTGAAGAATCACAGCCTCCGCAAATGCCGAGCCCCGGCCTGGAGGACTGAAGTAAGCTGCCCCTTGTGCACTCCCCAGGTGTGGGACCTGTGCGTGGGACAGTTTTGATATTGTCTGATTTACCGGGAGCCTCGCTCTTGTGCACCTGTCTTGAGTGATCCCACTGTAGCAGGACTTATTTATTGCAGTTGTGTGAACCACGTGTTAGTTGAACTAAATTTTTTTTTAATGTTGATAAAATAGGTCTCTAAAATGCGGCATAATCTTGGGTGTAATCTGGACTTCCCAGTCATCTTTTGGAGAAACAGTACAATCTCATTCGCATGAAGGGACTCCAAGCCACTCTTGTGTATTGACCCTGGTAAAATGTGGGTGTAGTGCAGAAGAAACCAATAAAAATCCCTCATCGAGCATTCTAAATAGCACGTTGGGGCTACTGAATATATTACAGGTATTAACAAATACTTAGAAAGATACCTGTAGCACTGTATTGGCTTCGCCTTTTGCGTGTAAATATTTAAGTGTAATAATTGTATATTCTAGGTGGGATTACGGATGCTTTCTAAATAAGCCAAATTGAAAGAAATATATAGTGTAACTAAAATTATGGCAGTACTCTATAATATATTTAAGACTCAATTATAAGTAAACAGCTAATTCTAAAAAGTAAACATTGTAGACTTTTAGAGCACATGGTCTTTTGTATGTAATTGTACATTCATGTATTTGAACCTGTTTTTGATTTTAGTGTGAAATGCTTTGAATAAAATATTCCCTAAATACCCATGGGCTTCTTTGTTTTCATCTTACCAAATTTCTGCGTGATTGTTTTAAGCCATTCCATGGACTTTAAATTAAAAATTGTACAGTGACCTACGTTGTGGCCAGAATTTTTTTCTTAAATGGCTTACATTTTGTGTGTGGAGAATAAATGAAATCACTGCTTATCTGTTTAAAGGATAGAAACCAAAACCAAAGCAGTTGAGTAGATTCTGACTCAGCGGCCATTTTAACTACCTGGGAATTACTGTTTTAAGGATAAGCAGATATTTAATTTGAGATCTCTGAGGTGCAAAGTTGGCAAAACTTAGAATATAGAGTTTGGATGTATGGTAAATGGACACATAATGAAGGAGTTTTATTCCTTAGAAGGAACATTTTCTGTCTACACAGATGTCAGGGATCTGCGCTGACATACAAGTGTCTCCGGACTCTTAAACCTGGTCTCTACCTTTACCCTCCTGTTGTCCTTGAATGCTCCCTGAGGCCCTGCCCATCACCTCTGCCTGCTGCTGTCTCGGGCCCGGGTCCCCACCCAGCATACGAATTGTCCCCTCTCCGGGGCTCCCACAGCCACTAAAGCAGAGCAGGTATCACAGCACCCAACGATTGCCTTCCACAGGTGGTGAGCCTCCCTGAGGGCTGGAGCTGGATCTCATGTTCTGTGTCCCCACACCCAGAACAATCCTCGCAGTGGCTCGCAGCAAATGGAATAGTCTGTAGTCAGTCCTGTGGGAGCAGAAAACTGTGGTTAACACAGCACCTACTACCACGCGTCGGGCACCACTCCTGTCTGAGAAAACTTGACTTACAGAAGTTGATTTGCCCGGAATCATAGCGATATGAAAATGCAAAAAATGGAGCGATCCTACCCAAGTCTCAAAAGTCACATTGGAATCTCTTCACACGTTAATTGTAAGGTATTAATTAATTAATTGTAAGGTATTTTCTTCCATTTAATCAACTGTCCAGTGCCGGGCATCACCAAGTTGGTGGATTCCAGTCCCTAAGCAAGCATTACATTGCAGAGTCTTTTTCCTGGTACAGTTTCTTAGGTCTGCAGTGTGTGTGGTCTGCACACCTTTTCTCATGCATTTAGCGCAATTTTTATTTAAACTTGTTTTTCTCCCAAACCCATATTTGTAGCATTTCTGTAAGCGAAAGCAACGTTCCCGCAGTATGGTCGAACAAATAGCAGCAGGGGGTTCAAAATCACAGTAATTTCTCGCTTTGCTGTCGTACAGTCATGAACAGGAGTGTTTTGCATTAGAAATGTATCCTGCTTTCAGCCCTGCGGACTTTACAAAGCCCACGTTCTGAAGCCCTACTACAAATAAAGGAAATGGCTGCATTAGCAAGTTCAGAATAGGCACTTAGCATTTTCCTTTTTTACAGGAGGAACAGAAAAATCGGTCCAGGTAGAGCAGAAGCATTTAACAAGCTACAGCTGCCCTGCCCCTGCGCGTTTGGTTGGCAATGGTTGGCTGTTGAGATCTTCCTCAGAGTCCTCTTGAGAGTAGCAGCTTTACCAACCCTGCCCCTAGGCGCTGGCTCGCAGCACTTTCTGAAAGTCTCTTCATTCTGAGTTTGTTTCCTCTCCAAGGATGTGAGTGCTCCCAGCGCTCTGCTGACCTACCACCTAGAACAGAGCCTGGCACTGGTAGGCACCGAGGAAGCCCTGTGCCCTTTCCCTTCCCAAATCATGTTCTTTGTGAGAACGTGTGGTTTGTGTGCGCGTTGGAAGGTGTCCTCACACTGGCTTCATAAGGAATTCAAGGAGGCCACTTCCTCTTTATTTTCTTTGTTGCTCAGAGCTAGGGCATTGGGAGATACGAGGCCCAAGAAGTCCTTCGAAAACATGTAAAGCCATTTTGAAGTTTTCTGTCAGGAGGCAGAGATCTCTCAAGTGTGTGTTGAGAACATGAAAGTCAGATAAACTCGGCTGAACTCAAGCATAGTGCAAGGGCTCTGTGCATGGTGGAATCAACAAAAATAAAGAGCTTTATTTTTTTAACACGGGCAGTAGGGCTTTTGAGCCGCGTGAGGAAGCAGGAATACCTTTGGTTTTACAAAAAGACCAGACAGACATGCAAACGGTAAAGTGGGCCCTATGGCATAGAAAGCTGGGAAATGTTATCCAGCTTTTGAGTTGGTGTGTTTAAAAATCTCAGCCCACTGCTTGAACATTATTGTGTTAATTAATAGCTGCTCACACTGTAGGCGCTGGTGTTTCTAGGCTGGGCTCCATCTGCCCGTCCGCCTGCCTCTGCTGAAGCTGCCGCAGCCAGAGACCACGTGATCTGGACACAGGCTACGGCTCTATAGCCAGGCCGCTTGAGATGAAGGACCAATCGTTTTATCAAAAATGAATGACAAATGACTTTTGAAACTTGACCTACCTAGTTCAGACTTCTTGCAAATATGGATGTTTTCAGACAAGAGCATTGGATATGCTTCCCACATAAGCACGGTAAACCAGCCACAGGCATCCCAGCCCCCTCGCTCACTTCCTCAGAGCCTGCTTAGCCTGTTTGGTGCACCAGCCCCAGGGCCAAGCCAGGGCCCCCAAGGAAAGCGAGGTAGGAAGGTTGTGCTAAACTCCTCTGTAAGAATTTGAATCAGTAGAAACTCTAACTCCAGGTCTGTAGTTAACACTTGGCTTTGATGCTGATTTAAATATCACAGCTGCAAGCTGTTTAATCTGGGATCAAGACAAGAATTTGAGAAAAGTAAGGAGGAAAAAAAAAAGCAAATGCAAGATCCACCCCTATGAGCCTGACCAAGGAGACTAGCTTGACCCAGGGCAAGGTTATGACTTACATAATCTCTATAGGAACTAGAGCAGTTAAAAAAAAAAAAAAGGTCACATCAGGAAATATTTGAGTCCATATGGGTAATTATTTTCTGCTTAATTAAAATTTCCCCATCAATCTCATAACTTGAAATTGGAGGACTTAAAATGCAAATTTCAAAAGCTTTACCTTTGGATCAAGGGTCTGTAAACTACAGCCTCGGGCCAAATCGAGCCACTTCCTGTTTTTGTAAATACTGTTTCATTGGAACACAGCCATGCCACCGTTCTTCTGTATCCTCTGTAGCTCCTTTTACACTGCAACAGCAGAGCTGAGTAATTGCAACACAATGCATGTGGCACACAGAGCATTAAATATTTACTGTTTGGCCCTTGACAGAAAAAATTTGCATCAAATTGGAGCATCACAAGTAATGATAGTAAAGGATTACTTTTGATATTTATAAATGGACAAATCTCCAACTCCGCAATGCAGAGATGGGCTCGTGGAAGAGCATTCTCCTCTAAAGCAGAGGTTCTCCCTGGCCTCACATGGCCTGGGGAGCATTTTAAATAAAATTGATGCCCAGGTGCCAGCCCAGACCAGGTGAATCAGAATCCCTGGGGGTGGGTCCACTTGGGCATCTTTGAAAACTTCTGTATGGCACGCCACTACTCTAGAAGTCCAAGAAATGGCGGCTGCTGGGGTTTCTCCATCTCTCCTGCCCTTGTACTGTGTCCCTTGCCCTCTGCAGCCCTGTACACCAGAGCCCACTTAGAAGAAGACAGCATTGCTTCTGTGATATTCCTGCCAAAGACGCATAACCTGAATTTAATCTTGAGAATATATCAGACAAACCCAAATTGAGGATATTCTACAAAATCTTTAAGTGTCAAGGTCGGGAAAGTCAAGGAAATTCTGAGGAACTATTTTAAACTGAAGGAAACCAAAGAGACAACATCCAACCCATGATTCTGATCTGTATCCTTTTGCTAGGAAGGATGTTGTTGGACAGGCTTTCTCCATTAGATGGTAATAATGATTTTGAGGGTTGTGTTGTATAAGGGGGAGTCCCTGGGTGGTACAAAGAGTTAACTCAGTTGGCTGCTAACCAAAAAGTTGGAGCATCAAGTCCACCCAAAAGCACCTTGGAAGAAAGGCCTGGAAATCTACTTCTAAAAAATCAGCCATTGAAAACCCTACGGAGCACAGTTTTATTCTGACACATATGAGGTCGCCCTGAGTCATAGTAGACTTGCTGGCAACTGGTGGTCTGGCTGTAGAAGGCAATATGCTAGAAAACTGCTTCTCAAATTCGAATGGGCACACCAGTCCCCTGAGAATGTTCTTAAAATGAAGATTCTGACTCATGCTGCTGGCCAGTCAGCGCACTTGAACTAGCGAGGGCCTAGGGAACCTGTGGTGAGCTTCTACTGTTTGCCTCCCAACATCCACCTTCCCCTTTCTTTTGGTTCCAGACTCTAATTTTCCTTTGGGAACAATCCTTTCCCAGTCTCAGCACACACGTCCTGAATGAGATGGTCCTGATGCTCATGTGCTAAGCATATAACCTGGCCTGCACCAGCCCATGCCTGGCCACTGTGATGGTTGGAGGCTGGTCCTGGGACCCAGCCCAGGCCAGTGGGATGGAATTCTAAGACGCCAGGCTGAGCTGACGCAGCCTCTGTAAAGCTTGTCTCCATCTCCAGGAGTCTTCCTGGGTACCCAAGCCTTGCAGGGGCCATGTAGGCAGTGGCTCAGGCCTTGCCTTCCACCCTCCAACTCCTGAAGACCCCAGAGGTTTTTCTGACCCTTACATGTCTCCACCACGTACTAGCTGTGTGACCTTAGCAAACTGAATTTTTCTGTACCTCAGTTTCCTCATCTGTAAAACAGGATCTGCCTATCTCAAACATTGTATTGGGAGTTGAACGTGTCATCCACTGAAGTGTTTTGCTTTGTACCTGGAGCAGAGTAGATGCTCAATAAATTTAAATTCTTTCAGTTTGGTTTTTGGATCCCATTACTCCACACAAAAAGAAGGGATGGCATCTCGCCGTTATGTTTTAGAAGACTACCTTCTATACTGAGAGCAGCTTAACACACAGATTTGGGGACCCTGGAAGATGAGGCCAAATCTTTTGCTAATTATGTTATTGTTCCCTCTGGGTCCTACCTATTCCTGCATAGCCTAGCTACTCAATTCTTGCACAGTTTTCTCCCATTCTGCACTGAATTGTCTATATAAATACATATCAAAAAGAAATAAATTAGCAACGCTGTAGGTGCCACAGGTTTTCATGTTCCCAGTAATCGCAAGCTCCGGCCAGTGAGCAGAAATCCCTTTCGACTGTCTTTATTCTACTGCCATCCTGTGGCCAACCTGTGCCACTGCAGCCCTGTGGCCGGATGTAGCTGAGCATCTGTATCATCATTGTCCTCACTGTCCCAGGAAGGGGCTCCTTGGGAAGAAGGGAGTGCAGTTGGAGGGTTTGCTCAAGTCCCCCATCAGAGGGCAGGATTCTGGGCATGTAACACCAATCTTGTCTCGATTTCTGTTTGTTGAACCTTAAGGACACATAGTACAGGATGATGAAGCTGATGCTGATGCTGATGAGGATGAGGTAGATGGCGTAGAGGGGTTGCGAGTTCAGGTCCATGTCATCGACAATCTGGAGGCACAAACACTCAGTGAGCTCATTAAGTAACATTCAGTTGGATGTTCATCCGTTTTTGTGAAAAAGAAACTTGGGTTAAAATCTGAGGCTCCTTCACTACTTACTCTGTCTCCTGGGATGGAGATGGTGAGGTTGCCGACCTGCATGTAATAAGCTCGTCCGTTAAAGTGAATCTGCATCAGCCCTTCAAAGCATCACCAGAGGAAGGACACTTTGAAATCCACGCAGGCAGTGGAGACAGTGAAAGCCACATTAGTCACATGACCTGACGCACCTGCACAAGGGCACAGCCTGCTCCCTGGGAGTGTACGTGTCCATGGTGGCTGAGGCGCCCCTGAGAGAGGGTATGGTGGCTCTGAACCAGGGAAAACAGGGAGAGGCGAGAGAGAACAAAGGCACAAGGGCACAGGAGGGCCGACTTGGGGCACTGGGATGGGACTGAGGGGTCACCCACACGTTTGTTCCACGAGCTGTACTGAGCCTTCATCTACCAGCAGCCTGCACGAGCTCTCTGCACAGAGCTACGGGCCGTGGAGACTTGGCAGCCCCACACCAGAGGTTCTGAAGTCTGTGCTCTGCCTCCTGTGGAGGTATCATGGTGGGACAGGGTGGGGAAGCAACAAACCCTCCCCAGGGTAGTCAGGAAAGGCCTTGCAGAAGAGAGGTGAGTAGGGGCTCACAGCAGACAATGTGGGGAACACATGCCCTTAGAGAAGGGCCAGGAGTCCCAGGGTGGTGCAAATGGCTAAGCCGACTACCAGCCGCAAGTTTGGTGGTTCAAACGCACCCAGAGGTGCCTCGGAAGACAGGCCTGGTGATCTGCGTCTGAAAGGTCACAGCCTTGAAAACCCTACGGAGCAGTTCTACTCTGCACACAGGGGGGCGCCATGAGTTGGAATGGACTTGATGACAACTGACGACAGCAGAGATGAGCCAGATGCAGCCTCGGAGCTGAGAGGGCGGAGTGTACTGGGGGCTTCAGAGAGCTGGGTTGAGTCCGCAGGGAATGAGCAGCCCCGGGAGGGTTGGAACAAGGCAGTTACATGGATTTGCACCCTAGAAGGTCCGCTGCCTGGGGTGAGAGCTAAGAGGGAAGTGGGGGACCAGAGTCACAAACACCAGACTGCTGCATCAGCCCAGGATCAGGTGATAGGGGCCAGGGCTGGGAGATGGAACAAGGGGACATTTCAGAAAGACTTAGAAGGCAGAAGGAGGACCTGGGTGATGTAAACAATTAATGCACTCGGCTGCTAACTGAACGGTTGGCAGTTCAAGTCCACCCAGAGGCGCAAGAAGAAAGGCCTGATGATCTACTTGTGAAAAATCAGCCATAGAAAACCTAACGGAGCACAGTTCTACCCTGACATACATGTGGTCGCCACGAGTCAGAATTGACTTGATGGCAATTGGTTACTGGTGGGAGGTAGAATTGACCTGGCTTGCTGTTAAAAGTGGAGACTGGGGGAGTAAGAGCGTCCAAGGCTACTTCCAAGTGTCAGCCGTGGGATACGAGAAGGTGTCATCTGCACCTCCTAATGGAGACATTCCCAGGGCACACAGGATAGCTGGACAGGACAGTGCTCAGGGCCAGCCTCAGTTGGAATCCAAATGATAGGCTTTCATCTCCAGACGAAAGCAGGCTTCATCCGGCCACATAAGAGCTAACAAAGCTTAGTCAACAAGGGCAAGCAGGCCTCACCTGTCCACAGATTTTCCAAGTTTATCATAAAGCTCCCAGTGAGGTAGCAGGAGTTGTAGCAGCGTTGCCAAAGAAGGAGGACATATGGAAGGCGGGGAGCAGGGCTGCAGCGCAGAGGGCCATGGCCCTGCAGCAGAAGCCCACCAGCCACAACAGCAGGAAGTGCAGCAGGAAGGGCTCCGGGCTCGGCTGCAGGTTGGCCAGCCAGTAGGTGGGCATCCCATAGATGAAGATGTAGACGCAGTGTTCCGGAAGCTCCCCCAGGATCTGCAAAGAACAGCGCCTGCCAGGACACGGAGCCAGCGCCTTCACTTACCTTTATTTTTAAAACCCTTCAAGGTTTCTTGTTGTTAGTTGCCGTTGAGTCGATTCCGACTCCTGGTGACCCCACGTGTGCAGAACAGAACTGTGCACCATAGGGTTTTCAAGGCTGTGACCTTTTGGAAGCAGATCATCAGGCCTGTCTTCCGAGGAGCCTCTGACCAAAACCAAATCTGTTGCCATCGGGTGATTCCCGACTCATAGGGACCCTATAGGACAGAGTAGAACTGCCCCACAGGGTTTCCAAGGAGCGCCTGGTGGATGCGAACTGCCAGCCTTCTGGTTAGCAGATGAATGCTTAACCACTGCACCTCTGGGTGGGGTCAAATCACCAGCCTTTTGGCTAATAGTCAAGAACTTAACTGTTTGCACCATCCAGGGACACCTATGTTTAGAGGTAGCAACCCCCAAGGATGCCAACGTTCCCTGCTCTTGGTGATCAGACTGTCGCAGAAGGACATGGTGGATGGGATGTCTTGTTCTCAGGCCAGCTTCCTCTGCACACACCCTGGCTTCCCCTGGGGCAGTTTGGAGCTGTTTGCTACAAGGAGTCAGCATGGCTGGTGAAAGCTGCACGGAGCACGGGGGCCCTGTGGGGATGGCCTGTCCCTGTGTTCTGCCTACTGCGTCAGCTAACCGCTTCCCTGTAGTTTCTGTGCAATGCAGGGATGCTCGCTCCGCCCTCACCCCTCACCCCAGGTGGCCACTGACTCTCAGCCCTGACCAGTCACCTTGGCAAAGAAATAAGGACCTGCGGTGTACAGCCCTTCCTCTAGCTCGTAGTAAAGCATTGCCCTCTCCGAGTGACCTGAGATGGGGTGAAAAAGAGAAGAGAATGAAGAAGTAAAATTAACTTACAGTTTTTGAGTCCTTCTTCATACAACTAAAAATAGTTATGTTGTATTTGTTACATTTTTAGAAAATAGGCCCAGTAACACCATCCTAGTTTAGATGTCTGGTCAGACAAGTCATGTCAGGGAAAGCCCTGTACATTTTGCTATTCTGTGACTTGTATGTTGCTAGCAAGTACACCACTACTAGGATTGGCTAAGACTCATTGGTAATTTGCTTTCATTTGTATACTAATATTAGTGTGCAAACTTTGAAACATTTATCGTCTTTTGTTTCACAATCATGATGAATTTCTTCCTCAAAGGCTCGTCCTGGAGCTCAGAGGAACACATGGGCCTTGGATCAGCTTGGAGGGTGGTGATGCCCTGTCTCTGCTCGGGTGACACTTACACTTGGTGATGACATCCAGGATCATACTGAAAGGGATGAGAGCACCGATCATGAACAAGAGGGCCGCAGTGTCCGTGAAGGAGAGCTGGATGCCCCCGTGGCCGTAAAACAGAAACCCAATGATCAGGGACATCAGACAGGCCTCCATCCCGTGGATGAGAAGGGTTGGCAGGTCTCGGAAGTCGTTAGAAATCTGACGACTTGAAAGATAAAAGAAAGAGATGCCAAGGGAAAAATACAAAACAGCCTTGGTGGCCTTGGGAAAGTCACTTACTCTCTGTACGCCTCAATTTTTTCATCTGTAAAATGAGATGGTAATACCTGCCTCAGAGTCACTGTGAGGATTAAATGAAATCATTGATAAAAGCATCTACTCCAGAGAATAGGTACTCAACAAATGGTTATTATTTTTATCATCAATGTAACAGCCTTGCAATTTAAAGAAATTATCCTAAGGACACAATCAATCAGATGCACAAAGATGTATGGACAAGGATGTAGCGTTGCTTGTAATAGCAACAGCCAGGAAATAATCTGAATGTCCATCAAAATGGACTTAATGGTCACAGTAGCCAAAAGGTAGAAACAACCCAAGTGTCCATCAACAGATGAATGGATAAACACAACGTGGTTTGGAATATACAATGGAATATTACTCAGCCATAAAAAGAAATGACGTCCTGGTCCATGCTCCAACATGGATGAACCTTGATAACATGCTGAGTGAAGTCAGTCAGAACAAAAAGACAAATATTGTATGATCCCACTTAAATGAAATATCTAGAATAGGCAGGTGTATAGAGATCAAAGTTTGTTAGTGGTTAGCAGAGGCTGAGGGGAAGGAGAATAGGGAGTTATGCTTGAGGGGCACTGAGTTTCTGTTTGGGGTGATGAAAAACGTTTGGAAATAGATACCAGGGATGATCACACAACACAGCAGAATGTCACTGAATTTTAGACTTAAAAATGGTTAAAATGGCAAATGTTTTGTTACGTATATTTTGCCACAACAAAATAATTTTTTTAACCGGTAAATGAATTATGACTAGAGCCACACTGTTAAATGCCAGTTATTAAGAAGGATGAGGAAGACAAGCCAGGTGAGAGGTACAGGCGCGATTCTAAGTGGGGGGGGGAAGGGGAGAGAAAAAACTAGTCATAACAGTATGCAGAGTATGATCCCACCTGTGTGTTAAAATGTTTATGTGCATAAAGATTTCTAGAAAGACACACACCGAACAGTTGGCTCTGGTTTTCTCCGGGGGCTGGTATGACAGGGGACCTCCTTTTTCCACTTGAGTTTGAATTATCTGAATTTTTCACAACGATCTTGTGTTATTTCCACGGTCATCCGGCCAGTGAAGATATTTTTATTTCATTTAAAGAATAAAAGTAAGAGGACTGGGGGTACTGGCGGCTCTGGATCACGCTGGGGGCTGGAGCTGGTCTCAGTGATGCTGTTTTTTTCAGAGAATTCTACGTCTTCCGCTTTCAAATTCTCTTTAGACACCAAGGGCTTAATTTGATAAGCAAAGACTTTCTTGAAGGGAAATGAAATGGCAGCCAATTACCAGATCAGTGTGGCAAACTGCTGGGCCGCCCCAGGCAGCTGGGTGTCCGTGGGCCTCGGGAGGTGGTTGGGGTCCCTCTGGCAGGCAGGGCTGTGGGAGGCAGAGGGTGGGACAGGTCACTGGCAGCCCTGTCAGCAGGGTGCCCACGCCCTAAGCGCCCAGCCGCCTTATCTGTCCGCACAAGGGCCTGCGCCCAGGTCCTATGTCCCTCCTCTCCACAGAAAGTCATCAAATTCACACACTTTTTCTAGAAACAAGGCTGCCAGTGACCGAGCCTTCTCCCTGGTGGCCACCTCCTGCTCTCTGCTGCGCCTGTCAATGCTGGTCAAGTCCACTGTAGGCAGAGGATGCGCGGCGTGAACGGCCCTTCCCCGGCATCAGGGGCTCAGGGCCTGCTCCCCACCTTCCCCGGTGAACGGGAAATAAGGGTCAGTGCAGAGGCAGAGCGCCTTTCAGAGGCTACTGGACCCTCGCGGCTGCCTGCCCTGCCAGGCCTGACCACGTGTACAGCGTGCCAGGCGCAGGGCCATGGACCAGAGGTGGGGACAGCGAGGCCCTGGTGGCTCTGGCCTGCCCCCAAGGATCACCACCAGGCTCGGTCTGGAGGCACTCCTGGGACAGGGCAGAACTCAACAGGAGGCATCGGACCTTCAGAGCCAGAGACCACGGCACAGTCACCCCAGGCTCCAACTCCAGCTGTCCAGGAAGGCGAGGCCCGGCCTCCCAGGTAGGCCTGTGTCCGGGGAGAAAGTGGGCTGGTCAGGGGCTCCTGGGCACTTCTGCTTCTCATTGTAAGTTACCAATTTGGCTGATAGCGATTTGGCTTCCCAAGCAGCCTGCCCAAAGGGGAGCAGGTGTTGGCCAAAGGGTGCCAGGCCCCGCCTCTTGTAAGTAGAGTTCTCCCTGCCCCCTAGCCAGCCGCTGCGTGTAAGGGTGGGGCGGTGGGAGGAGCCAGCAGACCTGCTGCAGAACGGCACACCCTGAGATCCCGGGAGAGGCTCCAGCCCCAGCCCCGGCTCTCCCGGGACGTCTGTTCAACCTCTAGAGCCCCACGCTGCTGGAAAAGGCAAACCCCGCAAACTCCGCCCGGTGCAGCCAGGGCCTTCTAAGCCCGCAGGGGCTTCCGTCGCTCCATTCCTTCTGCAGAGCCTGGACTGGCTGGGGGTTATCCCTTAGCCTTTCTCCTGTTCCCTCTTCCCATTTCACAACACATCTCAAAACAAATCTATCTAGGAGGGGTCTTATAAACTGGGGCATGGCCCCCCACCCCGCCCCAGCGTGAGGGGCTGCAGATCAGAATGCCAGATTCAGCTATGGGTATTTAGGAGTAGGTGGGTGGCCAAACTCGTTAATGCACTGGGCTGCTAACTGAAAGGCTGGAGGTTTGAATCCACCCAGAAGTGCCTCAGAAGAAAGGCCTGGCGATCTACCTCAGAAAAATCAGCCATTGAAAATATGTGGAGCACAGTTCTACTCTGACACACATGGGGTTGCCATGAGTCAGAGTCAACTTGACAACCGTCACTGATGCGGGCATTACGGGTGTTTGACTTCTCTTAACCCCTCTCTAGAGTTATTTCCGATCTCTTCCTGGCGGCCAGGTTGGCGTATGCACTCTGCCCCCTTATCTCCAGATGTAACAGATGGATTGAGGACAACATGTTAGCAGGAAACGAGGAGAGCACCTGACCGCAGGGAGGGAGGGTGACGGCTATGTGAGTTCACCCAGGTGGTGTGAGTGCACAGGGTGAGAGCTGCCGCCTGGACAGACTAGCCCGTCCTCCTGGGGGATGGATGGAGGATGGCTTGGAATGCTGGTGAGGAGGGCATGGGAGAAGGGCCAGGGGCCAGGGGTGGGACAGACACCCCAGGTAGGGGTCCTAGTTCTGCACCCTACAACTCTGCCAAGGGAGGCACACTGTTTAGCACTTTGGGCTCCGATCTGATCTCTAAAGAGGGAGATGACCCTGACCTGGCAGGGCTGGGAGGGTCAAACAGGAGACTCTCTGGAGCTTGGCATTCCTGGTCCTCAGGTGAATGGTCCTGTCCGCTTGCTTACTGGTGAGGTCCTTACTGCGCCTTGCCATCCTGAGAGGAAGCTTGGGCTCCTTGACCACCTTGGCCAGTGTGTCAAGGCCAGGGGTCAGGTGGCCTGTGGGCCCTGGTACAACTGTGCCACCAGTTGGGCAGCCACATCAACCCTCAGCACCCAGGGTCCACAGTGGGTGCCCGGGAAGGCTACTGTCCCCCCAGGAATGCGGGGAGAGGCTCATGCTGCCCTAAGGGCCGTATGCTGAGGACACGGGCAGAGCTGAGCTGAGCAATTTTCAGATCTAGAGATTCACTGGCCAAGGCCACCAACAGGCCCTGAGCTGGCCCACACCTGCACCCCCTCGCCCCCAGAACCTTCAGGTTCCCTGCCTCCACTGGGAGCACCACGGCCCGGTTTTAAGATTTCATCATGGCTTCCTGACCTCAAATTCCCTAAATTTCCCTACAGAGCCCGAACAAGGTCACATTCTAGAAATTGAACGAAACCCTCTTGAATTCTATCCCCTCCAGTCTCTGGAATGCCCAGAACTTTTTTCTCTCATGTGTGCAGAAGTGTGGCTGTTCGTCAGAAGCTGCTCTTTGCAAGTCCTTATATCTGGCATCTGATAATTGGCAAACAAATCCATGGCCTACGTCCTGGTTCCCCTCTCCTGAAGCCTCTGCAAGCTTCTCTCCGGGATCTTTTCACTCAGCTCTGGCAGTGCTTGGGCCTGTGGGGAGCCCCTGTGTACCTGCACCTCTGGCATCATGGCTCACCATAGAAGTCAGCAGGGTTGCTGTAGCGAGGACAAGGGTGGCCGATCTCTGTGAAATACTGGACCATGTGCTGAGCTGCCCCCAAGTAGATAGGGGTGCCAGATGTCATCAGGAGGATCAGATCAAACAGCCGGAAGATGTCCGACCCGGGCTGGTGAAGGGAGATAAGCACCAGCCTGTTGCCTTTGGCCAGCCTGGACAAGGTCCTCACCAGGTTGTGGGCCATGAAGCTGTCGAGTCCTGAGGTCGGCTCGTCCAGAATGAGGATGCCTTTCCGACAGAGAGAGGAGCCTTGTGGGTCAGTAGCACGCTGGCCGGACCAGGCCAAGGTGCACAACGCTGGTCCCTCATTTCCCCACTGGCCTCACGGCTCTCACCTGGGTTCCACAGAAGCTGCACCCCGATGCTGATTCTCTTCCGTTCGCCCCCCGACACCCCTCGCACGTAGGCGTTGCCCACGCATGTGTCAGCGCACTGCCGCAGCCGCAGCTCCGCGATTACATCTTCCACCTGGAGGCAGGAGAGAGCCGAGGGCTTTAGGCGTCACCTCCAGGGAGCCCTGTGGTGTAGTGGTTAAGAGCTCAGCTGCTAACTAAAAGGTGGGCAGTTTGAATCCACCTGCCACTCATTGGAAATCCTATGGGGCAGTTCTACTTTGTCCTGTAGGGTCGCTATGAGTCAGAATCAACTCAACGGCAATGGGTTTGGTTTTTGGCCCAGGGCTGGAAGGTCTCTAGGTGACGCAACAGGTGACACTCAACTACTAACAAAAGGTTACTGGTTCAGATCCACCCAGCAGTGCCTTGGAAGAAAGGCCTGGCCATCTGCTTCCATAAAGATTACAGCCAGAAAACCCTATGGGGCAGTCAGTACTACTCTATCACATGGGGTCACCACGAGTTGGAACTGACTCGACAGCAACAGGTTTGGTTTTTTCCCAGGGCTGGAAATATTTTGACACAAATTAAAGATGTCATCTCCTTTGGCTGGGTTTTAAAGTGAATGAGGATAGCTCCTGCTGTGATGTTCATCCCCCTGACCCTTTCCACAGATGCTGAGCAGCTTCTGTATGCTGGGCACAATGGCATGTGTTGGGGACGCGGCCATGTGCCGGGGACAAGACAATTGGGATCCCTGCCCATATGGAAGCTCAGAAAATAAGCCAACAGACAAATACACAAATCTGACAAGTGTGTGAGAGACAGTGTGCGAGGCAGAGATGGCTGAGGGGCCCCAAAGGAGCACGAAAGAGCACGGCAAGACTGGGGGGGCGTTTGGGGCAGACAGTGGTGAGCCAGCTTGTTAGACTCCACCTGTGGCTGGGTTCTGGCAGGGTAGCGAGGGGGAAGGAGACCATGGCTTCTTGGACCTCGAGGGTCGCCCCTGGGGTCAGGGAGTTACCCTTTTGTCACGCTGGGCCTGGGAGAAAGTTCTGGGCAGGTGAAGCTGGGCGACCAAGCCCAGGGTCTCGCGGACGGTCAGGTTGGGCAGCAGCTGGCCGTGCTGGCGCACATGGGCCACACACTTCCTTACCACCTGCGGTGCGCTAGGCTTCCCGTTGATCCAGATCTGGCCCGACTGGATCCTGCCACCACAGCCTCGGCCGGTGATCATGTCCACCAAGGAGGCCATCCCGCAGCCTGCGAAGCCACCAGGGACATTCCTGAGAGCAGAGCTTTTGTGGGGCCAGCTTGGGAGCCACCACTCCCTGTAATTCTCCGGCCACCCTGGACAGCTCTGTCCTTGCAGAAGGGACCAGCCCTAGGCACAGTGGCAGGGCTCCCAGGCCTGGATGGGGCAGCCCCAGCAAATCCACTGGAGCTCCAGGCTTTTCCCTGCAGCCACCATGAGCATCTGTGGAGGCTGGGGGTACCTTGGTGCTGGGGGCTCAGGCCAGGGCAGCTGGTGGCTGCATGAGGGAGACGAGCTGGAGGCCTGACCGCCGCAGGCCTGCCTGAGCCTGGAGCCTTCCCCAGCCCGCCTCTCACCAACGCCCTCTCTCCCCCAGCAAGGCTACGTTAACTGCACTGTGAAGCAAAACTATTTTTGGCTGGCAAACATGCCAGGAACGTCTCATCACTCAACATCGTTTGGCTCAGAAGCTGGCTTTGTGGGAAGGATTAATTTGGAGCATTAATTGGATGCCTTTAAAAAACGCAAAACCAGAACCTATTTTGAGAGATAAGGGAGGGGGAAGGAAAAAAGAAACAATATATGTGGAAATGATTTTTAAACTACAGCACAGTGTACATATACGCTCTGAATTTCCCTGCACCCTTCTTGTCTCATTTTTCTCGGTGGTGCTTTTTACTCTCTCTCTAAAAATTGGTTAACACCAGGGGTGAATGACCCAGTACGAAAGGTAAGCACGGGCTTACTTGTGCTTACTTACTAATTTGTAGTGACCAGTTTCACATAGGTTTCACCACATTGGGGTCATCCGTCCCTGTCAGGGATTGTAAATGTGAAAAGAGGCTTTGATTCTATAGGAAGGTGCTGTGGGGTTGTGAGAGAGACAGATGTCAGCCATACCGAGAAGCAGAATCTTTGATGTGGTGAAAAAAAATGTGAAATTGTTCAGTACAGACCATGTGGTAAGCAAGGTAAGCACCATGCTTACCTTACCTATTGGATAATCTGCTGCTGGCTAGTGCCATTCACTTCTGAATGACGTATCGGTTGCTGTCAGTTTGGGAAAGAAAGCATCAAATTGGATGTCCCTTCCCAAAGCATTTATTCCATGAGGCCCATCGTCAGCCCTTTCCTTTTGTTGACGGCTTTTTAATTTGTAATGTGAATTGGGGTCAGGCTCTGAGAATCCCTTCCTACAAACCAGCTGGGAATGAGCTTTGTATAGTCCCCCCAGTGGGATTTTGGTTTCTTTACCGTGTATTCCTTATGGAGAGCAGTAGGCTCATTTTCCAAGTTGTTTTCGAACAAGGAGAGTGCCAATACACAGCACACAGCTCAGAATGACTCCTCCTAGCCATGTGCCACCTGCAGGCAGCCCCACGGTCCCCATAGAGCCAGCCTGGCACAAAACCAAAAGCCCCCAAGAAACTAGAAACCTCCCCACGAGATCCTTCTCTGGCCAACCAGAGGCTCTCAGAGAGGACCTGCAGCTGGCTCCTGGGCATCTCAGTGAGGTTCCTTAGAACTTTGGTGGAGCTTAACAGCCAGGGAGAAACTGGGAAGGGGGCTTTGAGCCTGCTCCCTGCTCAGACTCATCAGGTCCAGGCTCCGGGAATGCAGCAGACTTTGCAAACATGTCTGGATTCCCAGTGAGAGAGCAGGAACCCAGGAACCCACATTTCCTAAAAAAAAAAAACTTTGGGAGAGAAAGTCGGTGGCTTTTCCAGAGAAGGATGCCTTGCGCATTTGAGTAGACCCCGTATGAACTAGGATAATACATCCACGGACAGTCAAGACCCTAAGTAAGAGCCTGAATCTCCAAATCAGTAAATTTCCTCACTGGAAAACACCTCTGGAATCCTTATTCTGTAGAATAAGCTAAAATGCCTGGGGCTATTTTTTATTTATTTTTATTCTTGTGTGTGTGTATGTGTGTGTGTGTGTGTGTGAGAGAGAGAGAGAGAGAGAGAGAGGAGCAAAAGACCCAGGAAGCATAATGGATAAAACTTTCTGAGAAACAATTTTAATAATCTCAGCCAAGTAAAGCTGAAGCTAAAAAACGCTGAATCTGGAGTCAAAAAACATGGGGACTACTCAGTGTAATTCCTGCTTTGAAGTTGACTTTCCTCAACCTTAAACCAGGGATACTAATAGCTACAGTGTTGAAGGTAGCAAGTATTAACCAGGAGGACTGAAGCTTTGCAGAAGTGCCTGGTAAGGTCCCAGGTGTCCCCTATACACTCAATTCATGAAGAAAAGAAAAATTTCTCAAAACAAGATAGCAGGAGTTAGAAACAAAAATAAAATTGGCCTATGAAGGAGATTTTAAGTCACAATTGCTGAGGCAGGGCCAGAAGTGGGAGGGGCTCAGTGACTTGTGTTTATGAAGCTATTATAGTTACAAAGTGCATTCACACACATTATCCCACTTGATCTTTGGTTAGACAACAGAATTTCTCTATCAGAAGATTAAAATTTGGGAACAGGTGTATAAGAAATTGAGTGATCTCTACCTCTGGAAATGATTAATTAAAAGGTAAAAAGTGCTCTCTCTAAGACTACGTAAGGGTGTCACAGCACGGAACATCTTAATCTGACAATCAGGAGGCTAAATTTCCAATTCTAGTTCTGCATTAAATGTATGTCCGTAGGTAACCACTCAACTTCTCTAGGCTTCAGCATCCTCATTTGTCAAAGGAAGCTGTGTGTTTGTGTGTGTGTGTGTATGTGTATGTATGTGTGTGGTGTGTGTAGGTGTGTGTATGTGTATGTATGTGTGTGGTGTGTGTATGTGTGTGTATGTGTATGTATGTGTGTGGTGTGTGTAGGTGTGTGTATGTGTATGTATGTGTGTGGTGTGTGTATGTGTGTGCGTGTATGTGTATTATGTGAGTGTGGTGTGTATGTGTGTGTTGGTATGTGCAGGTGTGTGTATGTGTGTGTGTGTTGGTATGTGCAGGTGTGTGTATGTGTGTGTGTGTGGTGGCAAGGGGACACTCTAGAAATATTGAGGACTAGATAAGTTGAAAACCCTTCTCTAAAAATGCTGGATAAAATATTACAAACATATTTTCAAATGCATAGCTAAGTTGTAAGAAAGTTAGAGAAACTCCCAAGGGCTAAAAATAAAGGGAAAAAATCCTGAAAAAATAAAGTGGCAAATGGGTAATAGGACTGAAGCTGCCTTTTCTAATTGTTTTAGCCCTAAGACACAGCTTTAAATAGCTGCATATAAACAAAGAACTAAGTCTTGGATCCAAGATGAAGAGATGAAACTGAGACCACCAACAAAGCAAGATCATTGACATGAACGCTCCATGAAAGGATAAACTAGGTTAAACCGCAGCCCACAATCAAAGGAACAACAAGGAAACTTAGTCTTGGGCCGAGCTGTGGGTGGGAAAAAAGAAGTCTCCGTTGAGAACGCATCACCCTGGGCCCATTTGCACATGGATCTGGAGTTTGAGCTCACATTGTCTGTGTGTCCCAGGACAGCTTAAACTACAGAATGAAAATAGTGCACTAGGAACCTTGGCAGAGGCAAACACAAATCTTCAGTTGAAAGCTGTATCCTCAACCAAGACTACACAGAATTCCCATGGAAGAAGCTCAGCTGAATATGAGTGCACATCCCAAAATTACAAAATACATGAGGTGCCAAGCCATCATAAGCAAGTGTCAGCAAAAACAACATATGGTAGAAATAGACCCCCCGAGTCTTTAAATAGTGTAATTATAATACAAAATCTAAAACCTTTATATTAAAAATATTTAAGGAAATAAAAATAGCATGAGCAAGGAGCAATATATGATTATTAAAAAAAAAAAAAAAAAAAAAAAGACCAGGCACATTTGAAAAGGAACCAAGTAGAATTTTTAGAGATTAAATTTTATTAAATTAAAAAGTAAAATAAACCAACTAAACAGCAAATTAGACACAAGTGAAGAAAGAATGAACTGGACAATAGATCTGAAGAAGTTACTAAGAATTAGCATAAAGGCAAGGAGACTGAAAATGTGGAAGAGAAGTTAACAAAGAGGATAGAATCAAAAGGACTAGAGTATATCTTATATGATTTCCAGATGGAAATAATAAAAAGAATGGGGAAGACAATGTTTGAAGAGACAATAGCTAAAATTTTTCTAGCACTGATAAAAAGTACGAATTCTCAGAATCAGGAATGCCAATAAATCCTAAAAAAGATGAATAAAAATAAATTCACCCCTAGGCACATCAAAGTGAACTGCAAAAAACAAAGACAAAAAGAGGATCTTAAAATCAGTCAGAGAGAACACAAAACAAAACAGATTTCTACAAAGGAAAAATTAGACTGGTAACAGACTTCTCATAACCATCAAAGAAGTCCAAGAGACACTGGAATAATGCCTTCAAAGTGCTGAGCAAAAATAAATGTCAGCCTAGAATTGTACACCCAGATGAACCGTCATTCAAAAGCTAGTAAAATAAAGACATTTTCAACGAAATAAAAACAGTTTACCACTAGCAGACCCTTACATTTCTGAAGGTTGTATCTCAAGAAGAGAGAAATTAAATTCAGAGAGATAGGCTGAATAATAGAAGGAATGATGACTAAAAAAAAAATTGGTAACTATAAAAGTAAATTTAAACAAACGGTGGTGGTATAAAATAATTACGATAATAATAGTTCATTGGTGGGGCTGAAAAGAAAAGCAAGGAGAATTTAAAAATTTCAAACAATTACATGAAAGAAGGAAGAGTGTGCTTTGTGGGGAAGCATCCTTGGGTTCTTTTATTTTTCTGGTAGATTACAGGGGTATCAGTTGGCTTTAGATGACAGTGTGCATGTTGAAAATGGTAAACACAGAAAGAATAAAATAGAGAGGATAACTTCCAAATTGGTAGAGGGAAGAAAGGTGAAATAAAAAGAAGAGACTGTACTCTGTTCTTCAAGCTCCCCTTTCAGCTCTGACGTTCTGTAATTTAAAATTTGGCCTGTGGAAGTGACTATCTGAGACACTTCAAGAATCTGCATCTTTGCAAATAGGTGAAGGTCGCTGTAAAACTGGAGGGGCTGTCTGAGAAGAGAGAGTTGCGGTGATGGCTGTACCTCTCCACTGTCTGGCCATAACCAGGAATCTGTGGAGGGAGCGATCTGAATGAGTGCCCCTCATGGCTGGACAAGGGCAGATTAACCAGTAAGCAAGGTACACACAGGCTTAATTGTGTTTACTTACTAATCTGTAGTGCATAGTTTCACATGGATTTCACATCTTTGATGTGGTGACAAACGGGAAATTCCTGCACTACAGGTAAGTAAGTAAGCACAAGTAAGCCCATTCCAAGTTTGCGCATTGGGGACTCTGTCCCTGTGGCTAGAGGGGTCCCCTAAAAAGAACATTCAGTTCAAAACTGCCTGATCTTGGGAACAGCTTTTGCCTTATCTCAACACAGAAGTTACCTAAAGACCTGCAGCTTCAGGTGGACAAGAGGACACTCCTGACCCTCTAGCATAATAACAGCAACTACCTAAGAGCTAGTAAATGGAGGAGCTGGGATTTGAACCCAGGGCTGTCTGACCCAGAACCTGTGCTCTCAACCACTCTGCTATATTATTCCATAAGTCAGCATAGTGTTCTGTAAGAAGCAGCCATTTGTCCAAGGGCACATTCTGCATCCCAGGAAAGAGGGAGACCATTGCCTTGCCATTTGCCTGTAGTGTACCTGAGCTCCCTATGATGGCCAGCATCTGCCCACTTCTCACTTTGAAGCTCAGGTTCTGGATGCCCAGCTCACAGGAGTCCTGGCTGTCGTGTAACTTCCAAGGCATCTTTAACCGAGCCAGATTCTCAAACCAAGGCAGCTGGGAGGCCATGTTCACCTGTGGGGAGACAGCATAAGGGTCCTCAAAGAGATGAATAGACCAGAGGCCTTCAGCAACCTGTCCAGCTCCTCTGTGCCCAACATGGTCCCTCTCCACAGGGGACATCTCCCTACCAATACACAGCAGGGACCCCTTCACCCAGGTCCTACCAAATGTGAAGGTTGAACCATCCATGCTGAGAACCTGAAGCTGCCGTTTCCAAGTCTGAAGACAAGGGGCAATGGAAAGCACATGCAATAGCAGAACAAAAATAAAAATGCAATCTAAAGCAAAACTGCATCTTCATCTAATGATAATTGTAATTTACTAATAATTTATCACGTGCTTATTATGTACAAGGCACAGTGTTAATTGCTTCACATCTACTATCTCATTCAATCCTCATTGCAAACTTGTAACATAAGTTCTACTAAAATCCCTGTTTTACAGTGAGGCTCAGAGTAATTAAGTAACTTGCTTAAGGTCACACAGCCTTTGCAAGACCAGTGGTCCTTTAGCTCTGGATATTTTGTTAGCTCCAGGGACAGTACATTGTACAATTTAAAAAATGACAGAAAAGCTGGCGAAATCTAAATAAAGTCTGTAGCTTAGGTGATACCATTAACTAAGTTAGTACCATTGTAAATTTCTTAGTTTTGATAATTGCACTGTCTATGCAAGATGTTAGCATTAGCAGAAGCGAGGAAAATGGTATACGGGAGCTCTCTGTGCTATTTTGGCATCTTTTCCAAAAGCCTAAGATTATTTCAAAATATAAAGTTAAAAAAGAATTACAGAGATTTTTTTCCCATAGGTTCACACATTTGCTTTACATTTTAACAAGGGTCCCATTCTCTTTTTATGCCACTCAACCTCCAGTTACAATATGGGCAGCTGATGAGCGAGGGAAGTCACTGCGGTGCTTGGCCGAGCACGTGAGAGATCCACTTGGGCTGGACTCTGTCCCTGCCCTGTCCTTCAGGGCAGCAGACCCTCAGAGAGGTGGCACTCTCCCCTTCCACTTGGGGAGCTATTTGGCTTTCCCTACCTGCTCCTCCCGCTTAGGCCCTCTGTAAATGAGGTGTTACCCTACCTGGTAGCTGAGGTCTTGAACGTCTAGGATGTTGGATGGGCCACTGTAGGTGAAGTACAGGCTATTGTCACTTTCAGAGGAGAACAAGCTGTCCTGGAGGTCCTGCTGGGAGACATGACAGGCGAGGGGCTCACCCGGAAGCCGCGGAGGAGATGGGAGAAGACAGGAGGAGGAGACAGACAGGGGAGAGCAGCAGCATGGGTGAGGCCCCTACTTGGCAAGATGGGTTTGTGCAGTGGAGCCCAAGGGCTTTAGAAAATAGTATCGTAGATGAAGACGCATCTCTTCTTCTCAACAGAGAGGGCTCTGGGGCTTTCCCCCAGCACAGCTCCTGGCCCCAGAGAACCTCAGCCTCAGGCTGGCAGAGCCCAAAGCAGGCCATGGGGAGGAGCCCCAGGCCCTGGGCTAGAGGGAGCTGAAAGAGCCTCTACACTGGGAAGGCCAGAGCTGGGCGCTGGCCAACCCTCAGACTTTACTGTTCTCTTCCCTGGCTCTGGGCTAATATTTCCTGATGACAAGCATTGTATACCCAGCATGTTGACAGGAAAGCAGGTATCAACAAGTAAACTCTCAATATGTGTGAAGATACCATCCTGAGAAAAGTCACGTCTTATTTCAGTGAAGAGTTTTGCCCAACAAAGCCATTGAAAATATGGTTAGGGATTTCAGAGGAAGTCCCTTCTCATCATCATCGTCATCGTCATGTTTAAGTTATCGTTGCTGTAGTTATTATTGGGGTGGTGGTATATTTGAAGGCACAGTAAAACCTGTGAAAGCCAGAACCTTCGTAAGGCAGAAACCTGACAGAGAAGGGAAACTCAAATATTTTCCACTAAAAGGAGAGATAGAAAAGCAGTAAGGCAGAAAACTTGTGAGACCTAGAAAAACAAGGCAGTCCTGTCAAGTGCCAGCCCTCACAGATTTCACTGTACATCAGTCAGATCAGTGTCCGATGGTATCAACTGATATCTTTAAATGGTATTAACCATCTGCAGATCTGAATTCCATTTTTAGCTGAAAGTTTCTATTTTACCAGTCCCATCCTTTAAATCATTGAGGCCTGGACAAAGGAGAATCCAACCACTGAGGTTTCAGTGTCTAGGGCATTCCATTTTTCTTCTGCTTCTGTGGTACAGGAAGAAGGGTGCACACCCACTCATCACTTATCGACATAGTTATGTTCCAAAGACCAGATCGTTACGTGAAAATTGGTATTATGTGAAAATGGAGGATGACCACATCAGATCCCAAAATGAAGGATGACTACACCGTTACATAACTGCCAAATTACATCGTTACATAACTGCCAAACCACTGAGAATCATGGTCCAGCCAGGTTGACACATGACCTAAACCATCACAGCCAGCATTACTCTTGCCTTGCACCCTGGCATTCGTCACTGCCAGATGTAGGTCATTAATGCACAAAATAGTTGGATTGTAGCTTTTTTACTGTTGTCGTAAATGTGAAATGTTAGATAAAGAGATAGTCAATAAGTGAGGAGTGGGTATATTCATCAACAAGTTCCCGTTGACTCCAGCTTCCTTCCACCAGAGCCACTTCTCATACTGATGCTTCCTCCCGTCAATCAATCAAGCGCCCAACACTTATTGGGAGCCCACATCACGCTCCAGCCTTGAAGTTTGGGATACACAGGTGAAAAAGACAGGTGATTAGGATGGAGGGCAAGACAGGCCAGGACATAGAGGCAGGCCGACCACAAGCATCTGATGAGAGTATTTTTTCACTGTGTCCACATACACACATGTGCCTTACATGAAATAACCAGTTTAAAAAAAAAAAAACAACAGTTGCCATCAAGCTGATTCCAACTTCATGGTGACCGCATGTGTGTCAGAGCATAACTGTCCTCCAAAGGGTTTTCAATGGCTGATTCTTCAGAAGTAGCTCGCCAGGCCTTTCTTCCAAGGTGCCTTTGGGTGGACTGAAACCTCTAAACATTTGGTTAGCACCCGAGAGCGTTAACCGTTTGCATCACCCAGGGATGCCTTATGTGAAACAACATGGCTGAAACACCCACAGTCTGTTTGTCAAAGCAGACCTGCAATGGCGAGCATGAGAGGTCCTTGGAGTCGACTACGTTCCAGGCCTGTGGAGGTGGAGAGAAATAAATACAGCACCTTGTCAGGTGACAGCCTGCCGCAGGCTCACGGTGAATAGCACCCAGAGCTCCAGGACAGTATGAAAAGCAGCAGACCATTGCCACTTACACTGTTTAATGTTCAAACTATTACCAGAAAGACCCAAAATTATACAGAAAAACCTGGGATATATAAATATCAATTCAGGAGAGGGGTTAGCACTGGGGTGGGTCTTCAAAGCTATTGGCGATTATTTAGTTCAGTCGTGGGTACATGGGAGTTCACTATTCTTTAAACCACTTTGTCTGAAATATTTCAAAATGTATCTTCAAACTGGAAGAGCGAGCAGCCAGAGAGAGCAGGACCCCAGGTTTCTAGCTCCCCCTTGGCCCCTCAGCTGCCAATGCATCCAAAGCAGGAGTGAGGTGGGGGTCGGGGGGTGGGTTTGGGAGGCTGGAGGGTATGCGCCCTCAGAGATGCAGAACGATGCTCTTGGGAAGACTAAGAAAAGCTCAGGTTGTTGCTGCGCTCTGTCAGGGGGGCTCTGCCTCAGTGGCCCCTGCCCTCACCCTCCACTTCCACCATCATCACACACACTGCTGAATTTTTCCGTTTGTTGCTGTCAAACTGTCAAATCCTATCCATTTCTCAAAGGTTCATTTGGGCTAACAAGCATCTTGTTTTTTAATGAAAATATCCATAGAAGAGATACAGAGCCAGTAGTCACTTAGCATAGGATTATGGAAGTCCCTGGGTGCTGTAGACGGCTAAGTGCTCAGCTGCTAACCAAAAGGTTGGAGTATCGAGCCCTGGTAGAGTAGTGGTTAAGAGCTACGCCTGCTCACCAAAAGGTCAGCTGTGCGAATCCACCAGCTGCTCCTTGGAAACCCTATGGGGCAGTTCTACTCTGTCCTATAGGGTCGCTAGAAGTCAGAATCGACTAAATGCCAACGGGTTATGGGTTAATCTCCTTGTGAAAAATCAGCCATTGAAAACCCTATGGCGCACTGTTCTACTCAGACACGCACGGGGTTGCCATGAATTGGAATAGACTCAACAGCAACTGTTATTTTGTTGTTGTTTTTTTGTTTTTTTTTTTAGTATAAGCTTATGAGTTAGCTCAGACACTACTTTCTGGCCAAAAGCTCCCAGGCTAGATTTAGGGGTGGGGGAACTGCCAAGGATGGGAGGTTAGACATTTTGGGGTCTGGAGCAGCATGTGGAGGGGTCAAGCTGTGCTTTGAGAAGGTGGAAGGGCCAGGGGAGACTGAGATACAAGGAAGGTGAGAGGGGCGGCTCCCTGCTCCCAGGCTCCCTTGCAGCCTCCCTTGCAGCCTCCCTCACTCCCTGTGGCTAAGTGGCCTGCGTAGGCCAGCCCAGGTCGCCAAGCACCATCCAAGGATGGTGCCTCCGGGGAGCTGCACAGGCAACTCAACTTTCAGAGAAAAGAACTCAAGCTTGGTTCGGGGAATGCCTCCATTCTGAAATATTTTCCTCGGCTCTCAGGAAGGATTTATTAGACTGTTCCTGAGGTTTTGACAAACTCTCTGTATTTTTCAAAGACTTAAATATCTATTTGGCTGACATCTTAATCAGTATGACTGTCAGAACATCACTTGGTTTTCTGACAGATGACACCCCAAAAAGCAAAAGCAGCTTTATTTGTAGGTAACCACCTCGGCTCCTGCGGGGCTGCATTGTAATTTCTCCTTGTATTAACTTCTGATCAAATTCCTGAGTCAGAACCATAGACTGAAGGAAACTCGGGGGGCACAGAAGTTCCTTGTTCTGCACTGAGCAGGATGTGCCCCAGAGAGGCACACGGCTGGTCTTGGTGTGGCTACGTAGGCTTCTGGCTGAAAGGATGACCCTGGGCCTTTACTAGAACGTCAGACTAGATCTTATGCAGGCTCTGCCCTGAGGCCCGGATACCTCTCTTAATAATAATTGTAATTTACCAATAATTTATCAAGTGCTTATATGTACAAGGCACTGTGTTAATTGCTTCATATCCATTATTTCATTCATTCCTCATCAAAACCTGTAACATAAATAGTACTATAATCCCTGTTTCACAGATGAGGCTCAGAGTAGTTAAGTAACTTGCTCAAGGTCACACGGCTATTAAGTGGCAGAGCAGAGAAAGGCTCATCAGGCTCCTCTGTAAGGAGCTCCCGTCCTCCTCTGGCCGTGCTACTGCCACAGATGAGGAGTCTGTGGGCCAGGGACACTTGCCACTCCACGTACTTCAGGCCCCAGAATCCCCTGTGCAAACGGCCCTAAGCCCACTCCCAGGCCTGCGTGTGCCTCCTCCCAGGTCTATTCTCCTGAGGGCTCACAGTGCCCCCCAACCAGGCACACTGCACCAGAGAGGTGGCTGTTTGTGGAGGGTATGGATGGGATCTGGGAGGGCAGCCTGCGGTGCCCACACAGGAGTGTGGTAAGACAAAGCTGGGTTGGGCAGATAAGGGGACAGGCCGTGAGCTGGAGCTGGAAGCCACCTCCCCATGCCACCACACTCTAGTGTGCCACTCCAAGAAAACCAAAGCCAAACCCATTGCCATCAATTTGATTCCAACTCACAGCGACCCCACAAGACAGAGTAGAACTGTCCCACAGTGTTTCCGAGGCTATAACCTTCACGGAGGCAGACTGCCACATTTTTCGGTTAGCAGCCGAGCGCTTACCCACTGTGCCACCAGGGCTCCTTACACCACTCCTAGGAGTCCTACAGTTTCTAAATTTAAACCTGGCCTTCCAGGTTGTTGATGGAGCAACGGTTAAGCACTTGGCTGCTAACCGAAAGGTTGGTGGTTTGAACCCACTCAGCAGCTCTGCAGGAGAAAGACCTGGCGATGTGTTCCTAGAACAAAGTGGTTCTGCTTTGTCACATGGGATCGCTATGAGTCGGAATTGAGTCGGCGGCTCCTGACAACAACAACTTCCAGGTTGTTAGGAAGGTATATCAAGGTAAGAGATCAGAAATTATTTTATTAAACAACTTTTTAGTTTGATTTACAACTTTTAAATAGCTAGACATGACACGTGGCCCACATCCTCTTGTTCCAGGCCCCACAAATGTTAGGGGCAGAACACTGCTTGACATCTTGAGTAACAGTATTGGAGAAGAGGAAATCGAAAATGGCAGAATCTGCCCGCAGTCCTGGGTGTTGGATTCGGGCAGTCCTTTGTCTCCCAAGCTGTGGTGGCTGAATTGCCAGACCTTCCAGGCAAAAAGTGTCCACCACTGACTTTATACACCGTGAGGCTGTAGGCATTGCTCTCACGGCTACAGGAGTCATTCCTTGCAGGGGTTGGGCCCCTGGGGTATTCAGAGAGCAGAGACGGTCATTTGCTGTGGCTACAGAACTGAAACGTGGGGTCCTTGGCCCCTGCTGAGGTCAAGCCCTACCGATTCAAGGCCAGCGCAGGTGGCCTCTGGCCGTCCCTGTTGGGTGTGGAGTCCTCAGTCATTCATGTCTTTCTGTCCCAGCTTCTCCCCACAGCAGGCAAAGACAGAGGGTGGGGTGAGGTAAGTGTATATAGTGGGTCCCTTCCAGTTTAGCCTTCTGCTTCAAATCCCCCTCACAACTCAATTTCAGTCAAAGGCCATTTCTCCAGTAAACATTTCCCAGGATAACCAAGGGAGGAAACTTGCACCTCCACCTCTTGGCCACCTGGCTGAGGTCTATTCTTTCCAGCCGTGCCCCAGATCTTACTTTTACCTGTGTAGCCATAATTTGAGCCTAAGTTCTGATGTTCCTACAACAGCCATCTGTCATCTGTCTCATCATTTTACTGCCACTGGGATTCTGAGCTTGACAGCCCCTCGGCCAAAGGAGGCACGAGCAGAGTCCTTGGTACTTGCAACCACATTTCTGTGATCAGTCTCATTTGGACAAAGCTAAATCAGGCAAAGTCACAAACCAGGACATTGCTTCCCTGTAGGAGGTGACCTCAGAGGCCCCGGCCCTGAATCAGCTCCCCTCAGCCCTTTGACTCCAGGGAGACAGAGTTCTCACTCTGCTTGTCCTGGGGGCAAGTAAGGACAGAAAGGTCCTGGGGAAGGAAGAAAGGGCCTGACCGCTCCAGCCCTCCAGGGCTGCGGGGATGTCCATCACTCACCAAGCCATCCTGGGGAGTGGCCTCGTTCCACAGCCCTCCCTTGGCTGGGGCAGTCTCAGCCATGGGGCCCAGCAGTGTCTGCCCCTTTGTGGCAGCTCCCCAAGAAGCTTAACTGCTACCTGCCCTGGCCAGGGCTTTCTTTCTCCTTCCCAGAGCGGCCAGCCTCTGGCCCTCTCTGTGCCACCATCCACCTCTCCCAGCATTCCTCCCTGACAAACCCTCACACAAACACACGAGGTGTATTCCAGCCACTGTCAAGATAAGGACACTCTGGCTAAAGGTACATCAGATAATAGTGTAAGTTGCCTAACCCCAGGGCCACGCTGGGAAGGCCAGACAGGACAGTGGAGCAGGCAGGACAGTTGCCGAGGACTCCTCAGCTGAGGGTGCTTGGGGGTCAGGCCACCCGAGACTCCGCCTGGCTTTGCCCCTGTTGGCCATGAGTGAGCCCTCATCATGGACCTCTGCAGGGTCCTTGGAACTCCAAGCAAATAGTGGCTCCTGGGGGGCCCCAGAGGAGGTACCTATAGCTGCTTCAAAGCCCCGACACAGCCTGAGTGTTCTCCATGCCTCCTACAGCGTCAGGTAACGCAGTGCTGGGCGTTTCTCCTCCCCTGTGGGAGCTCGCAGCCCACGCTTTGGGCGGTAGTCAGGGACATGCATGACCCAGAGGGAGTGGACCTCTCTCACCCACTCACTCTGCTGGCTTTTCTCCCTAATGAGGTGTATGCATGGAGGCTTGGGGATTCCCCCTCTTAGTGGATCAGGTGGGAGAGAAGGGGGGATGGGTCGCCACTGGAAAATGAGGGGCAACAGCGAATGGACCCTGCTCTCGTGAAGGCGGGGCATGGAAGCTATTAAAAAGTGGGGCACACTGAATAATACGTGCTGAAATTGTTGAACTGGCGTATGTTTTGTTGTGTATCGCACACCACACCACCTGGTGGTGCAGTGGTTAAAGCGCTTGACTGCTAATTGAAAGGTCAGCGGTTCGAACCTATCAGCTCCTCCATGGGAGAAAGATGTGGCAGTCCGCTCCTGTAAAGATTACAGCCTTGGAAACCCTATGGGTCTGTTCTATTCTGTCCTATAGGGTCGCTATGGGTCGGAATCGACTTGACAGCCCTGGACTCCCTGCCTGGCCTGCCCTGTGTGGCCCCAGGGTAAGGTCACCGATGCCATTATCTGATGTACCTTCAGCCAGAGCATCCTTATCTTGACAGTGGGCACAATACACAGCGTGTATTTGGGTTTGTTGTGAATATTTCACCACAATACAAAACAAAAAAATGCAGGGCAGTGCCCTGTTTGATGCCCTTGCCTCTTACCCACCCCTTTGGCCCCCAGCCTCCCCCTGTCCGCAGGCCTGCCCTGTGTGGACAGAGAGGGCCCAGGGAGTGGGGTGCTGGGAACGCGAGGCGTAATGAGGCACGTGAGGGAATGCAAGGTGGGCCTCAGGGAGAAGCAGTGCCCTGTTTGCCAGCTTCCAGACGGAGAGCTGGCTTCAGAGCACTGCCAGGAGGTGCTGTGCACAGAGGAGCGCCTTCAGTCACTGTCTCGCCAGGTTTACAGATGAGGACGTTGAGGCTAAACCACATTTAGGAACCTGTCTAGGGACAGCTGAGGTGGGAAAAGCTGAGACCACTGCTGGGGACGGGGGCATCTGGTCCCTCCAGAACCCCACACTGTCTTTACCTGCGCGGTTTCCTTTGAAGCCACCGTGTCGGGCCCTGGTGGGACATCACACCTCGCCAGCAGCAGTGGAACAGGCAGATCCTCAAAGACGTTTCCTTGTACGTGGAGAGCGAGCAGATCATGTGCATCATGGGGAGCTCAGGTAAGCCTGGGAAGATGTTCTCAAACGAGGACTCGGAAAAGGCTGTGGCTTGATTTAAACACCACAATGAGGAAACAGATTTAAGTTGTAGCACAAGTGAAATCTATTGACACGTCTGAGTGTGAACGGTATAAAACATTAGAGCCTGGTCCTAATGTGAAATCTTGAGAAAAATCCTTGAACGAGTGAGTATAAAGTGCTGCTTAACATGTAAGTGTATTCATATTTCAAGGCATGGAAAGGTGTGCGTGGCATATAGGGGTGCTCAGTAAACTCAATTTCCCTTATCTGTACCCTGCCTGGAGACAGGAAAAGGGGTTAAATCAGCACAAAGATGCCCACTTAGCCTCCATATTTGATGCCTTCTTTTTTTTTTTATATTGTATTTCAAACATACAGGCAAGAATACAGACTAATATAAAGAATGCTCACGAATTAACATGTGGCTTTATCAAATCTTAACTTTATACCGTATTTGCTTCCGATCCTTTTCTTTTTTAAGGAATTCAACATTACAGAGTCCATCAAGGTCAACTGTGTGCCCATTCCCCACCTCCTCCTTCTGCTCCCCTTTCCCAGGGGTAACTACACTTGAGCCTGAATTCCAGTCTGTCTTCATGCCCCTGTATCAGTCAGTCATTGCTCTGGGAGGGGTATACCCTTCCACGAGGCAGCTCCTTGGGACAGAGGGCAATGCCCTGTGGGGTCACAGCTGTGAATCCTCAGCAGCTGATCTCCCCAGCAGCCTAGGGATAGGTGCCTTGGCCCTGATGAGGGTATCTGGGTGGTACACCACAGTGTCCACTACCCTGGGTTATCCTGCACTTTTTAGGGTTGAAAGATTCTGACAGATTGGCTTCATAGAAGCCTCCTGATTGAATTCTCACTTGCAGTTGTTGACACTTACTGCCACTCTCCACTTGCACGCTCTTTAATGGCGATGGATAATGCAAGTCGGTGATGAGGTGATGGGGAGCGAGAGCCATAGTCATCCACTTGCTGCAGTGAGTGGACAAGTAAATGGCAATAGCAGTGTTGCTAGGATTAGAGGAAAAGGATTCACTGACTATAGCTGTTGTATCTTCCTGACATTTACTGTCAGTTCTTGTCTCTAATTTCTAGTCATTTCTAACTATTTGTATGTACCTGGGCATCGAGGGGCGTTCTAATTGGCCTTTTGCTAAAGATAACATACAAAACACAAAGCTGGGCCATCTCTATAGTAATTGGTCACTTCTTCACTTGCATTCTTGTGTGGACTAAAAGGGTGGCACATGGCACACATACGGGGTATTGAACTTATCCCCCCGAGAGTGTGTCCCACAGGCCCGTGTCATCTTCATGCATATCCCAGCAGGAAAATGGGTGGTGGTGCCCTGATCTGGGAGTTCATGGGCTTGTTCTGGATGATCCTTTTACACTGAATATGAATTCCCACTAGAAATGCACATCCCACAAGGCGAGCGTTTTGTCTCCCTCCCACCCCGTGTATCTTCAGCCCCTGAGGGCAGTGGTGGTTCACTGGTAGAATTCTCGCCTTCCATGCAAAAGACCCAGGTTCAATTCTCCGCCAGTGCACCTCAGCACAGCCACCACCCAGAGGTGTAATGAAGGGTGTGGGTGGGGGGCGGAGGAGGGCACTTGCCCCAGAGTGCAAGTCCAAGGGGGCACCAGATGAGGCACAGAATGACATTCCGAGGAGGAACAAATACGAAAGTCACCGGACTGAGGCAGACAGACAAGAGGGGGGAAGGCGTTTCTGCTGACATGTCACTGATATCAACATCTATTCATCTTGAAATGGGGAGGGCATGTAACTTAGACATTGCCCCTGGGCGCTCATTACCCTCCCTATGCTCCTGTCACCATTCATCTGTCAGTGGAGGCTTTCGTGTTGCTATGATGCTGAACAGGTTTCAGTGGAGCTTCCAGACTAAGACAGATCAGGAAGAAAGGCCTGGCAATCTACTTTCAAAAATCAGTCAATGAAACCCTATGGATCACAATGGTACGATCCCAGTGTGCATGGGGTCACCATGAGTCAGGGGCCGACTCAGTGGCAGCTAACAACATTCTCAACACTTAGAACATAGTAGGTGCTCAATAAATATTTGTAGAATGAATAATGAATCAATTCTCTGAATTACTTATAGCATTTCATAAAAATAACCATAAACCAGAGTTCATTGGCACCTTATCTAATGCAGCATTGTCTATCAAATCTTTATTAGTGTGGCAAAAGATGACTGTGTGTGTTCAAAGTCTCACTAGAGCATAGTCACAAGTCTGCCTGGATCACCTAACACTCCAGGGGAGGGTAACCTTGTTTGACACACTGTTTGTTATCAATTTGGGTCCAGACTCTGGGCTGGATGCTTCCTTGCAGAAGATTGATTAGTTATGAGTGATTTCTGTCCTGATAGAGAAGATAATCCTGAAGGTCATGGTTTTATTGGGCATTCCCCAGCTCTGTGTCTAACTTTGCTGTCTTACTTCAAACTTCTTTTTTCCACTGACTATACATATCACAGGCGTCCTCATGGCGCAGTGGTTAAGCGTCCAGCTGCTAACCAAAAGGTTATCAGTACGAATCCATCAGCTGCTCCTTGGAAACCCTATGGGGCCGTTCTACCCAGTACTGTAGGGTTGCTATTAGTCGGAATCGACTCCATGGCAATGGGATACATATCACTTTCTTGTATCCTCCATTGAATGAGTTTCATCATCCAGCTGTTTTCCTCATTAATAAGTTAATAAATATTGGCCACATGTTCAAAATTTAAAATCTGTATTAGTTATCCATTTCTATGTAACAAATAATCCCAAAATTTAGTGGCTTAGAACAACAATAACTATATCTGTGGGTCAGAAATTAGGAAGTGACTTGGTGGGGTGGTTGGGTGGCTTGGGGTCTCTCATTGTAGTCAGATATCACCTGGCGCTGCCATCATATGAAGGCTTGAATGGAACTAGAGAATCTGCTTACAAGCTGGTTCCCTTGGCAGGTTGGTGCTGGCTGTTGGCAGGAGGCCTCAGTTCCTCTCCATGTCAGGGATGCTTGAGTGTTTTCATTGCACGGCCACTGGCTTCCCCCAGAGCAAGCAATCCAAGAGCCAAGGCAGACATTGCAGTGGCTTTTATGACCTAGTCTGGAAGCTGCACACTGTCACTTCTGCTGTATTCTATTGGTCACTCAGTAGGTCTGGGGTGGCCCAGGATTCTGTATGTTTAACATGCTCCCAGGTGATGCCGATGCTGCTGGCCCTCCTGCCACATTTTGATTAGCCAGGTTCTGGGCAATGTCAGCACAACCGGACAATCCCAGACGGCCACAAAAAGAAATTTACATGTTGTAGGATATCTAAATGTTTCCAAGAACCTTTTCCTTTTATCCTTATCCTCCATTTTCTTTTTCAACTTCCCAAAACTTTAAAAGTAAATAAATAAGCAGAAAAAATACACCCAGTCTTGACCAGTGTCCCAGATGAGAGAAATGGCTGTTGTCATTTGGAAGGTTTGACCCATGAGGGGGCCTCAGAGGTTAAAGGGAGAGCAGTCAGGGCTGGACTGAGGGTTAAGCTACTCCACAGAGGGTCTCGGGAAGTTCCTCCAGTGCTGTCGTGGGAGGGATTTCTTTGGGCTTTCTCTTCTTGCCCCACAGGCTCTGGGAAAACCACGTTGCTAGACACCATGTCTGGGAGGCTGCGGTGCAAGGGAACCCTTCTGGGAGAGGTGTTCGTGAATGGATGCAGGCTGCACCGAGAGCAGTTCCAGGAATGCTTCTCCTACGTCCTGCAGGTGGGCATGTCCCCAGCAGCCCGGCCGCAGCCTGGGGTCTTGGGTGATGCTGACTCCTCTCTCTCCCACAGAGTGATACTCTGCTGAGCAGCCTCACGGTGCGGGAGACGCTGAGCTACACAGCGTTGCTGGCCATCTGTGGTGGCTCCCAGGGCTTCTTCCAGAAGAAGGTGGGTACAGCTTGTCTTCAGAGCAGCCCTGGAAAGGGGCCCCAGGCCCCTGAGTTCCCCAGATCCCAAGCAGGGTCACTTGGGGCACAAATCTGAGACTGTGCAACCCCAGTCGATTTGTACCCCATCTTTCACCTACTGACCTCCACTTGTCCATTCCTCCCCTTTACTCTCCATCTCCACCCTTTACTTCAGAATCTAGACCTGCTCTGTCCAATAGGCAGCCACTAGTCACATGTCACTTTTGAGAACTTGAAATGGGGCCAGTCCAGGCATGGACCAGTAATGTGAAACTTGCCTCTGAAAATGGAGGGTGCCGAGAGACTGAAGAAAGAGGCACACAGCTCCAGTGTGGCAGTAAAGCAGCTTATTAGGGAGGCTTACAGATAAGGCTAAGTCCTGGGTGGCAGTAGGATCAGAGCAGATCTCCGCACCCTGCAGTGGGAGGGTAGAGGTTTTATAGTGGTGGTGGACAATAGTGGCTCCATGCCAGGGGCTTACATAAGAATGCAAACTATGATGATCTAGCACACCACATGGGGGTGCCCATGTTTGGCCTCACAAAGCCTGTTTCCCCTTCAGGACCAGTCCCAATTGAGATGTGCTGTATGTGTAAAATACACAGCAGATTTGGGAAACAGTCTGGAAAAAAAAAAAGGGAAAATATCTCAATAATTTTGTTAGTATTGATTGCAGGTTGAAATGATAATATTTTGAATATATTGAGTTAATAGCTATATTATTACAATTAATTTCACCTTTTAAAATATGACTACAAAAATTTAAATTCTATATATGGCTTGCATCGTATTTCTATTACACAGCTCTGTCCTAGGGACTCTATATTTGAACAGAGATGATTATTCCCACCCTGTGCTTCACCCAAGGAGCCCTAGTGGTGCAGTGGTTAAGCAGTTTGGCTGCTAACTGAAAGGTCTGCAGTTTGAACCTGCCAGCCTCTCTACAGGACAACAGACCTGGCAATCTGCTTCTGTAAAGTTTACAGCCTAAGAAACACTATTGGGCAGTTCTACTCTGTTCTATAGGATCTCTATGAGTTGGAATTCACTCAACAGCAACGGGTTTTTCATGCTTCGCCCTACTGCTCTCTTGAGATTTTCCCCAACTTTCTTTGAGGCATCTGGAATGGGCCTTATCCAAGATGGATTAAGTTAATGAAGGAAGGAACTATTGAATCATTAACTCTTCCTAGTTTCAAACTGTTTCTTAAATGTGCCCAATTTGGAAGTAGCCACAAGTAAACTCATTGGGGCTTTACCTGGAAACGGTGTCCTCTTCATGTGTGGGCTGTGAAGGTCTGGGAATGCACAGGGAATCAACAACAGGTACAAGTGTCACCTGAAACCTGGCACTGCTCCCTGGGCAGTGGGCTCCCTGATCTGTGAGAGTGGAGCAGCAGCATGTGCCTCAAAGTCTTCACCACTCTGAGGCCTCAGCAGGGGCCTCGGGCTCCTCCTCATCACAAAAATTCTATCTGCAGTTCAGGCTCCAGTTCAGGCCCCAAGGCCAGCCTTTCTTGAATGCCATCTAGGCTCTCAGGGACTCCCTCATCTCAGCTGAGAGTGAACGCAGCATGGTACCCTATTTTCATCAGTCACTGCTGAGCCTGTCACCAGTGAGGTTGCTTATCCCGTCTGTGGGGCTAGACTCTCAGACAGGGCTCAAGGAAAGTAGAATTAGATCTGACCAAGTCCTGAGTACTAGCAGGCTGATTTGCTCTTTGTGAAGCACTAAACCCCTTGGTGGTTGGACACATTCTAAGTGCGTAGTTGGCCCTCTTCTTTTTGAGGGTTCTAGATAACCCTGGGGTACAGCTTTCATGCTAGAGGAGTCTTAATGAGACCTGGCCCTCAAGAATGACCATTGGCCTCACAGAGAGATGCTTGACGCTGCTTCCTCCCTGGAGGTTACCTTAGGGTGCTCAGAAGGTATTGCAAGATTGTTGCTATTTTATTAGGTTGTACTTTGAGCTATCATATCTGGCTGGCATTAAGGCTTGTTCACACACACTATTTTATTTCATTCTTACATCAGCCCTGGGAGGGAGATATTACCGTCATCTTTCAGATCAAGAAACTGACACCAAAGGAGATTAAGATCAGACAGCTGGTAATGGCAGAGCTGGGACATGAGCTCAAGGAACACTAGCTTCACCATGTCTCCCTGAGCCCCAGGGCCTCCTGAATCTCTCTGGGGTCTAAGAAGAGGGAGGTCAGAGTTCAGCACACGGTGACGAATAGGCATGTTCACATGGTTTAGTGGTTCTGACAGTGAGTGACAGGTGAGGAGCCAGGCCACACAAGCTCTCTGCAGGCCTTCTCTCTACTTGCTTTAGTGTTTCTATCTCTAAACTAGATGGAGAAAATCCTACTGGTATTTGGGTGGGATCTGAGCTAATGATCCATTTACATCACTCACCCCATTGAGAGAATCTGAGAAAGCCACTGAACACTTTCCCCAGAAAATACACATATTTGCATAAATATTCAGAAAATTTATGGGTACTGTCTTCCTTATCTAGTGCTGCTATAACAGAAATACCACAAGTGGATAGCTTTAACAAAGAGAAATTTATTTTCTCACAGTCTAGTAGGCCAAAAGTCCAAATTCAGGGCATCAGCTGCAGGGGAAGGCTTTCCTTCTCTGTCCACCCTGGAGGAAGGCCTTTCTTGTCAATCTTCCCCTGGACTAGGAGCTTCTCCGCATAGGAATCCTGGGTCCAAAGGATGCACTCTGTTTCCAGCACTGCTTTCTTGGTGGTATGAGGTCCTGCTGTCTCTCTGCTCACATCTCACTTTTATATCCCAAAAGAAAGTGGCTCAAGACACAGTCTAATTTTGTAAATTGAGTCCTGTCTCATTAATATAACTGCTGCCTATCCCCCCCTCATTAACATCATAGAAGCAGGATTTTCAACACATAGGAAAATCACATCAGATGACAAAATGGTGGACAATCACACAATACTGGGAATCATGGCCTAGCCAAGTTTTTCTTTGTTTTAGGTGGACACAAGTCAATCCATGATGGGTACCTTGAAACTGATTCATGGCAAATTTGCTCCTCTAGTGAATGGCCCCTCTCCTTGGCACTGACAGCCCCTTAATATCCTGCAAAGGTTGATATCACATGTTCTCCCTGCTTGAGAGTACTTTCTTAGCAAAGCTAGTCCACAGGGTGTAAACTCCTGACAAAGTAATTTAGTGAGAAGGAAGTGCTGGTGATAAAAGAGGAGGAAGAATAGCAGATCTGCTTCTGTCCTCTGAGGAACTGGGAAATAAAGCCATGGATGAGGTGGATAAATGTGTCTGCTGGGCTGTAGGCTAAGCTGGTGTTTCATGGACTGCTTAAGAGAGCCCAGACAGTCCTGCTGTCAATGCCAGCTCTGCCATTTTCTAATGGTGTGAACCTAGGCAAGTTATGGACATTTCTGAGAATCTGTTTTCTCCTGGGGTTGATGTGAAGAGTCAGATTATGCTGTGAGTGTCCACAGCATAGAGTAGGAGGTTCAATAGATGTTGGTTCTCTCCCACCCCCTTCTAAGCCCCTGCCCTGCCCCTAACTGTTCTAGGCAAGTTAGTCTCTGTAGACTTTGGTTTTCTTATCTATAGAGAGGGTTAGACCTGATGATCCCAATGGTCCCTTCTAAGATTCTATGAATTCCATTCTCAAAAGTATTTGCAAAACATGAGGGAAGTTTCCTGCTGGTGTCTGAGACATCTGACACAGATGAAGTACATGTCTCCTCTGTCCATCCCTTCAAGCCAGGAGAGGCAAGCTTTACTCCTTTGCTGATGTTGGAGAGCAGATGAAAAGAAGGCTCAGGAATCTGTCCTGGCTGGTGAGCCCATAAATCTAGCCAAGTCAAGCAAAGCTCAATTCTAGGATCCTTCCACCCTGATGGCAAGAGAATACTTTTCTTTTTTCAAGGACAAATCACAGTAGTTTATTTATGCATTTTTACCTCCTCATTGTTCCTTTCTATCAATTTCAGATGTGTCCCCTCTTTCAGCCAAAGCTTCATCTATACTGTTGATCTCACTCCCCATTCCTCTGAACCCTTTTTCCATAAATCATCCCCTCTTTAATCCAGTTCGTTTGACTTTTTAATGTGAAGTTTTCATTTCTCTTTTCATAATAAAAGTAACACAATCTCATTAGGGATGTATAGGGACAAAACTTATTACCATCTAAGTATTTTCAGACTCTTTCCACCCACCCCCATTCCCCAAGGCCTTATGCAAATAGGGGTAGGATCTAAGGGGAGGAGGATCAGAAATAAAGATCTTTGAAGGGGTCTCAGGAGATGAGATAACCTGAGGAAGGAAATGAGGAGAGGAGGAAAAAGACTAGCCTCCTTGATTAGAAAATCAGTAGAGAATATTTTTAGTTAGTATTGTTGCGGGGGAGTTGAGAATTCAGGGAGAGAGGTTTCGGGGGCAAAGGAGTATAAGTAGAGTAAGGAGAATTGGGGGAAAGGATTTTTTTTATTGTTGTGCTTTAAGTGAAACTTTACAATTCAACTTAGTCTTTCATACAAAAATCTATACATACATTGTTACATGACCCTAGTTGCTCTCTCTATACTGTGACAGCACACTTCTCCTTTTCACCCGGGATTTCCCGTGTCCATTCATCCAGCTCCTGACCCTCTCTGCTTTCTCAGCTCACCTCTGGACAAGAGCTGCCCATTTAGTCTCATGTATCTACTTGAGCTAAGAAGCACACTCTTCATGAATATCATTTTATGTCCCATAGTCTAGCTAATCTTTGTCTGAAGAGAGTCCAGGAGCCCTGTCTTCCAGGGTCCCTCCAGTCTCAAACTATTAACTCTGGTCTTTTTACTAGAATTTGAGTTCTGCACCTCACTTTTCTCCTGCTCTGTCAGGGACTCTCTGTTGTGTTCCCGGTCAGGGTGGTCATTGGTGGTAGCCAGTCACCATCTAGCTCTTCTCGTCTCAAGCTGATGAAGTCTCTGGTTTATGTGGCCATTTCTGTCTCTTGGGTTAATACTGGGAAAGGAAATTTTAAGAAGTGTGGCTGTCAGTTATAAATTGGGTTTTCTTTAAAGTCCTTAAAGAGATTAAGCTAAAGATTGGAATTATTTTTAATTACTTTTGATCACTGGATTGTATTTCTTTGATGCAAAACCACACTGAGATTGGGCCATATGGGACCCCAGAACTTACTTGGGTTATATAGGATAAAACAGGTCTGTTGTTGTTAGGTGCCATCAAGACAACTCCAACTCATAGCAACCCTATGTGACAGAATAGAAATGCTTATAGGGTTTTCTAGGCTGTAATCTTTACAGCAGCAGATCGCCAGGTCTTTCTCCTGCAGGAACTATTGACTGGGTTTGAACCACCAACCTTTTGGTTAGCAGCTGAGCACTTAACCTTTGTGCCACCAGGGCTCCTTTAAAACAGGTCTAGTTCAAATCAAATTGGAATTTATTATAACGGCTTGATTTCCGCAGGGTAGGGTGAGTCTGAACGTGGCCTGGCAGTCTATGGAGGTATGTTTCCTCTTCTATGCCATCCCCAGCCCACTAGCATAGCAGCCACAGCATGGACTTCATGTCTTCTGCAGGTGGAGGCAGTCATGGCGGAGCTGAGTCTGAGTCACGTGGCAGATCGACTAATTGGCAACTACCACTTTGGGGGAATTTCCAGTGGTGAGCGGCGCCGGGTCTCCATTGCAGCCCAGCTCCTCCAGGATCCCAGTAAGTGGGGCCCAGAACTGCTACCAGTTGCTGCAGAGGTATCTTCCATGCGTCTGCAGATACTTCAGGCCCTTTCTTCACAGTCCCTATTTGGGAAGGGGTTTGTGTGGAACTGAAGTTACTGAGGTTTTTCAAACTGGGAACCCACTTTTTTAAAAAATACTACATGGTTCATTTTCCGGGCACTATTCCATTATCCAACAAGGAGCCCTGCTGGTGCAGTGGTTAAAAGCTCGGCTGCTAACGGGTCTGCAGTTTGAACCCACCAGGTGCTCTGCAGGAGAAGTGGCAGTCTGCTTCTGTAAAGATTACAGCCTTGGAAACCCTATGGGGCAGTTCTACTCTGTCCTCTAGGTTCACTATGAGTTGGAATTGACTTGATGGCAACGGGTTTGGTTTTGGGTTTTATTCCATTATCCAAATTCAAAACACTTCTGGACTTGGAAGCATTGTATTTGCATTTTGGTGTTCAGTTAAAGTCTTCCATGAACATGGGGCCCTGCTCTGCCCATCCTCATTTCTTACTACAGCAACATCACTGTATCTGCTGGGGGAAGCCAATGAGTTTTGGTGTGACTAGAAGAGTTTATGAGAGGAACTGAAGTAGGACTCTGAGTGATACACTCAAAAGTGTATGTGTGTTGGGAGGGGCTATCAAATGGGTAACCAGTCACCTGCTCCCCCTGCCTGGCTTGGTCATTCTCCCACCACTTCCATACACCTGAAAGGGGACATATTTCCTCTGGATCCTTTCTTTACGCTGGGATAGACCCAGACCGCCTGCTCTTCAGATGCTCCTTGGTCAGCAGAAGACAAACAAAAATGATGCTCTCAAGACCCCTGTTCACTTCTTGGGTAGAAATATCGCTACAGGTAAACTCTAAAGAATATAAACGCCTACCGCACCTCAGACAGTGTTTCACGGGTCAGATGTTTTTGCAGTGCAAAGAACTTGTTAGTGTTGGAAAATGCTACAGTCATGAAATGGGGTTAGGTCTCTTTAACCAGGCTTCCCACCAGCCACTGTTTCCTGTCAGGGTCCCCTGGAGGAGCCCAGACAGGCCATGGCACCACATCAGAGGAGAGCTGGCTGCTCCTCTGTCCCATCAAGGATTAAGGCCCAAATGTGCTTCAAGAGCTGGGGGTCAGGTCTCCCAGTTCAGGAACTTTCTCCTGGGACCAGGCTGAAAGCCAGTTTACATGCAGCTACCTTTCACTGTATAGTTGGGACGGGTCAAGACAGCTCAGCAAGGGACCGTTCAAAATTCTGAGTTTTTAGGACAGACCCCAGGCTCAGCACAACTCTGCTTTGTGGACAGAGGTCGTGCTGTTTGACGAGCCAACCAAAGGCCTGGACTGCATGACTGCCAGTCAGATTGTTGTCCTCCTTGCGGAGCTGGCCCGCAGGGACCGCATGGTGATCCTCACCATCCACCAGCCCCACTCCGAACTCTTCCAGGTAAGGGTGACGCCTGTTGTTCCTGATCAAGCAGTCAAGGGCAGGTATGAGTGTGCTAAGGTAGGGATGTCAGGAGGCGGGGCAGAGATTGTTGTTGGTTGTCAATGAGTCAATTCCGACTCATCGTGACCCCCATGTGTCCTGAGTAGAACTCCTCCATAGGGTTTTTAAGGCTGTGACTTTTTGGAAGCAGATCGCCAAACCTTGCTTCCAAGGTGCTTCTGGGTGGGTTTGAACTACCAACCTTTCGGTTAGTAGTTGAGCACTTAATCATCTGCACCACCCATGAACTCCTGGGGCAAAGATTAGTACTGTCAAACCTGAGGAACTGGAGTCAACAGCGCCAATGGGAAGGGCAACAGATGGAAACGACTTTTTCTCAGCACCTACCATGTGCCAAATTCTTTCTGTACACTAGCTCATTTAATCCTATGAGGTGGGTATCAGTATATCCACTTAATAGGGGCAAAGAGTGAGACTTAGAAATGATACAAAATTGAGCCAATATCACAGTAAAAAGTTGGCATTGCCATTCACGGTTCAATTGTCTTCCAAGACTATTTTTCTACTACATCATACAGATCCCCTTCCCGAATTCTCACTTTAGGCTTCCAGTATCCTATTCAACCTGTTGCCGTCAAGTCTATTCCAACTCATAACAACCCTACAGGACTGTAATCTTTACAGAAGCAGACTGCCACATCTTTCTCCCCCAGAGCAGCCAGTGGTTTGGACTACTGACCTTTCGGTTAGCAGCCAAGCTCTTAACTACTGCACCACGGGGGCTCCTTCAGTATCCTATTAGGTAGATATCATTGGCCTTTTATAGATGAGAGATAAAAAAGCAAAACAAAACAAAAATCCAGCATGGCCAAGTTACTTACTTGGTGGAATGGGTGGGCTCAAACCCAGGTCCACTACTGGTAGTTCTCCTCTGCCACACATGTGACACTGGGGCTCAAGCTGGGGTGCCCCACAATCCATGGAGGGGGCCCAGACTGAAACAGAGAGGTACTCTGGGTGTTTCCATTGATACATTAAGAGTACTGGTGCATGGCTGAGATGGTCAAAGGACTGGCTGCCGTAATAACCCAATGACCTGAGGACACACATATACTAACACTGTCTGTTGTCCAGTCAGCTCTTTGACAAAATCGCCATCCTGAGCTGTGGAGAGCTGGTTTTCTGCGGCACGCCAGTGGAAATGCTTGATTTCTTCAATGGCTGCAATTACCCTTGTCCTGAGCATTCCAACCCTTTTGACTTCTATAGTAAGTTTTTCCTTCATATTCCCATCCCGAAGGTGTTTTGAACTTGATTATCTCAGGTTTCCACCTGGATGACACCAGCACTAGTGGGATTTATTTCTGCTTTTGTTTTGGTGTTTGTACTTTACTCTTCAAGGAGTGAATATGGCCAAGTCAATGAACTTGCCATAGACGACCTATCAGAATATGGCAGGGAACCTCTCTCCAACAAATTGGTGCCCTCCCACTTTGTCAGAGAAAAATTTGCCACACTCCTGAATTCTCCCAAACAGGCCCAAAGGGATTCTCATGGCCCAGCTGGGTAGCTCTAAAATATTCTGATTTCAGGTGGGCATTAAGAACAGGTTTTACTCTCACGGAATGAGTTATTACGGGACAGTTCAAAATCCCGAGTTTTAAGCACAGTTTTAAATACTTCTGAATCAACCATAAAACATATATTATTATCCATTGTATATATACACATATATTTAAAAACACATGGGTCATATCTTTTGGGAAAAATTCTAGTGGACCTGACGTCAGTGGATAGTCAAAGCAAAGAACGGGAAATAGAAACCTACAAGAGAGCCCAAATGATCGAATCTGCCTATAAGGAGTCAGCAATTTATCACAAAACTTTGGAGAATATTGAAAGAACAAAACACCTGAAGACATTACCAATGGTTCCTTTCAAACCCAAAGATTCTCCTGGAGCTCTCTCTAAACTCTGTGTCCTCCTGAGGTAAGAACCTTGCAAATGTAAGCAAGGCCCATCTTAGGTCTTTAGACATCACCAATGAAGAAAAGCAATTAAAACAGAGTTGTTTGGCTTTCAGGAGAGTGACGAGGAACTTACTGAGAAATAAGCTGGCAGTGACAATGCGTCTCACTCAGAATCTGATCATGGGCTTTGTCTGTCATTTTCTTCCTCCTACGAGTTCAGGATGACATGTTAAAGGGTGCTTTCCAGGACCGAGTAGACCTCCTGTACCAGAGTCTGGGCGCCACCCCATACACAGGCATGCTCAACGCAGTGACTCTGTGTAAGTGCACATGGGCAGGAGATGTGCCTTGGGGTTGGAGGTGCCCTCTCTCCCCAGACAGCCCCTCATCCAGCTGTTGCCTTGCAAAAATCCACCATCATATGGGTACTTCTCTGAGCTAAACCTGGCCCTCTCCAAGTACTCTCTCTGGGGAAAGATGATGCATTGCATTACTAACACCTTAGGGTGAATTTGCTTACAAGATGGTTTTCTAGGGTCTAAGGAGAAGAATCCAGGCAAATGTGAAGTTTGCTGTGCTTGTGGGGCAGGGTTTGGGAAAGGCTTTTCAAAAGGCCATTCCTCGAATCCTATCTTGGTCATTAGGATGTACAGCACTTTGGGGCACTGTTATTGGGCCAACTTTGCAGCCTTAGGTTCTTCTTGGAGCCTGTTTTAGGACAACCAACACCTAAGGTTCAAACCTGGGGGGATCCAGAAGCAACACTTAGCTACCTGATGTTATAGTTTATGCAGGGAAATGGATGTTAGAGGGATCTCCAACATGTCACACTAGGTTCAGATACAAGAGGGAAGGATGGCGCTTCTGCACAGTTGGTCCTAGAGATGGAGATGGAGATACACCCTGCCGACACCAGGGCTTCCTAGCCCTCTGAGACTCAGTGCAAAAGGCAGGTGGCTTTCGGGCCAGATCCTGCACAAAACGGGGACAAAGTGCCTCAAACCACTCATTTGTGCCCCCTTTTGCATGTACTTTTCTTGAATTGGTGACAACTCCCGACCTTAGAGAGAAGGAACTAAATCATGACAACTCTTGCAGCTGCACTGAAATTCAGGTGGAGTGCAGCTTTCTGGGGTCAGGATATTTATGGCCCTGTGGATGGAAGTCCCTTCATTCCATGATGAGGGAGCCTGCCCAGCTAGCCCTTGTTGCCCAGCCCTGACAGATCTTGAATTCAGCTTCGGCCAGCCCTCCACCCTCAGCTGTGTAAAGACTGACTGTTCTGAAACTTGCCTTCCATGTCCAGTCCCTGTGCTGCGAGCTGTTGGCGACCAGGAGAGTCAGGACGGCCTGTACCAGAAATGGCAGATGCTGCTGGCCTACATGCTGCATGTCCTCCCCTTCAGTATCCTTGGCATCATGATTTTCAGCAGTGTGTGCTACTGGTAAGGGGGTGTTCGGGAGTGTTCCATTCACCTGGGGTTAGGCCTACCATGGAGTCATGGGTAGCCAGTGGGAAGCATGAAGAGGGAGCTCCTGGGTGGATAACTCTGAGCTATCTGCTCCACAGGATCTATCTTTGCCTATCAATGTCCAGAACAATGTCCTGTTCTTCAGGACAAATAAAATAACCCAACTGTGGGCTACATGGGACCTGAGAGAAAACCAGCAAGATTACATGTGGCCAGGGAATAGCATGTCCCACATTCACTGCAGAGCCTGGGCCAGAGAAGAGGGCTCTGAAGTAGCTGAGACCCACGCCGGTTGGGTCCAAGTGCTCGAGCAGTGGGCCACCCACATCAGCGTGGCCTCCCCAGGCTGCTGTAAGCTGGAGCAGCTCCTCTACCTGGGCTTTCACTGATGGACTGGTGACATCACAGTTTGGGCTGGGGGGTGAGGGGAGCTTGAGGAATAAAAGAGTGACTGTAGGAAGAAGACACTGGGGGACTATGAAGCATTTCTGATGCTGGCAGGGTTTTGACTGGTGGCTTTTAGGCAATGCTTCTTTCTATTTCTTAGAACGTTATGAAGATATAAATCTGAAAATGTGTCGAGTTAAGGTATTTGCAAGATGTGTTATCATAAATGTCCCTAATCACTTTGGCTTTCCCTTAAGAAAAGATGGAGGTTGAAAACTTTATGTTGAGTGAAATAAGTCAGTCGCAAAAGGACAAATACAGTATGATCTCACTTCTATGAAATAACCAAATATTGAGAAACCAAAGATTATTAGTGGTTACCAGAGGTGGGAAGGAGGGGGAAAGAGGGAGTTTTTGATTAGGGGGCATTGAGTTTAAGTTAATGGTGGTAGAATGATCTGGAAAAGGAGGGTGAGAATGGTTGCATGACCTAAAGAATGCAATCAGTGTCACTGAATTAGACATGTAGAAATTGTTGAACTGGCAGATGTTTTGTTGTGTATATTTTCACCACAATAAAAATTTTAATAATAATAATAAAACAGAGAAAATTACCAGGCATTCTGTGACTCTATTAGTGTATAGGTGCCCAATTCGTCCCAAGAGAGAAGTTCAGGCAGTTTTTTTTTTAAATTATTGTGGTAAACATATAGGTGACAAATCATTTGGAATTTCAACATTCTTCATGTATACAATCAGTGACATTAGTTATGTGATGTTGTTCAGTCATTACCATTATCTGTTTCCAAATTTTCCCATACCTTAACAGCTGCTCAGTATCTATCCTCTAAGCAGTGAGTCCCCCTTTTTCCCTCCCTCCCAGCACTAATAAACTTTGGTCTCTATACACTTGCCTATTCTAGGTATTTTATATAAGTGGAATTATACAACATCTATCCCTTTGTGGTTGACTTATTTCACTCAGTATAATGTTTTCAAGGTTCATCTATGGTGTAGCATGTGCCAGGACTTCATTTCCCTTATGATCCAGGCAATTCTGGAGACATTCTCTTTCTTCAGGTCACCACAGCCAATATAAAGACCCATGTTATATAGTATAAATGATTATTATAAATTAAATGACATATAAGTAAAAAAATAAATGAGGAACAGTCTTGGAGCCTAGTTAGTTTGAGCTCAAGATGAAGAGTTTCAGGTCTTGGTGCAGGCTCTTAGAAGTAGGTATCACTGGAGCATGACAAAGACAAAGCCACTTATTCCATGTCAGCAGGAGGGTGAACTGTCTCAACCAAAGGCAGTGGTGAGGACCACATGGCCCTCCTTGCTGGCCCTCCAGAAGCTATTTCTCTGACACTCCAGGACATGCTGAATCTCTAGTATGTGATGCAACTACACACCTGTCTAATTCCATCTAAATGAAACAGGAACAAATTTTTAAAACTTGCCCATTTTTGAGTCAAACAAACAAGAACCAAACCTGTTGCCATTGAGTCGATTCCAACTCATAGCAACCCTAAAGGACAGAGCAGAACTGCCCCATAGGCAAGCGTATAGAATTTCCAAGGAGGGCCTGGTGGATTTGAACTGCTAACCTTTTGGTTAGCAGCCATAGCTCTTAACTACTATGCCACCAGGGTTTCTTGAGTCAAACAAGGTTGGCTAAAAATCAAAGATTCTGTTAATTCAGAACCTTGCTACATAATGTGGTCCACAGACCACAGTGCCAGCATCACTTTGGGGCTTGTTAAATACGCAGAATGTAAGCCCAGGTGATTAAGAAGATCCCCAAGTGACCGCTATGCACTTTATCATTTGTTGCGAAGCACTGGTTTTGAAGACTATCCAGTATGTGAGAAACTGGTCAAGAGTTGAGTAGGACTTGCATAAACAGGGCAGTTTTAAACTAGGTTCAACGTGAGCATCCAGGTCATGACTATTTTTGATAAAAAGTCTGCAACAAGGTGCAAAATCATTTTATTGGCAGCACAGCAGTTGGCCATGTAGTAAGTACTTTAATTAAATACCACTAATATTTGCTGAATGCCTAAGTGCCAGGCACAGTGCAAGGTGCTACAGGAGATTCAAAGATGAGTGAATGAAAGTGCTAGCCTCAAGCTTGCAATTCCGGAATCTAAACATCTCTGCAAGCCAAGTGTTTTTGTAATTCATTTAGCAGCATGGCCTGACCTGAACTCATTTAGCAGCATGACCTGACCAGAACTGATCTGAGTTTCTTCATACTTGTCCCACATGAACATTCCTCTTTAGCAGAAATATTAATGTGTTCGATGCAGGTGGGGTCCTGGATCCCACTGAGGCAAATATGGCCTATGCAGTTAACACCTTTCCAAACTCTGTAAAGTTGCACATTCCAAACCACATCTGGCCCTAAAGTGTTTCAGATCACGGACTATGGATCTAGACAGATCTCCAATGACTTTAATTCGAGAAAGGGTAAGATGAGTACTACAGAGAAGCACAAACACTGTGCTGAGGGAAATAATAACAGCTGACACCTATTAAGCATTTATTTGCTTTATCTCAGGCGCTAAGAGCTTTATGTATATTAGTTCATGTAATCCTTGCAACCATTCTGTAAAAGTGGTACTATAATTATCCTTGCCTGTAGACGAGGAAATTGAGGCATAGAGAGGCACGGAGAGGGTAGGTATCTTTCCCGTCTCACATCCATTATCTCAGTTAATTACAAAGGAGACCAAGAGTCCATATGGTTGGGTGGAGACAGGGAGTACGGGGGACAAGGGCTCCTGGAGGCTTTCTGGAGAAGAACTGGAGAGATGAACAGAATTTAAACAGCTGGAAAAGGGAGCAAGGGCATTCCAGGTAAAGAAAGTGCATGTGGATAGGTTCAGAAGCAAAAACACATGAGACCTTCCCAGAGAGAAGGGAGTACGTATTCAGATGAGCTGGACGGAATGAAGGGTTGGAAGGAGGTGTTGTTAGCTGCCTTCGAGTAGTGGAAAATAAAACTGAAAACCCCAGGGTCCTGTGGGGAGGCGGTGAATGCCAGCCTAGAGCTGGCATGTATTTGATAATGGGACATGGGATAAGATTTTTTTTTTTTAACTGTTGTACTTTAAGTGAAAGTTTACAACTCAAGTTAGTCTCTCATACAAAAAGTTATACATACGTTGTTAGGTGAGCCTAATTGCTCTCCCTATGACAGCACACTCCTCCTTTCCATCCCTGATTTCCCGTGTCCATTCAACCAGCTCCTGACCCTTTCTGCCTTCTCATTTCACCTCCAGACAGAAGCTGCCAATTTAGTCTCATGTATCTACTTGAGCTAAGAAGCACACTCTTCACAAGTGTCATTTTACGTCCCATAGTCCAGTCTAATCTTTGAAGAGTTGGCCTCAGAAATTGTTTTAGTTCTGGGCTGACAGAGAGTCCGGGGCCATGCTTTCTGGGGTTCCTCCACTCTCAGTCAGACCATTAAGTCTGGTCTTTTTACTAGAACTTGAGTTCTGCACCCCACTTTTCTCCTGCTCCATCAGGGACTCTGTTGTGTTCCCTGTCAAGGCGGTCATGGGTGGTAGCCAGGCACCATCTAGTTCTTCTGGTCTCAGGACAATGCAGTCTCTGGTTTATGTGGCCCTTTCTGTCTCTTGGGTTAATACTCTCCTTTTGTCTTTGGTGTTCTTCATTCTCCTTTACTCCAGATGGGTTGGGACCAATTGATGCATCTTAGATAGCCGCTCGCTAGCTTTTAAGACCACAGATGCCACTCACCAAAGTAGGATGCAGAACATTTTCTTAGTAAACTTTGTTATGTCAATTGACCTAGATGTCATGGGAAAGGATTTTGAACCAAGGAGTGACTCACCTGTGTGGGACTCTGGAGGGTGAGCCTGGCATCACTTTGGTAGCAGACCCGAGTTAGGGCAGTGACGCTGGGTAGCCCAGTGAGGAGTCTTTGCAACAATTTGTGGGAAAGGCAGAGGGCCCTAGATGAGGAGAGTGGCAGTGGTAACAGAAGGGGGTCACTTTGAGATGTTTGGAAAGCAGAATCAAACGGACTTAGAAACGGAGTGGATTTGTTGGAGGGTAAAGAGAGTCATACACGATTCCTGGTTTTCAGCCTGAGGGAAGGGGAGGGTAACAGCATCCTTACCAAATTTTCCAGGAAAGAGAATTGATTTGGCTTTGGACATGTTCAATCTGGGATGCTACAGGACACCCAACTGGAGGTGTGAATCTGAGGTTTGGGTGATAGTAGAGTAAAAGAAAAAGTAAGAGAAGAACTAAGAGTAAAGACCTGGAACTGGATGCTACTGAGACAGTGGGGGAAGAGGAAGGAAGCGGTCTGAGTGCAAATCTCATTGGAAGGTTTGGGGGGAGAGGAAAGTGAGCCAGAGAAGGGGGGCATGGGGAGTGGTCACAAAGGTAGAAGGAGAAGCAGGATTGGGCAGCTCAGAGAAAATGAGGGTAGAGAGATCTTCAAGGTGTTGTAAATTCTTAAAGAGTGGTGGGGAGGGGTGAGTATAAGACATGCTAATTCTTTTTCCTTACTCCACAAGTGGAAGAGAGAGCAGCATGTCTAATGGTTACTGATGACATGTTATCACACCGGGAAATGTAGTTTGGTAAATGGAATATAAGAAGAAAGGGGCATGAATATAGGGTAGTTTGTTTACAACAAAAATGAGGGTCCAATTAGTGGAAGGGATTGGTAGAATATAAGAAAACATTAGCATGGAATGAGGGCAGTGATGGTTCAGAGGTGGAATTCTTGCCTTCAACACAGGAGACCCCGATTCGGTTTCCAGCCAATGTACCTCAGCATAGCTATCACCCATCTGTCAGTGGAGGCTTGAGTGTTACAATGATGCTGAACAGGTTTCAGTGGAACTTCTAGACTAAGACAGACTGGAATAAAGGCTTGGTGATCTACTTCCGAAAGTTAGCCGATGAAGACTCTGGATCACAACGGTCTGATCTGTAACCCACCATGAGACCAGCAGTGTTTCCTTCTGTTGTGCATGGGGTTGTCATGAGTTGGGGGCTGACTCAACAGGAGTTTACAACAACATAAAATGGAATAGGTCTCAGGAGGGTTAATCTGATCAGGGATGAAAGCAGTGAGGGGTTTTCACACTGGCAATAAGCCCATGTAACAGGAGGGATGAGGTTGGAGGGAGGGGCTGAGAGGCAGTTGGATGAGCCCTTGCCGTAGGTAGGAGTGGTGCTACCTAGGCAGAATCCGGTTATTTATGGAGAAGTCTGGTGAGCTCAACAACCTGCTTATTGCAGTTAGTTGTGATAGCTGTCTAAATGATTTAATATTTTCCTGTTAGAGATGAAGAAGCTGTAAAAGGAAAAGGTGGTTTACATTGAGTTGAAGCCAACAGACACAATTTGCAGTAGTAAATGGTCTCATATGTTGGCTCTGTTCTGAGGAGGCCTTTCAAAGCAGAGGCTGGCTTGCCCTGGAAACTTTTCTTACCCACTAACTCCGTGGATTTATTCTATAGAGGTAAGTGTGGTATTTTTCTTAAATGATAACCCTTGGAGAGAGGCTAAAGACCTTATGTTTTTCTAGGACTCTGGGCTTATACCCTGATGTGGCCAGATTTGGATATTTCTCTGCTGCTCTCTTGGCCCCCCACTTAGTTGGTGAATTTCTAACTCTGGTGCTACTTGGTATCATCCAAAACCCAAACGTTGTCAACAGTGTAGTGGCTCTGCTCAGCATTGCTGGAGTCCTTGTTGGATCTGGACTCATAAGGTAAGACAGAATGGTTTAAATAATTGGGATTGTTATGATTTGTTGTTAATGATCATCTGATAATGACGGTTACAAAGGAATTTCAGAAGAGAGCTCTGTGATACTGGTTAAAGGTACCACTTTGTAGTCCGCCATTCTGGAGTGTTTACAGTGGTTGCTAATCATTATTACCTTGGACTTTGAACTGTTCACCATTCACTTACAAAATATCTGTATATTGAGAATCAGGAAACGACAATATAAGCATGTTACAGATATGATTAACATGAAATAAGCCATGACAACAAGCTGAGGAAAAACAAGCCATCCTCCAGAAAAACCCATAGCCCATGTTACAGGCTAAATAACATGCATATTAGTTAATTTCTGTCCGGGCACTGTTGAATCTCTATTCCAGTCCTCAATTCCCAGTTATTTTTAAGAAGGATAGTTGGATACAAAAAGAGACTGCTGAAGAATAAAAGACTGCTGAAGAAAGTAGCAGGACTAGAAGAAGGACACGCACCAAATGTTAGCAATAATTATCTCTCTGTGGAACCTATTTTAATCCTTTTCTTTACTTGTGAATTTTCTATAATGGCATGCATCCTTTTATAATCAATAAAGAATTATAAATTTTAAAAAGTAGTAGCAGGAAGGATGAAAATTTGAGAAGAGTGAAAATGATACCAGGCAGGTAGAGTGAGTGGGGGTGAGTAACTAAACTATGGGTCCCTGAGAAAACGTGAAGAAGGCTGTTTCTTTGACTTAAAAAAAAAACAAAACTGAGTATCTAGTATATGTAATTATACTTACAGGTTTAGTCATTTAACTCTCAGAGCAACCCATTTTCAGGTAAGAAAACTAGGCTCAGACTTTGCCCAAGTCCCAGCGCTATGAAGACTCTCTCAGAAAGCATGGGTTCCATGGAAAGAGGACTGACCTAGGAGTCAGAAATGCCCTCTACCGATTAGCTGCCATGTGACCATGGGCAAGTCACTTTTCTATCTTAATTAGTTTCTCCATTTGTAAAATGGAGGTAATTACCTCGGCCTCACCTACCTCCAGGAAATTATATAAAGGTGAGATATTATAAAGCAAAGTGAGCTAGTTGTTTTTCAGTGACACCATTACATTATCTATGTTGTTTAAGTGGACTGTTAGTATCTATGAAAAAGGCACAAATCAAATCACCCCAAGGGTACAGAATCAAGCCAGTATCATTACAAAGTAGAGACCCAACCTCAGGCAGTACCTCCACTTTCATATTTGAATCATTGCATGGTTCTATCAATCTGGCACCATGTCATGTATTTAGGTTTTTGGAACGAGGGGATTAATCGCTCTTAAAAGTGAGGCAGTGGCCAACATTACTGAACACTCTTGGGTTCTTTGCAAAATCTCAATATCCCAAGGGATTGTCACCTGGTTTTCACTCCCATTGCTATATGAAACTCCTCTGTTGAAGGCCACATACACACCCTAGTCGTTACATTTATATTTATAAACCTCCTCGTCATTTGATATATATTTTCCCCCAAGTCTTCACCCTTCCTGAAGCATTTGCGCTATTGGCTGCCTTCTCTTTTAAATAAAAATGGAAACAGCTTAGCAGCTCTTCTGCTTACAAAATAACACATTGCATTGTAAAAAAAAAAAAAAAAATGCACACAATACAAAAATGTACAAGGAAGAAAATAAGTCATCTGAAGTGTCACAACCAGAGTTAATTTTATTGCGTATCTTGCTAGAGTTTTATATATTTTTAATAAGAATGAGATCATTTTATTGTATAAGATGCAAAGTATGCATACTTTTTTTCCCATTTAACAATATGTGGACAGTTTTCCAGGTCAGTGAATTTATATCTGAGGTCCCTCCCTCTTGAAAGTACTCATAGGATTTCCATAGCCTGGTTCTGCTCCTGACTTTCACTGATCCATCTGTCTCCCTCTGCCACCTGCAGAAAGCCTGCCTGTTCCCTTGGCTAGGAGCTCTCTTTGAAAATCCCCTTTGTTCTCTCTCACAGCCCATTGCATGCTGGGCCACCTTGTAGTCTTCCATTAGTAGACTGTCAACCTCAAGGAACCTCTGTGTCTTATTCATCACTGTAATCCTCCTCAGTGGCCAGCCCAAGGCTTTGAACCAATTAGCTTTGCAAAAAAAAAAAAATGTGTTGATCCATCCACCTATGGTCAGCTGATCTTTGATAAAGGACCAAAGTCCATTAAATGGGGAAAAGATAGTCTTTCTAACAAATGGTGCTGGCAAAACTGGATTTCCATCTTTAAAAAAAGAAACAGGACCCACATCTCACGCCATATACAAAAACTAACTCAAAATGAAGCAAAGACCTAAATATAAAACCTAAAATGATAAAGATCATGGAAGAAACAATAGTGACAACACTAAGGGCCCTAATACATGGCATAAAGAGAATATACACAATAACTAACAATGCACAAACACCAGAAGATAAACTAGATAACTGGGAGCTCCTAAAAATTAAACACTTTTGCTCATCAAAAGACTTCATCAAAAGAGTAAAAAGAGAACCTACAGACTGGGAAAAAATTTTTGCTTATGACATATCTGACAAGGGTCTAATCTCTAAAATCTATAGAATACTTCCATACCTCAATAACAAAAAGACAAATAATCTAATTAAAAAACAGGCAAAGGCTATGAACAGACACTTCACCAAAGAAGACATTCAGGCACCTAACAGGCACACGAGGAAATGCTCATGATCATTAGTCATTAGAAAAATAAAAATCAAAACTACAATGAGATACCATCTCACCCCAGCATTATTGGCACAAATGAAAAAACCAGAAAATAACAAATGTTGGAGAGGTTGCAGGGAGATTCGAACCCTTATGCAGTGATAGTGGGAGTGTAAAATGGTATAACCACTGTGGAAAATGATATGGCAACTCTTTAAAAAGCCAGAAATAGAAATACCATATGATCCAGTAATCTCACTCCTAGAAATATATCCTACAGAAATAAGAGCTGTCACACAAAAAGACATGCACACCCATGTTCACTACAGCATTATTTACGATAGCAAAAAGATGGAAACAACCTAAGTGGCCATCAACAGACGAATGGATAAATTACGGTACATACACATAATGGAATACTATGCAACTATCTTGGAAGAAGTATAACCAGAATGCTCCTTAGAAGGAAGGATGGCGAGACTACGACTTACATACTTTGGACATGTTGTCAGGAGGGATCAGTCTCTGGAGAAGGACATCATGCTTGGTGAAGCACAGGGTCAACGAAAAAGAGGAAGAGCCTCAAGGAGATGGGTTGACACAGTGGCTGCAACAATGGGCTCAAGCATAGCAATGATTGTGAGCAGGGCACAGGACCGGGCAGTGTTTCGTTCTGTGGTGCATAGGGTCGCTATGAGTCGTAACCGACTTGACGGCACCTAAGAACAACAACATGCAACAATAAAGAACAATGATGAATCCACAAAACATCTCACAACATGGATGAATCTGGAGGGCACTATGCGAGTGAAATAAGTCAATCATGAAAGGACATATTATATGAGACCACCATTACAAAACTCAAGAAAAGGTTTACACACAGAAAAAAAAAAAACAATCTTTGATGGTTACAAGAGAGGGTAGGGGTGGGGAGGGGAAATCACTGACTAGATAGTAGGCAAGTGTTAACTTTGGTGAAGGGAAAGACTACACACAATATAGGAGAAGTCAGTGCAACGTGACCAAGGCAAAGTCATAGAAGATTCCTATACACATCCAAACACCTTGAGGGACTGAGTTACTAGGGCTGAGGGCTGGGGACCATGGTCTTGGGGGACATCTACGTCAACTGGCATAAAATAGTTCATAAAGAATATGTTCTACATCCTACTTTTGTGAGTAGCATTTGGGGTCTTGAAAACTGGCAAGCAGCCATCTAAGATACATCTACTGGTCCCATTCCGTCCGGAGCAAAGGAGAACGAAGAAAACCAAAGACACAAGGGAAATATTAGTCCAACGGATTAATATGGGACCTCATGAACCACAGCCTCCACCAGCCTGAGCCCAGAACCAGATGGTGCCCGGCTACCACCACCAACCGCTCTGACAGGGATCATGATGGAGGGTTCCAGCCAGAGCGGGAGAAAAATGTAGAAAATTCAAATTCACAAAAAAACAAAAACAAAATAGATTTACTGGTCTGACAGAGACCAGAGGAACCCCTGAGACTTGACCTCCAGACACCCTGCTAACTCAGAGATGAAGCCACTCCCAAAGTCCACCTTTCAGCCAAGAATTAGGCAGGACTATAGAACAAACAGTAACACATATGAGGAACATGCTTCTTAGTTCAATCAAGTATACGAGACCAAACGGGCAACACCTGACCAAAGTCAAAGACAAGAAGGCAAGAAGGGACAGGAAAACTGGACACAGAGAATCCAGGGTGGAAACAGAAAGGAGGAGAGTGCTGACACATTGTGGGGAGTGCAACCAATGTCACAAAACAATTTGTGTATAAGTTTTTGAAGGAAAAACTAATTTGCACTGTAAACTTTCAACTAAAACACAAAAAAAAATTTAAAAAGGTAAAAAAAATTTGTTGAATTGCGTGAATAAATGAATGACAATTCTTTCTCCCTGGCCTGCCTACACACTGGATTGGTTGGTTTTTCTTTTCTGATGCCAATCCACAAATGCACATGCCGCATTTGTGTTTAGCCTAGTAGGGTACAGTGAGAGATGCAGGGACACGGTGCCTGCCTCAAGGAGGTAACCCTCTAGCTGGCTGGGCAGCGTGGCCATCATCCTGTTCCAGGCCTTTGTCATCTCATAGCTGAACTTCCGCTGTAGCCTGCTCCCTTTTTTGCTATTCTTAGTTTGCCCTTGTTCTAGTCCATTTTACTTGCTGGTGCCACATTCATTTTCTTAAAACACTGCTTTACACATGGCCTTTCTCATGGTCCTTAGCCTGTCATTCAAGGCCCTCCACAGGCTGGTTCCTGGCTATCATTCCAGACTTACCTCCCACTGCTCCCAATTCAAGTCCTGGGCTATAGCCTTTCTGGTCCATTCCATCCCTTATGCAGCCCTTGACCATGTCTGTGCTCACACTATTCTTCTTTCCTAGAATATCCTTCCTCTTCCCCTAATTCCTTGCTAGATTTCTACCTATCCTCTCCAAATTACAGCCTCTCAATCTGATTAATTCAATTTTGTGCCTTAGAAAATGACCAATAACTGAAAGTCATGACAGGTCACTTGGGAATGAGCAAGGCCACAAACATTAAATACAAGGAAATCATGGACATGTGGTACTGGCTTTCTTATACTTTCTTGGGACAAATCATCCACTACATGTATTGTTATAGTCTTAAGGATACACAGTCTATGTCTTCAACTACATTGTGAGTTCTGTAGGGATAGGATACATCTTTTGAATTCCTCAATCACCTAGAACTAAACCAAAACACCCCCAACCCTTTGCTATTGAGTTGATTCCCGGCTCACAGTGACCATATAGGACAGAGTAGAATTGTCCCACAGGGTTTGCAACAAGCAGCTGGTGGATCTGAACTGCCGACCTTTTGATTAGCAGTTGAGCCCTTAACCAGTGTGCCACCAGGGCTCCATCACCTAAAACTAATACCTTACAAACAGAAAGAATTTAATAAAGATTTGTTGACTGATGGAAGCTACGTAACAGACCTAGAAAGCCACAAGGCCAGTATAAAGCTTCTCCTGAAACAGATTGGTTGTTCTCTCCATTCTTCTCCGTTTGCAGTCTAGTTTAGTTTTACTAGTACTCTCAAATCTCTGTTTCAGTCACAAATATCCCTCTAATGTGGTGTGTGTTAGCTGGGTTTTCTTTTATGTTTATATCAATGGCAGTTACAAAAACAAAAAGTCAGACACCAACCCATCATCAGGAGACTGTTAACGTCACCACTGCAATGGAATACCAAGCTATGATTAAAAGTGATGAAGCGCTATGCTTACTGACTTGGAAAGATGTTCAAGACATGTTTGGGAGACAAAAAGCAGGTTAGGAAAGGGCATGAAGAGTTTAATTCCACAACCATAAAATTTTATAAACACACATACATTTTATATACACACACACACACACACATATATCTACTCATTATGTCTATACATATATGTATATACACAGTGAAACCTGTGAGAGCTGGAGCTTGACAGGACTGCCTTGTTTTTCTGGGTCTTGCAAATTTTCCATCTTTGACAAGGTGCAGTCTTACCACTTTTCTCTTGCTTGTTTTAGTTGGAAAACATTTGAGTTTTCCTCCTCTGACAGGTTTCTGCCTTACATGGGTTCTGGCTTTCTGAGGTTTATATATATGTATATGCAAACAGATAGCTGAATGGATGTTCACCAAAACGTTAACAATAGTTATTTCTGGACAGTGGTATTTCAGGTAACTTTTACTTTTTTCTTTATACTTCTCAGAATTGTTCAAAGTTTTTTATTGTGAGCATAATTTTTATGATACAGAAATGAAGAACTACATTCATGTTGGAAATACATAAAATAAGGACTGCCTTTCTTTTCATTTGGTATTGAATTTCATCTCTTTTTTTCTTTTTCTTAAGAAACATGGAAGAAATGCCCATTCCTTTTAAAATCTTCAGTTATTTTACATTCCAAAAATATTGCTCTGAGATTCTTATAGTCAATGAGTTCTATGGACTGAATTTCACTTGTGGTAAGTATTCTACTTTGACTACTATTTTTACACATTATTCTGAGAAAGCAATTTCCTGAGGGAAATGTATTTTTTAAATAAAAGCTATATTTTATAATAAACAGAATAAAGCCTCGCTTTGAAATAAAAGTCTAACATTTTATCTGATTTTTAAAATAAAAAAAACAAACAGTTGTCAAGTCAGTCACCTGTCAAAGGTCAATAGCTTAAGGCCACTTTGATGTTATTAGAAAATGACAGGTCTAACGTACCCTGAAGTAAATGCTAGTGTATTCTGGATGGAATCGGTTCTACAGCTACTGAACAACAAGTTGAAGTAGCTTCTTGTTTCACAAAGTGTACATGGTCTGTAGCTGAGTAGAGCTATTTTTGGCAAAAGACTGTTCCCAAATCCCACAAGAAGGCAGTGGGGAGCATAACAAGGTCCTCAGTGCCATTGGAAATACCAGGGCCACTCTGGGAACACACCCAGTGAACAAGGTGGAAGTTAGTAGTTGGTTTAAATATTCTTGGATGATGATGTCAATACTTTTAGGATATTCACAGCTAAGTGATTTTTATCAGTACTGTGGTAATCAATATGGTATTCTATATGGAATTATGGAGTCCTGGTGATGCAATGGTTAAGCACTTGGCTGCTAACACAAAGGTTCGAACCCACCCAGCCGCCCCATGGGAGAAAGACCTGGTGATGTGCTCCTGTAAAGATTACAGCCTAGGAAACCCTATGGGGGCAGTTGTACTCTGTCATCTGGGGTCGCTGTGAGTTAACAGTTGACTTGCTGACACACAACAACGACCGACAAACCAAACCGAGCCCGTTGCCACTGCGTTGATTCCAACTCTACAGGACAGAGAAGAACTGTCCTACAGGGTTTCCGAGGCTGTAATCTGACTGTCACATCTTTCTCCCTCAGAGTGGCAGGTGGATTTGAACCACTGACCTTTCGGTTAGAAGCTGAGCACTTAACCACTATGCCATGAGGAGTTCTTTAAACAACAACATGGTAATGAGTCTATACCCACCATAGAAACAAACTCATTTACATCTTCAATGAAGCCAAGTCCCAGAACATTCACTGGAGCTTCATTAAGTATGAATTTTGGGCTCTTTAAAATGTCCTGAATCTTCAGTAAGGAAAGGTATTTGGCAGCATGCTAAGCACTTGGTGGGCATATGGTAAATAGTGTTGATTAAATTACCTGGGACATACCATATCTGACATTGTCAGTCCTTTCCCTGACAGGCAGCTCAAACAATCCTGTGACAACTAACCCAATATGCACCTTTACTCAAGGAATTCAGTTCATAGAGCAAACCTGCCCGCGTGCAACATTCAGATTCACAGCAAACTTTCTGATGTTATATGCATTTATCCCAGTTCTTGTCATCCTAGGAATAGTTGTTTTTAAAATAAGGGATCATTTCATTAGCAGATAGCAAAAATCATTGCTGCAAAAATGGAACTTAAGCTCCTGGGTGTGCATGACTCCTCTGAATGTCTGAAAAAAGAATGCTGTGTGTTCCTTTCTTGATGCTGCATCTTAAGTCTTTTAACCCTTATGACCTGTGCCCCTCAGATCCAGGCAGGCCTTGAATGCGGTGGCAATGGTTCACAGTTCCTTCCTATTCCAACTTGCAGGGACATGTGGCATATGGAAACTGGGACTGAGCTGGTCCAAAAATGTAAATAATAATTCACAGACATATGAGGGACTAGCCTGAGCTATTTGTTTTCCTTGTTCTAGACACAGAAAAGTAGGCCATTCAAAAATTATGCTTATATTTGCTAAAGGACTCAGTGAAAAGAAAACACTTGAATTATTACTGAATATAAACAACAGAAAAGAGTTGTGGGCTTGATTGAAGCAAAGCATCTTACAGAACTGGGTTAGAATGCTTTTGACATCATTTAAAAACCCCTATCTATGCACACATGTCCACGTGCAGGGCTCTGAGTTACCTGATCACAGCAGGAGGATGTTGGACAGCCTTGGTGAACCTTCAGACAAAGCACCCACTGATTTTACTGAAGTTAACTTCATGACAAAAAACTGCAGGGGCAGGGATGGGCTGAACCGGGGACATAGCACACCAGACAAACTTCTGGTCATGTTTTTAAATATTAGTTTCTATTTTTCAGTTTCAGCTTAGATTATTTAGAACATTCAAAGTAATGTTACTAGACAAAGTCTATGCACCAAGAAATGACATCTTTAAGATTAGAGAGCAGCTGTGACTTAAAGTCCATACAGAAAAGATGCTCAGCTGACACAACATTTACACTACGAAGAACACGGTCATATGCTAGGAATTCATGTTCTTGAATTGTAAAGAGAAAGAATGCTGATAAATACAGGCACCTATACTACATATTTCAGGGATGAAATGATTTATAGACATTATTAAAAACGGGTTTTGCACCAAACGACTGAATAGCTTTCTGACTGATCTTCAAGGAATTCATGCACAAGCTTGAAATGAAACTGAACTGTTTCACTGTTACCATAGTAACTTTGAGCAAGACTAGCTTAGAGAGCATGTGAACTTGTTCAGTTACTGTGACCTAAGTTTTCAAGAAAGATAAATTATAGCATTCGAAGTGTCTTATAGTAGGAAAAATCATTTCATTAAGGAAACCACAGTAAGATTCTATTTCTTAGAACAGTATTTAAGGATCTGGAGACATTGGTAAATTACCAGAATAGTATTGTCAATTTTTACAAAAGGTCTTTGACACTGATGATGATGGTGTAACAGTTACATAATGCCTTACAGTTCTACATGTCACATCGGTTATAGACAATTCTGAAGATGATAATCTACTGAAGTAGTTCAAAGAGAGTCCCGCGGGAACCTCTTTTGAAATCACTGATTTCAACTTACTAAAGATATGGGTGTACAATGTGAGTGGAAACATTTTCTACTATTCATATGCAGATGAATTTCAATCTAGCTCAGAAACATTTGGGGAACTGACATAGCACGTGACTTCAAGCCATTAAATGTTAGCGATACCATCTTAGAAAAACACAATGGCTTTCAACATGGGACAGTCGGTGTCTCAAGTCAAAAATGGACAGTGATGTGTCAGGAAATCAAATTATATAATAAAAATTCCTATTACTGTTGTGGGATAGGCCGTTTCTTCCCGCCAAGTCAATGATGTTTCTGAGACTGTAATGCTCCCTATTACTTTAAAGCGAGCTCTTTCTTCTCAGCACTCTGGCAGGGTGCCTGTCTACTCCTGAGGATCCTCGGAAACATGCCGAAAACCCTGTTCTCAAGTGTGTTGGGACCACAGCCACTGCAAATAGTTTATGAAGGCTCATTTCATTGCATTAATCAGATACCAGTCTTGGTGTTCTTTGGGTTCATAAACTCGATTATTTGAAGCTGGGTGTGTGGCATATTAGAGTCAAAAGCTAAATCGAACTGAGCAAAGTCTGGTCTAGAAGTGGATCTTTTGATTCCGTGTAGTGCTCTCTGTACTGGGATACTACACTAGGATTTCTATTAAAGGTTCTTTTTATTTTGAAAGGAGGAAGAGTCATAGATGCACTTTATATCTTCCTTTTAAGTATTAAATATAATTACACCTCAGAGCACGTGTCTTAGTTAGCTAGTACTGCTGTAATAGGCATACCACCAGTGGGTGGCTTTAAAGAAGAGAAGTTTATTTTCTCACAGTTCAGAAGTCCGAATTCAGGGCACTGTCTGGAGGGGAAGACTCTTTCCCTGTTGGCTCTGGGGAAAGACGTTTGTCTCTTCCGACATGCCTCCATTCCTTGGCAATCTTCAGGTGGCATCCCTCTTCCCCCATTTGTGCTTCTTTGTCTCTGTGTCTATGCTGCTCCTTATAACTCAGAAGTGGTTAGATTTAGGACCCACCCTACACGATATGGCTTTATTAACACTACAAAGAAAACCCTATTTCCAAACGGGTTTACATCCACAGGTATAAGGGTGAGGATTCCAACACATTACATCCACAGGTATAAGGGTGAGGATTCCAACACATATTTTGAGGGGGACACAATTCAATCCATAACAGCATGAATGTGAGGTTCTTTAATATATATTTACTATATTTTTATGCAAATAACGTGCGCCTTCTATGTTTGTTTGCCAACCGCTCCCTCCCCGTCCCCCGTATTTTTGTAAGCCCTATGCTAAGTTTTTACAGCAACATATAAAAAAAATCAGCAAATGGTAACCAATGTCACAAAACAAGATGTGTACTAATTGTTTAATGAGAAGCTAGGTTTATTCTGTAAACCTTCATCTAAAGTACAGTAAAAAAAAAGAAAAAAAGACTACAGCCAAGAAAACTCTATGGAGCAGTTCTACTTTGTAACACATGGAATCACCGTAAGTTGGAACTGACTTGATGGCAACTCACAATAAAAACATGTAGTTATTGCTCTATGATACTGAACTTATCTATATTGTCTATAATTTTTCTCTGGTTGATTTGCTATGTGTATGTTTATTTATACTGTATTATAAACTACTACAGATAAAAAAATATAATCAGTGGATATAACATTGTCACACAACAAATAATATATGATTAATAGCAAGGAAAATCACTAGCTTTAATGATTGTTATTGATTTTTATTTCATGAGATTAAAAAACTGTCAAAACTTCAAATAAAAAAAAAAAAGAAAGAAAGCAGGGAAGAATATGAAAAGTGAGAGGTGGGGGTTGGAATTTCATTTAGGGTTTCCAGGGAAGAGTCCACTGAGAACGTGATCTTTTGAGTAAACACCTGAAGGAAGTGAGGGAGCTAGTGATGTGGCTATCTGGAGGAAAAGCAAAAAAATAAATAAATAAATAAATTAGCACAGTGGCACTTACGAAAATATCTCATGGGGGCAGAGGGAGGGAGTGGTTGGCAAACAAACGTAGAAGGCACACGTTATTCGTGTAAAATACGTTATTTGTTTGTTTCTGTGATGTCATTTAGGCCTGAGACTGGTCTTATCTTTGTATTACTCAGATAATTCGCTGCTTGGTACTTGCAGTAGGCACTCAGCTATTAAACAAGTAAATGACGGGGGAACTTCTTCAGCTCTCTGTATATTGCACATGTGTATGAAGAGAACCATCCAGCCCTGACTCCCTTGCTTCTGCAACTCCTGCTCTGCATCATCAGAACAGCTGCCTTACCATTCTTCTTGGCTCCAACTAAAATGGAACATCAGCAAATGTCCAACTGTAATTCACAGTGCAGTGATGTTGGATAGTTCATCTACTGGGAGTACCGGGTAGGACAGAGTAGAACTGCCCCATAGTGTTTCCTAGGCTGTAATCTTTATGGAAAAGCAAACTGCTGGAAAAATAAAACAATTATTTTGAGAAATATGACTATCTCTATTATTAATCAACATGCTGCTGATTAAGAATTGTCAAAGATGAATCATAAATAGCCTCCTTATAGTACATTTTAATATTAATATGAACATTTTTACATACAATTACAAAATAATCCTATTACGACACATTTCATTACCGAGATTCACTAACATGTAACCCTATACAAAATCTTGATGCAATAATGACCATAACTGAACAATAAAGTGATAGTCTTAAGCCCAACATAGGTGTTTTAATGAGATTACACTACTTTTTTTTCTAGAAAATTTTTTTAAAAAGCAAAACAATAACAACAAAAAAAACTACCAGGAATTGCCAGCCACATATAATGCCATAGCCCACAAAAATTGCAAAAGTAAACAGTAGTATATTTTTAGTTAATACACACTAAATCATTGTGCTTGGTCCAATTTAAAACCAACACTCCAACATATATGTAAAATGGAAGAGCACAGAGTAAATGACTTTCCTGGTTAATGACAGTAATTACACTTAATCAAAACAGAACTGGCTAGCAGGTACACAGATGTATTACAGGAATGAGAGCCTTCTTTAAGGTATGCTACCTTGGAGACTGATCCAAGTAATCACCAACTCAGGAAATTTTTGGCCTCCTTATTGATAGACTATCTCCTTAAATTTGCCTGTTCTTCAAAAAGTGGTACTTAAGTGGGTCAGAATCACCCAGTGTGCTGATTAAAATGCAGATTACTGAGTACCATTCCAGATCCACTGATTCAGAATCTCTGGGTGTGGGGACCCAGGAATGTGTATTTTAACTAAGTACTTCAGGTGGTCCTTGTGCCTCAGTGCTGGAATAAAATCACAACACCTGTGCAAGTTTCCTGACAGCCAAAGCTGAGACCCCTTACCGAAGGATGTGGCTAATATGAGCATTTAACCTTACATTCAAAACGGTTAGCAAATACCTTGCCTTCACACTCCTAAAAAACACATAAGCAGAAACTTAGAAACGCTGAACTGAGTATACATGACTTAAGCATGTTAGAAGTACTTAGGAAAAGATGCTCTTATTTAAAAGAATATTTCATGTAGTTACACAATTGTTTTCCTTTTAAAAGACTGAATTATCCAGAGAGTTGCACTAGCACAAGAAATTCAGCTTTTCTTTTAACAAACTGCACATCTTAACTTTCTTCACATATTACCACAACAGTTAATTAATAAAACAATCTTACTTGTATTTGGGAAAGAAGAAATAAATACACAATAGTTAGGTTCAAGAATCAAACTCAATTTGTTTCCAAGACTTGGAAGAATTTCTTTTGTACTGTTCAAGTTCCTAAAACAAAACATATTTATTATTTAAAAAAATCAACTTTACAAATTAGGCACTTTAAAACAGCCTTAGCATTTTTAGATGTAAGAAGGTATCCTTTATAGCATTATCACTCAAAATTTCTGGACTTCTGTGTGGTCAGCACTTAAAGATAAATGTATTCAAATTTCAGACAAAATTATATACTATATTGTACATATGAACTGTCTTCCAACTAATAAAACAGAGTATCTGTCATACTTCAAGCACTTAAAAGTGATCTTATTTTTAATTGTTTGCTGTTCACCTCTTGTCAAAAACCTGGTTGAAGTTTGCAAACTATCAATATCTAAAATGTATATATCCTTTGACCCACTGATTCTACTTTTAGAAATTTATCATATAGAAATACTAGAGAAGTGCACAAGGATATCAATAGGAGGATATTCATTGCAACACCGTGTCTATCAGCACACAGCTAGAAATAACTTAGATGTCGGTTCCAGTAAGGACTGATTAACTACATCAGCATTCATCCACATGTGGCTTCCCAGGCAGCCAACAAAAATAATGGCGGTCATATGTACAATAGGAAAAGAGCAGCTAGGTGGGGAGAGGTCAGGACACTTTCATCTTCTATTTTATATACTTCCATATGTAAGAAAAAATTTTTTCACAATGAATATATGTTATTTTTACCATTCATAAAATAGAAGTAAGTTTAAGTAGGGGTGGAAATTCTGACTAACTGATATGCAAAAGGGCTAATCTAAGGGGAGTGCCTCCTGGCCTCCTAAATGCTATTCAATATCTATATAACTGTACAAAGTATATTGTTGTTTCAGATAAGCAAAAAGTAGCTACTCTGCAAGATAAAGCAATCAATGCCCTTTCACCAACATAATTGAAGTTCATAGTAGTTAAGAAAATTCCGTTCCCATTTTTGGAAAAATTGCAGATTGTCTCTTTCATATCTATAGTCTAAGTTATTAAAATTTAAATGTCAAAAGTTTTCAAACTATATACAGACTTCAGAAGAACGTCACAGTAATAACTCCGAAGTAATCTTTATAGCTTGGTTTATTTTTCTAATGAAGTTAAATTAGGTCACGTCTTCTACCACTTATGGTTTCAAAGCTTGTTAACTCATAAAGAATAAACAGTAATTAGTAACTGTGAACTCTGCCTTCAACTGGAATGCTGAATTATTTTTACTAATGATAAAGGTGAGCACCTTCGTTTGAGATTCTCTGCTAATGGTATGTCCCTTCTGAAGACAGCAAACTGAGAGGAAAAAGGGGGCTAGTCACACAGCTCATGCTGGAGGGGGAATAAAGGATAACTGGTGTGATTTGGAGCCTTGGTGGAACAGTGGTTAAGAGCTCGGCTGCTAACCAAAAGGTCGGCAGTTCAAATCTACCAGCTGCTCCTTGGAAACCCTCTGGGGCACTTCCTTTCTGTCCTATAGGGTCACTATGAGTTGGAACTGACTTGACGGCAATGGGTTTGGTGTGTGTGATTCAGAGCTCAGGTCCACTAGCTCTTTAACGTTTCTGTCATGTGAACTCAAACTAATAGGATGATGCTTTAAAGGGATGGCGGGTTGGAGGGTTTTTCTTTACACCAGAATTCTTCCAGGCTGTTCTGGAGAGCCATTCAAAGTGAATGCAAAACTAAGAAAGGTTTTCCACCCTGATTCTTAAAAACCACTATATTTTCAAATATAAATGAACCAAGGAAGAGTCTTATAATGCTTAAAACATAATAATAAAGAATGCTAAGAACATTTTCCCCTAAATGTGTGTGTGAGCTTGCATGCGTGTGTATGTGCTTAATTGACTTACACGCCTAAACATTATACACAAGTTTGATTTTTAAAATCAGGAATTCAAGAGAGATACTGGGAGTTTATGTGTGGTTGGCCAAGAAGCCCTTAAAAACAACTGTTTATCCAAGCTTTTTTCTTTTTCCTTTGATAGTAAAAATGTAGAAAAGAGGTAGAAAGGCCCAGCAAGTGCTTTCCATACACATATTTCCTTGAAATCAGGAATGCTTTAAAACTAGAGGGTTAAAAAAAACAGAAGTAAATACTGGCCAGGTATTTTCTGGTACCTGTGTGATGTCTGGCAAAAGAGAATTTAGAGAAAAGACAGCCAATAGGGAAAGACACTTAGTCTGCAGGAACGATGACGGGGTCTTAAGAATGATCTTCGGACCTGTGGTGGATGGATTTCAGAGAGCGAGGTGCTCTCTGAATCTGCGGGACACGAGGATTATGGATTGATACCGTAAAAGAAACGTTTTGCTACAAAGGACTTAAAATATTATGGAATACTGTGGTCTACCCTCTTCCCCAGTGTACTTAATAGAAGTGTGGTTTAAATGTTACTCTTCTGGGACAGAGGGATGGACAAATCTTTCTTGCCTAATGACCTATGCTACTTGGGGCTTTTTTCAAGTTCAAATGTTGTAGGAATTTAACAAAACTCATGAGCTAGCTAGCCTCTGCATCCTAGAAGTGACATATTCTAATCTCACTGTCAAAGCTTAAAAGTCTTGAAGCTCATTTTCTGTTTTATTTCTGATGATTAATTAGGCCACTAATAATGGAGTTTGGGTGGGGCGGGACGGAAGAGAAGGCTCACACCTGCTCTCAGACAGGCTCGAAGCCAGCCCTCCACTGACAGGGGATTGCATTCTATCTTTATAAAATAGAATGTCATCTCTCCTCCCAAGAAGCACAAAACTCAGAAGTAATTATCTGGGTTAAAGGTATACAGACACACAGCATACACTATGGCCTTCTTTAAATATTTACAGGCTGCATTTTAAGCAAGGACGCACTTTCATGTAATTATGGAAAACTCCCAAGACAGTTAAAATTTAGAAGTAGCCAAATCATTAAAAAAAAAAAAAAAAAAAGACTATTATCGTTCCAAATGTCAAGTCTAATCAAATCTAAAGATGATAATGCTAGTTTCACTGAAAGATGTTATGCGGCAATAATCACATTTAAAGAACAAAAAGATAGTTCGGCAATGTGAAGAAAAGGCTGCAGACAACTGGCTAGATTTTCAACTAATGCAGATGAATTCTCTTACAGGCCGTGTTAATAAAACTTGCAATGATCACCTTGCCTGTAATAAAAACGAAAATGTATTTTTAAATGTTTAGAGGGAAATCGAGGCAATTCATCTACTGAAGTACTGAAGCACCACTAATGAAACCAGTTCAGAGGCACATTTGGGGTATAACTTCTCAGGTGGTTCAATAAAATCTCTTAGCCGAGGGAACATAGCAGTTAGTGACCTGGGTTCGATTTCCGGCCAGTGCACCCCAAGTGCAGCTGTCAGTGGAGGCTTGAGTGTTGCTACGATGCTAAGCAGGTTTCCGTGGAGCTTCCGGACTAAGACAGGTAAGGAAGAAACGCCTGGTGGCCTACTTCTGAAAATCAGCCAGTGAAAACCCTATGGCTCACAACAGTCTGATCCTGTTGCGTATGGAAGCGTCACGGGTCAGGTGCTGACTCAACAGCACCTAACAACAACAACAGTGAGATACAAAAGTTGAGTGAAGAATGATAGAGATAGTATGGGTTTGCTTTCCAGTTCCACTCAAAATTCCTATGATTTTAAGTCAGTTAGGGAAGATGGATTTTGGATGTGAAAACTCATGATACTCAGAAATACTTTAGTCCTTTAATAATACTTGTGTATGTGAACCTAATACAAGTGTTCCTTAGGCAATAGAAACAGATACTCATATCAACAATGGCAGTTAATTTTTGACCCCTAGATAATATTAATTCAGGGATGACTTCCAACTCATCTCTACAGCCAAGCTGTACACATAATAAGGGTTACCTGGGATAATTTTACTGTTTCTACAACACGAGACACTTTACTGCAGCTACAAAACCCTATAAATATTCATGGTCTATCTTTCAAAAGCTTTCTACAGCCATCTAATGGTTCTGGCTTTTGGATTGTTTAAATAAAATGTTTTGCTAAAATTTGGTATAAGTCTTTACTTTTTCTAGCACAGGGCCTCTGAAAGCAAAAGGCTGATGCTGAAAAAACACGTTGGTCACTGTTCCCAGGGGAGAGTTTTCTTCCAGTAATTTTGCAACAGTGTGACCGCCCACATGACACAGCTCTACCCATCCCCACTAAGAGGTTGTCATGTCTTTCAATGGATACAAAAAAAAAAAAAAAAAAGGCCAAACCAGCTCGCTTTGAGTTGATTGTCACTCATAGTGACTCCACATGTGGTAGAGTAGAACTGGGCTCTATAGGATTTTCACAGCTGTGGCCTTTTGGAAGCAGACTATCAGACCTTTCCTCTGAGGTGCATCTGGGTGGGTTCCAACCTTTTGGTTAGTAAAGCACTTAACTGTCTGCGATAACCGGGGGCTCCTTTCAATTAATAGTACTTACTATATATAAAAACAAACAAAAACCAAACTCACTGCTGCCGAGTCGATTCCGACTCATAGTGACCCTATAAGACAGAGTAGAACTAAGGTCAGATTGTGTACAATATCTCATTTTACCAAACTTAAAGAAGAGCTGATAAAATTTAAGTATTTGGGCAGTGAGGAATTTACCAACTTCTGCATTCTCACGTTACACTTGTGTGTCACAGATGGGGCTATCGGGGCGTACAAGGAATGGCAAAGTATCGGCAGACGCTTTCCTCAGAGTCCAGGAGTCTATCAGTTATGCTTGTATACTTTTAGACTGGGTGGTCCGAAATTGGACAAGATGATTTTTCTGATACAAGAAAAGTATAGGTACATCTCAGTGTCCTAATGATAAAAAAAAAAAACCTTTTGGACAAACAAAAGAATATTATGATAAAGTGTCTCTGCAGCAGCAAGGTAGGAATCACTACCATCTTTAACAAAATTGGAAAGGCCAGAAAGTACGTGTGAATACTAAGCTATCTCTGAGTGGTGGGGTGACAGGTGATTTTTAATTTCTTCTTTATGCATATCAGAATTTTTTTTCTACAGTGAAGCTATACTATTTCAATAATTTTAAAAATTAATCTCCCCCGCCCCCCCAAAAAAAAAACTCCTAAGGAAATAAATTAAGAAAGATCTATGGAATTCCAAAGATATTTTGTGATAAAACTCAAGAGGAAATAAAGTAAATGTTTAGAATAATACCTGGTCCTTCTGAATTCTCATCTCATCAACTTCACTTTCAGCATATTGAGGGTCTCGTGCGGGGTCCTTGATATCTTTTAGCGTGTGGATACTCTGAAATTACAAATCTTCATATAATTTCATGCCCTGGCCCCAAACCTTCACTTACTACCATCTGCCTAACAGAGTCCCTGTTTCTCAGTCTGGCATGGAAGGCTCTCTACCATCTTTTGAGCTTTTATCACTACTGTTGAGGCCCATTGCTAATTCTACCACGTCCTCTTGCCTCCCATTCTTTTCAGATATTGTCTGTCCCTTCTCTAACATTCAGAGAACTTTATTTCAAAGAGGAGCAAAAATTGGGTCTTACTCATCTTTTAACTCCCACATTGCCTTGCAGACAATAGATCCTAAGCAAATGTTTAACTGATTTTTAAGCACAAGATTAAAAAAAATCTATTATAATAGGCCCTTTGGAACACTTCCCAATAACTCTTAAATAGTGCTAAAAATTCTTGCTTTAAAAGAATGAGAAATGTATACCTTTGGTGGAAAGAACTTTTCATACACTTTCTTCCACAGCTCCATTGGTGAACGGGCATTAAGCTTTCCAATATCATTATCAGGAACAGAAGGGGATCCTAAAATTGGAAGTTTCATTCCAAATGAGTGCATTGGTTAAAACACTACAGGCACTATCAATCAAACAGATGACAATTATAAAAGTATAAATCTTAGATCACTCGTTTTCCTTCTCCCTAATACCTATTGCCGTCAAGTTGATTATGACTCACAGCACCCCTATAGGACAGAGTAGAACTGCCCCACAGGGTTTCCAAAGAGAGCTGGTGGATTCAAACTGCCAACCTTTTGGTTAATAGTCGAGCTCTTAACCACTACACCACCAATGCAGTCACCACTAAAATTTACCGGAACCCAGTATAGCAAGGTCACTGGGGCAGATTCTATTATGGGAGGAGGGGAAGACGAAGAGCAGAACGGGTAAACTGTAATTCCCATTCTCCACATTTAAACTGCTGCTCAGTAAAAATAAAAAAGTTTGACATTCTCGTTTGGTGATGGAGATGTAAGGAAACAGATGCTGCTAGTTAGAGTGTAAATTGGAACAGATACTTTGGAGGGTAACTTGACAGCCCTGGTGGTGCAGTGGTTAAGAGCTTGGCTGCTAACCAAAAGGTCGGCAGTTCAAATCCACCAGGTTCTCCTTGGAAACCCTATGGGGCAATTCTCATCTGTCCTATAGGGCTGCTATGAGTCAGAATCAACTCAACAGCAATGGGTTTTATTTAAATACTAAAAAAGATAATACTCTATTAAGTATTTAGCAGCAATTCTACATTCTCTTCTTGGTGTTTACCCTAGAAACACCTATATACATGTACTAAGGATGTTCCACTGCAGCAGCATTTGTGTTGGTGAAAAACTGGCCATAACCAAACTATTAATAAGGGGATGGTGAACTAAAGTACTATGGCATAGCCACACTTGTAACACTATCCGGCAGTTAAAATAGCAAATAGACTTATATGTAGCATTACTATGGGAAAAATAATGAGGTATATTGGGTAAAAAGGGCAAATTTCAAAATGATAAGTACAGAATGACACCATTATATTGAAACAAATAGTTTTTTCTATACCACATACACATGTATGTAAATGTACAGGAAATGGCCGGGGAAGATACATACCAAACTTGACCCTTACATGTAGTATGTTAACTTTTTACAAAAAGAATGTCTTCATGTGTTGCCGGTATAATTTAAAAAAATTTTAAATATGTTGCCACTTCCTGGCAATTTTTATTTTATTTTTTTATAGAAAACTATTTATTTATTTTTAATTATTGTACTTTAGATGAAGGTTTATAGAACAAACTAGCTTCTCATTAAGCAATCAGTACAAATATTGCTTTGAGACACTGCTTACCAACCCCACGACATATCAACACTCTCCCCTTCTCGACCCTGGGTTCCCTATTACCAGCTTTCCTGTCCCCTCCTGCCTTCTAGTCCTCGCCCTTGGGCTGGTGCGCCCATTTAGTCTCGTTTTGTTTTATGGGCCTGTCTAATCTTTGGCTGAAGGGTGAACCTCAGGAGTGACTTCATTACTGAGCTATAAGGGTGTCCGGGGGCCATACTCTCAGGATTTCTCCAGTCTCTGTCAGGCCAGTAAGTCTGGTCTTTTTTTGTGAGTTAGAATTTTGTTCAACATTTTTTGCCACCTCTGTCCAGGACTCTCTATTGTGATCCCTGTCAGATCAGTCAGTGGTGGTAGCCGGGCACCATCTAGTTCTGCTGGACTCAGTCTGGTGGAGGCCTTGGTAGTTGCGGTCCATTAGTCCTTTGGTCTAATCTTTCCCTTGTATCTTGTTTTCTTCATTCTCCCTTGCTCCCAAAGGGGTGAGAACAGTGGAGTATCTTAGATGGCTGCTCACAGGCTTTTTCTTTTTTTTTTAATGTTGTAGTTTAAGTGAAAGTTTACAATTCAAGT